TTCCGAATATTTCAAGAGTAGTCTTGAGTTGTTATAATCGGTTTCTCTGTATCAGTGGTGTTAAATCTTCTCCAATGGTACTAAAGTGGAGTCAGATCAAATGACTATCAGTTATAATACGTTAAATTGACTTCCACACGAAGGCTTAGAAGTTCATAGTTTATTCACTGTCATACAGATGTTCGGTCAGAATCCTGCATTATACAAAAGCTTGAGAAAACATGGCGATTTTTATTTTGAACGTAGTCAGATTTCACAGTGTTCCAAGTCTCAAGACAAGAACGCTTCATATCCCATACAAAGTCACAACAACGCTTTTAGTTGATACAGTATCAAAGAGACGCTTATGTATTTAATGCTGGGTAACCACTCTAGGTGAAGTGACGAGGATGGTAACATGTATCACACCAATCTTTTCCAGAGTTGTTGTTCCTTAACAATCACATATGTAGGGTACCTCAATGCACTCTGGGAAAGATTGGTGCCATATGGGATGGATGGAAAGCGCTTAGAACACGTGACGTCGTGAAAACATCTTAAGCTTGCACAAGTACTACAACAAAGTCATAAACACTAAAACTACATACGTTACATAAAAAGTGGTCACTCAAACGCTTACATCATTCACACCTCAAAGTCATGACAACGCTTCACACCTATACATGTACACAATGTACAAGAAAGTCACATACAGTCAAGAAAACGCTTAAAACATATTTCATAAATAGTCTTAAAAAGTCCAATCAAGCCTCATATATAAAGTGATGAAAACTTAAGTACATCAATACTTTTCACAAAGTCACGAAGGCTAGCATGCCCCCATTATCCCCGCGGGAACGTGCTGCTTGAAATCGGGAGCATGTTTACACACGAAGACGTGCTATAAACCGTAACATGAGATAGCCATTTACAGGGGTTGAGTTACCTCGACATTAGCTTATCAAGGTAATAAGTCTATCTTATTTTACTGGGAAATTATGAGGCAAAAATTGACCAATAAACTACCGAAATTATCACTAAAACAGACGTAAACCCGATCTACTTATCACTTTTATCATGTAAACGCCCGCATCCAATTTGTGAAAAAAGTTAATAGGAGAAAAAATGAAATTTCTCGAATTCTTCAGTAAACACTCCGATAACATCAAAATAATGGCAGGTTTTTGGAACTATAAAGATATTTCATAAATCGCTCACAGTGCATCAAAGTGTCGTTCAGAGGCCGTAGCCTAGTTTCATTTCTGGAGTAAGTGTCCTCTGTAGAGGTCATAGTCTACTGTTACTTCTGAAGTAAGTGTCCTCTGTAGAGGTCATAGTCTACTGTTACTTCTGAAGTAAGCGTCCTCTGTTACGGCCGTAGTCTACTCTAACTTCTGAAGTAAGTGTCCTCTGTAGAGGTCATAGTCTACTGTTACTTCTGAAGTAAGTGTCCTCTGTAGAGGTCATAGTCTACTCTAACTTCTGAAGTAAGTGTCCTCTGTAGCGGCCGTAGTCTACTCTTACTTCTGAAGTAAGTGTCCTCTGTAGCGGCCGTAGTCTACTCTTACTTCTGAAGTAAGTGTCCTCTGTAGAGGTCATTGTCTACTGTTACTTCTGAAGTAAGTGTCCTCTGTAGCGGCCGTAGTCTACTCTTACTTCCGTAGTAAGTGTCCTCTGTAGCGGTCGTAGTCTACTCTTACTTCTGAAGTAAGTGTCCTCTGTAGCGGCCGTAGTCTACTCTTACTTCCGTAGTAAGTGTCCTCTGTAGAGGTCATTGTCTACTGTTACTTCTGAAGTAAGCGTACTCTGTAGCGGCCGTAGTCTACTGTTACTTCTGAAGTAAGCGTCCTCTGTTACGGCCGTAGTCTACTCTAACTTCTGAAGTAAGTGTCCTCTGTAGAGGTCATTGTCTACTGTTACTTCTGAAGTAAGTGTCCTCTGTAGCGGCCGTAGTCTACTCTTACTTCTGTAGTAAGTGTCCTCTGTAGCGGTCTTAGTCTACTCTTACTTCTGAAGTAACAGTCCTCTGTAGCGGCCGTAGTCTACTCTTACTTCTGAAGTAACAGTCCTCTGTAGCGGCCGTAGTCTACTCATACTTCTGTAGTAAGTGTCCTCTGTAGCGGCCGTAGTCTACTCATACTGCTGAAGTAAGTGTCCTCTGTAGTTCTCGTAGTCTACTCTTACTTCTGAAGGAAGTGTCCTTTGTAGTGGCCGTAGTCTACTCTCACTTCTGATGTAAATGTCCTCTGTAGCGGCTGTAGTCTACTCTTACTTCTGAAGTAAGTGTCCTCTGTAGCGGCCGTAGTCTACTCTTACTTCTGTAGTAAGTGTCCTCTGTAGCGGCCGTAGTCTACTCTTACTTCTGAAGTAAGTGTCCTCTGTAGCGGCCGTAGTCTACTCTTACTTCTGAAGTAAGTGTCCTCTGTAGCGGCCGTAGTCTACTCTTACTTCTGAAGTAAGTGTCCTCTGTAGCGGCCGTAGTCTACTCATACTTCTGTAGTAAGTGTCCTCTGTAGCGGCCGTAGTCTACTCTTACTTCTGAAGTAAGTGTCCTCTGTAGTGGCCTTAGTCTATTCTTACTTCTCAATTTAGTGTCCTCTGTAGTGGCCTTAGTCTACTCTTACTTCTGAAGTAAGTGTCCTCTGTAGTGGCCGTAGTCTACTCTTACTTCTGTAGTAAGTGTCCTCTGTAGTGGCCGTAGTCTACTCTTACTTCTGTAGGAAGTGTCCTCTGTAGCGGCCGTAGTCTACTCTTACTTCTGAAGTAAGTGTCCTCTGTAGTGGCCGTAGTCTACTCTTACTTCTGAAGTAAGTGTCCTCTGTAGTGGCCGTAGTCTACTCTTACTTCTGTAGTAAGTGTCCTCTGTAGCGGCCGTAGTCTACTCTTACTTCTGAAGTAAGTGTCCTCTGTAGCGGCCGTAGTCTACTCTTACTTCTGAAGTAAGTGTCCTCTGTAGCGGCCGTATTTTACTCATACTTTTGAAGTAAGTGTCCTCTGTAGCGGCCGTAGTCTACTCTTACTTCTGAAGTAAGTGTCCTCTGTAGTGGCCGTAGTCTACTCTTACTTCTGTAGTAAGTGTCCTCTGTAGTGGCCGTAGTCTACTCTTACTTCTGAAGTAAGCATCCTCTGTAGCGGCCGTAGTCTATTCTCACTGCTGAAGCAAGTGTCCTCTGTAGCGGCCGTAATCTACTCTTACTTCTGAAGTAAGTGTCCTCTGTAGCGGCCGTAGTCTACTCTTACTTCTGTAGTAAGTGTCCTCTGTAGCGGCCGTAGTCTACTCTTACTTCTGAAGTAAGTGTCCTCTGTAGTGGCCGTAGTCTACTCTTACTTCTGTAGTAAGTGTCCTCTGTAGTGGCCGTAGTCTACTCTTACTTTTGTAGTAAGTGTCCTCTGTAGTGGCCGTAGTCTACTCTTACTTCTGTAGTAAACGTCCTCTGTAGCGGCCGTAGTCTACTCTTACTTCTGAAGTAAGTGTCCTCTGTAGTGGCCGTAGTCTACTCTTACTTCTGTAGTAAACGTCCTCTGTAGCGAAATTGGAATATTAATTAAAACAACGTTAACAATATTAGCGAATACATCTTTGACTTAAGTCAGCATACAATTCTTTCGATTTGATCAACAATCGTTACGATTTTCTTAAAATATTTAGATTATCTGAAAGAATGTCAAATCTTCAAAAGAAATGTCGATAAAATAGTTAATTTCCTTGTTGTACTATTTTTTTCCCCCAAAGCCGTTTACAGTTTACGTCCATTAATGATATTGCTTCTCGTACGTAAACAATCTTTGAAATAGTTTAAACAAAATATATACATATCAGACGCTACAGCTGTTTGTATGGTCTCAGCCACTATAACTGGCTATACGAGAAATTGTGTTGATGAATATGTTTGACAGCAAAAGTAGGTGAGAAAGAGAGATGGGCAACCACAGGTTCATTGACGAAGCATATGTTTTCCGTCACTCAACTTAAACCTAAATGATCAGTACTTGCTCCACCGTCTCTTGAACATAGGGTGGTCGGATGGCGCAATGGTAACGCACTCGTCTTTCATTTAGACGCATGGGATTCGATTTCCCGAAAGGACATGAAAAGGTATTGGGTCACCTGCCCGACCACGTCGATTTTCCTCCCACATTTGGGCCAACACGAGTGATTGACATACAATGGAATAACCTGATTCACAATTCTTGTAATATAGAGTTAATTCTTTTCTAACTTTAAGATGAATGCTCGGCTCTCACATCAACCTGATTAATTCATCGTTATTTGAAAAGTATACGCTAATAACATGTTACATGTAACTACTTAAGGCCAGAAGAAACTTGTTCTTGCTTGTTGTCGAACATCGAAACAATTTTAACAATTTTCCTCACACTCTAGAAAGCAGGGATGAAGCATAGAATATGTTGATGAAATAGAAGACGCTTTTTCCTCCGGAACATCTGGTCTTATTCTCCTCGTACTTTTAAAGGAGTCTCTTTGTAAATCTTTGTAAAATCCGTATCTTGCCCTAATTTCAGTGAGTTTGAGTTAGGATAATGAGTATGTTAACATGATTGTGTTTTCAATTGTCCTCATTTGGTAACTCACATTACTTATTCAGAATAGCCAATATTGCGGATGTCGTCGATGTAGCAGAAAACGCTCATCCTTTCTGAACGCCTGGCTTCTCTTGTACGTTCTTATGGGTTTCCCTGTATCTTTCATTGGTGCATATTTGTATTTTGCCCTAGAATGGGTCTTTAATTAAGGTTTCATCGACAAGTCGGTTTTCTTTCCCTAGTAATGAATATATTGTTGAGGCGAAATAATGCATTCCACACCTTAGAATCGTGCCTCATATGACCGCGAACCATGAGGCAAATTAAGCCCCCTCAGAGTATTTGAGGCCGAGAAACAAATGCTTCCTTCTTGTTATTGAGACGAAATAGATATTTGTCCTCTGATATGCATGGTCTTTGTAAAAAAAATGACCACGACGGTTTAACTGACCTTTTGTTATTTGGTTTTGTCACAGATGTGAGAACCCATGCCAGTGCTCACCATTCCGGTAATGGAAATGAATGGAAAATCTAAACACTACCTATCCGAAGATGGTCTTCAAGTTAAGTATACAGGGTAAGTAAGAGTGATGTAGTGTCTCAGTACGAGTAAGTTAGTGTGTCAGTAATAATAATGTAGTGTCTCAATACAGGTAATGTAGTGTCTCAGTACGAGTAAGGTAGTGTCTCAATACGGGTAATGTAGTGTCTCAATATGAGTAAGGTAGCGTCTCAATACGAGTAAGGTAGTATCTCCGTAATAGTAAGGTAGTATCTCCGTAATGGTAAGGTAGTGTCTCAGTACGAGTAAGGTAGTGTCTCAGTACGAGGATTGTAGTGTCTCAGTACGAGTAAGGTAGTGTCTCAGTACGAGTAAGGTAGTGTCTCAGTACGAGTAAGGTAGTGTCTCAGTACGAGTAAGGTAGTGTCTCAGTACGAGTAAGGTAGTGTCTCAGTACGAGTAAGGTAGTGTCTTAGTACGAGTAAGGTAGTGTCTTAGTACGAGTAAGGTAGTGTCTCAGTAAAAGTAATGTAGTGTCTCAGTACGCGTAAGGTAATGTCTCAGTACGAGTAAGGTAGTGTCTCAGTAAAAGTAATGTAGTGTCTCAGTACGCGTAATGTAGTGTCTTAGTACGAGGAACGTTGCTGTCTCATGACGAGTAAAGCAGTGTCTCAGTACGAGTAATGTAGTGTCTCAGTAGGAGTAAGGTAGTGTCTCAGTACGAGTAATGTAGTGTCTCAGTACGCGTAATGTAGTGTCTCAGTACGAGTAAGGTAGTGTCTCAGTACGAGTAAGGTAGTGTCTCAGTACGAGTAAGGTAGTGTCTCAGTACGAGTCAGGTAGTTTCTCAGTACGCGTAAGGTAGTGTCTCAGTACGAGTAAGGTAGTGTCTCAGTACGAGTAAGGTAGTGTCTCAGTACGAGTAAGGTAGTGTCTCAGTACGCGTAATGTAGTGTCTCAGTACGAGGAACGTTGTGTCTCAGTACGAGTAAAGTAGTGTCTTAGTACGGGTAATGGCGTGTCTCAGTACAGTGATGTAGTGTCTCAGTACGAGTAACGTTGTGTCTCAGTAATAGTAAAGCAGTGTCTCAGTACGAGTAAGGTGGTGTCTCAGTACGAGTAATGTAGTGTCTCAGTAATAGTAAGGTAGTGTCTCAGTACGAGGAACGTAGTGTCGCAGTATGAGTAATGTTGTGTCTCTGATTCTCAATACGAGGCGCCAAAGGCTTCCCGAACGCCCTTTGCAGGAAACGAAAAGCATAGTGGTTTAGATACTCAATACGGGTAATTAAGACTCCCAGTACGGTTAACTTTGATCCTCAGTACGGGTAATTTAGGTTCCCAGTACGGTTAACTTTGATTCTCAGTACGGGTAATTTAGGTTCAGAGTGCGGGTAATTTTGATCCTCCGTACGGTTAATTTAGGTTCCCAGTACGGGAATTTTGATCCTCAGTACGGGTAATTTAGGTTCAGAGTGCGGGTAATTTTGATCCTCCGTACGGTTAATTTAGGTTCCCAGTACGGGAATTTTGATCCTCCGTACGGGTAATTTAGGTTCCCAGTACGGGTAATTTTGATTCTCAGTACGGGTAATTTAGGTTCAGAGGGAGGGTAATTTTGATCCTCAGTACGGTTAATTTAGGTTCCCAATACGGGTAATTTTGATCCTCCGTACGGATAATTTAGGTTCCCAGTACGGGTAATTTTGATCCTCAGTACGGGGTAATTTAGGTTCCCAGTACGGGTAATTTTGATCCTCCATACGGATAATTTAGGTTCCCAGTACGGGTAATTTTGATCCTCCGTACGGGTAATTTAGGAGCCCAGTACGGGTAATTTAGGTTCCCAGTACGGGTAATTTTGATCCTCTGTACGGGTAATTTAGGTTCCCAGTACGGGAAATTTTGATCCTCCGTACGGGTAATTTAGGTTCCCAGTACGCGTAATTTTGATCCTCCGTACGGGTAATTTAGGTTCCCAGTACGGGTAATTTAGGTTCCTAGTATGGTAATTTAGGTTCCCAGTACGGGTAATTTTGATCCTCCGTACGGGTAATTTAGGTTCCCAGTACGGGTAATTTTGATCCTCCGTACGGGTAATTTAGGTTCCCAGTACGGGTAATTTAGGTTCCTAGTATGGTAATTTAGGTTCCCAGTACGGGTAATTTTGATCCTCCGTACGGGTAATTTAGGTTCCCAGTACGGGTAATTTAGGTTCCTAGTACGGGTAATTTTGATCCTCAGTACGGATAATTTAGGTTCCCAGTACGGGTAATTTAGGTTCTCCCAGTACGGGTAATTTTGATCCTCAGGACGGGTAATTTTGATCCTCAGTACGGATGACTTCGTATGTGTATAAGAGGAGCTCCGCCACATAATGAACTCACACTGCGGGCAGTAGATACACTTTGTAGTTATCTACTCAATACTCAACACTCTGTACTGAGTTCTCAATCTTGGAATCAAGAGCAGACAAGAGCAGAATCTCGTGTATTCACAACGATGATTTTAAACTGGAACAGCCGAACGTCACCAAACGTTTGCTACCTTCGATAATAAGATTTTATTCATAGCTCGATATTTAAATTTGTGCATTATCACCTGCCATTAACTAAGATAAAATATCCATTTTTTAATCAGTCCAGCCGACATGGTCCAGAGGAGACAGCGAGGCTGGATAGGACAGAGAACGTACCTAGAGGTTGCGTTACTAGTCAGCTGTGGAGTTTTACTCTGTATCACTGTCATCCTCATCATCATTGAGGCGACACGACACGAAGGCCAGCCCAGTGGTAAGTACCTCGGACCCACTGTTTCCGGTCATTATATAGGGATCGAAGTAAAAAAAAAAAAAATCGAGCCTCTCACGTGGTGGCGGGGTAAAAATTTTTTTAAAGGAATTTTTTCCATGTGAGTCAATTTCAAAGAAAGTGTAGTACACAAAGGATATAATTTAGAGGAGGAATAAAAGACAAAGGATATAGTCACTGTAAGGGACAGTTTCAGGGGAGACAATAAAAAGAATATATAACAAGGGGAGATAATCATTAGAAAGGAAAACATAAAATGAGGAAATAAATAAAAGGAATAAATGGTTTGCAATGGAAATAATTAAGAGGAAAAAACCAAAGGAGATAACTCAGAAAATAAATAGTTTATCAGGGGAGGTAATTCAAATGATAAATAGTTTATCGGGGAGGTAATTCAAATGATAAATAGTTTATCGGGGAGGTAATTCAAATGATAAATAGTTTATCGGGGAGGTAATTCAAATGATAAATAGTTTATCGGGGAGGTAATTCAAATGATAAATAGTTTATCGGGGAGGTAATTCAAATGATAAATAGTTTATCGGGGAGGTAATTCAAATGATAAATAGTTTATCGGGGAGGTAATTCAAATGATAAATAGTTTATCGGGGAGGTAATTCAAATGATCAGAGTTAAAAGGGAGATAATTTAGGCGATAACAAACTAACTTAAACTGAAATAATCCAGACCGCTAAAATAACAAGGTAGATTATTCACGATGGATACCATAGTAAAGAGATGATGTAATTAAGGAATAAAATTAAATATAAGGGAGATAACTGAGAGAATATCATGAATGTCGGTTAGTTTTATTCAGAATATGGCGTTTTATACCAGGTTAGTTTTATTCAGAATATGGCGTTTTATACTAGGGAGATAATTAAGAAAATTCAATCACATATAAGTTGAAAAGTAAAAACTATGTATATATAATAGAGATATTAATAGGACAGACTGATATAGGATTAATATAGATCGCCATAATAGAATTTTCAAATAAAAGTCTGCGATAGAGCGGTCCGATTCAGGTACATTGTGTAATGTTAATGATTTTTTCCTGCAGGTGGCGCTTCATTACTTACCGCTACCAATACAGTCTGTTTGTCACAGGATTGTGTTAAAGCAGGTATATATTTATTTATTGAAATCATCAGCTTCATGTTTAAGTTACAAAAGACTAAAAAGCGACTTTGCTACCTCATGAGACTGTAATGAAAAAAGGGTTTAAGGACCAAATTTTGTATCAAATTTTCTCAGTTCATTTACAAAGATTTAATAACTCCCTTAAATTTTTTTTCCGCTATAAACCACTTTTCAAAATGTTGTATATATTAAGAAATGTTTATCTGTCCACGGATTGATGTATTTTGGCATACTGACGTCACAGTGAATTGTCAGTAATATTTTTGAAGACGTTTTTTTCCAATTCTAACTTTAGTTTATTTGTACCAGAAAACTTGATGAAAGAGATAACACAGACGTTCACTGATGTGTAAGCTTTTGATGTTCGACTGTTTTAAAAATGAATGAGAATTACGCTTTACATATTGTAGGGCGAAATTAACACTGGGCAAAAATGAAGCTTTATACGAGGGTGAAAAACCCAGCCCAGTGAGAATGTTTTCTTGTACTGTGATAGTATCATTGTTAAACTTGTCTGAAATGTTACAGCGGCCAGGTTACTACAAGGGATGAACCAGGAGGTAGACCCGTGTGATAATTTTTTCGAGTTTGCGTGCGGTTCCTGGAATAAAGTTAACGTTATTCCTGACGACAGACCTAGTTACAACACATTCGCGAAACTAAGGGACGATCTACATGTGACCCTGAAAGGTAAGTAATCAGGTCACGTGCTGTAACGTGCATCTCCCGCCCACACAAACCGATATCATAGTTTAACCATAGTGTTAGGGAATATATTATAAAATCAACATATTAATGCTATGATTATCACCTGAACTAAAACGACTGCTATATTTTTTATCGGTTATTATGTCATTGTCGATAAAATCAATCTGTAAAATTAGTTTTTTTCGAGGGTTCAAATTTACTCGGTTTTACCAAAAGATTGAAGGTAGGACAAAACGTTTTTGATCACGAAAAAAACAGTCAACAAAGTATTTAATTTAATTTTCTAACATTAAAACAGCAATAAAGGAACGAAAAACAAACAAATAAAAAAATAAACTAAAGAAAAACCCTCGAGAATAACGATGTATACAATATAGCTCTACTCGTCTGTTTCTATTGTTCCGACACATATAATAATAACTAGAGGTCATTGATAAATCTTTGGATAATTTCGTAAAGCTGGGAACATTTCCACCAATCAGAAAGCTAGGAATATTTCCACCAATCAGAAAGCAAGGAACATTTCCACAAATCAGAAATCTAGGATCGGTAGTAACAGCCAATTCCAAAGGCTGTGACAAAAGGCTAACGCCGTAATTGAATTACTTTTATCCCAAACAATCTGAAAGATTTTGATAGTATTACGAAATCTCGTTTTAGATGTGATTTTGTGAGAACAGTTATGTGATATTGGTATCTGTAGATTTATTGGAGTCTCCAGTGACAACTGACGAATGTGAAGCTTCCAAGAAAGCCAAACACCTGTACCATTCCTGTCTCAATGAGAGTGAGTTATTTAACCATATCGATAAGATCAGCATACTGTTTGGTTCATGTATCAGATTTACTACGTCTTTTGTACAAGACATCTCAGGAACCTTCAGACTGGTTCCTATTAACCAAACGTAGGAATGAGTAATGTTATAGGTCAAATGTCACAACTACTTATAAACAACGTATACAAGACTATTTCATGAAACCTTATAAAAGATTTTTTCCTTATTCATACGGCAGTATCATGATACCAGTTCTATTCTAGATTAGATTAAAATGGTTTATCTGTTATCGTTATATACTTGATCACTTTAGAAATGAAGGTCTTTATACCATTGTATAAAATTATCTTTCATTGGTCCTTGGTTGACCAATTAAAAAACCGCGAACAGAATTTTTAAAAAAATTATCTTATGGGACCCATATCAGGTTTTGTTTATATATTCATAACACAATATCTGGAACGTTCGATGGACATTGGTCAAGATCCGACACACATATTGAAATCCTTCTTCAGAGTTCCACGATTTATTGGTGACGTTGCTAAAAGTGTTTTCCATGTTATAATTGCTGACAGCTTTAATAGAGGAGCGAGGCTTGGAGCCAGCCATTAACTTGATCGAGGAACTGGGAGGCTGGCCCGTGACGTTCGTCAACGGTACGTGGCCGGAGGAGACGTTTGACCTGACTGGACTGCTCATCAAACTACGACTCTACAATAATAAGATATTGGTTGACCAGTGGGTTAGTGCTGATGACAAAAACTCGGACGTCCATATTATACAGGTAGGGTGTTCATATTATACAGGTAGGGTGTCCACATAATACAGGTAGGCTGTCCATATTATACAGGGAGGATGTCCATATTATACAGGTAGGGTGTTCACATAATACAGGTAGGGTGTCCATATTATACAGGTAGGGTGTTCACATAATACAGGTAGGGTGTCCAAACTATACAGGTAGGGTGTCCACATAATACAGGTAGGATGTCCAAACTATACAGGTAGGATGTGCATATTATACAGCTAGGGTGTCCATATTATACATGTAGGGTGTCCACATAATACAGGTAGGGTGTCCAAACTATACAGGTAGGGTGTCCACATAATACAGGTAGGGTGTCCAAACTATACAGGTAGGATGTGCATATTATACAGGTAGGGTGTCCACATTATACAGGTAGAGTGTTCATATAATACAGGTAGGGTGTCCATATTATACAGGTAGGGTGTCCATGTTATACAGGTAGGGTATCCACATAATACAGGTAGGGTGTCCATATTATACAGGTAGGGTATCCACATAATACAGGTAGGGTGTCCATATTATACAGGTAGGGTGTCCATATTATACAGGTAGGGTATCCACATAATACAGGTAGGGTGTGCATATTATATAGGTAAGGTGTCCATATTATACAGGTAGGGTTTCCAAAAAATATAGGTAAGGTGTCCATATTATACAGGTAGTGTGTCCATATTATACAGGTAGGGTGTTCACATTATACAGGTAGGGTGTTCACAATATACAGGTAGGGTGTTCACATTATACAGGTAGGGTGTCCACATTATACAGTTAGGGTGTCCACATTATACAGGTAGAGTGTTCACATTATACAGGTAGGGTGTCCATATCATATAGGTAAGGTATCCATCTTATACAATTAGGGTGTCCACATAATACAGGTAGGGTGTGCATATTATATAGGTAAGGTGTCCATATTATATAGATAAGGTATCCATCTAACTCCACCCTAGTTTGCGGTGAGAGAAGAAAACAAAGTTACACTATGCCAACTATTGTGGGTTAATTCTGGATAAAGATGACTGGGTGGGATTTCCATACCACCATCTTGGATCCGTTGTTACGTCATGTGACGTTGTTTCCTAGCAACAAAATCAAGATGGCGGTTATCAACCCCAGCCCTTAAGCCACAATAAGTCATCACTATGTATTTGATATATTAGACCCTTTTTAATCCCCAGCTGGATCAGCCCGACCTCGGGATGCCTTCCAGGGACTATTACACCAAGGGTCGCCATGATCCAGATGTCGTGGTCTACGAAGAGTTTGCAATCGCCATTGCTATGGTGTTTGGCGCCAATAAAACGGTTGCTGAAGATGATATACGAGAAATGGTGGATTTGGAGATACGACTAGCGAATGTATGTAACTGTACTGATAAGTAAAAGGAAAATATCAATGGGCAGTCGATTAGTTGATTTTTAAGCAAGATTTTATTTTAAAAATCACCAACAATGGCGAACACACATAGCGCATGACAAACGTTTTTGCTTCCAAGCAGCACATATTGAATTATAAGTGAGACTCGTTGAGTTCTAAAAAATAATTAATTTACATCCAAACACGACACCGACTTTAAGTTTGAACAATACCACGTCGTTGTGGATTCATTATAAATTTACATATTTTGTTGAAAATAAGTTACAAGTTGTCCCCTAAGGTCACTGATGGCTGACATGTATATATACCATCTGTTTGATGAAGACGGCCCTTTGTTACAGATCACGGTACCACAGGTGCACAGACGGGACAACGAGAAACTGTACAATAGAATGACGGTCAGACGACTAAAGCAAATCGTTCCAGGGGTGAGTTTTCTAGAGACCATTATTGGCAGAGAATAAAGAAATGTACGTATTTGTCTCCCAGACAAACCATATTGGGCAGTGACATACATGTTAACTGCAACGAAAATGCCATAAGTTGTGTGTTTTGTTTTTCTATGAACGTACAACTGTTCATTTCATTTCTTTTCCAAGTACTACTGATCATTTTGCCCTCTTTGCACGTGCTTCTTACTTTTTTTTTGTATTTTTAACTAATATGACGTCATTTTTTACGTCACAGTTTGAGTGGATGCGTTACCTGAGGGCTATATTTGACCAAGTCAACATCACCATTACAGAGCTGGAGGAGGTGGTGGTGTACGCCCCGGAGTACCTGAAACAAATGGTGGAGATAATTAACGAAACGCCGGGGAGGTAGGAATACAGACATAAGGTGTTGAGCTGAAACCAAAGTACTGAAAAGTACTGCAGAATATGAAACGTTACCGTAAAATGAAACATTTGTTAGGATCGAGGAAGAAGTATACCTTGTTTTTGCCGCAACCTTTAATTTCTTAAGAGCATAACCTCTTCGTTCGATTCTCGTTGATTTTCTTCTTCATTACGTCACAGCATAAAAACCAGTAAATTCTGGGAAACGTGGTTCCCTTATGTCATAACATGATATTTACCAATCGAAATATTTACACTTTTATCTTGTTATTTAACGCAGTGACCTACACATTAATTATCGATTTTCAAATTATTAAATATGTTTGATTCCCGGAATGGATGTGAAAAGGTATGGGGTCACCTGCCCGACCACGTGGGTTTTCCCCGGGTACTCCGGTTTCCTCCCACACTAAGACCCTCGCGCGCTTCCATCCGAGCCAACAAGAGTGATTAATATAAGTTGGAAAAACTTGTTTCGGAATTTTTGTGAAATAAATAAAGTTTATTATTTAAATTATATTTCAATTAATTTTTCTCCGTGAATACAGATAAGAATACATAGTTAAACATATGTTATATATGTATCACCAATCTTAACCTTAGTTAAAATGACTCAGGATGATAAATCACTTCCTATTTGTGCTAGAGTCATTCCGAGTTGAAGTATAGTTGATATTAGGGTAAACATATTCATATAAACAATGGAATATTTCAAACTTTAAAATTGCCATTTCGTGCAGGGGTTGGTACGGCAACCTTACAGTAACAACGTCTTGCTTAGAGTCTATTGATTGTGGCTAAACTTAAAGTTAGTCAAGATAGTTTGTAATGTAGTCTGAAGACCTAAGATAATAATAATAATGAGAGAGAGAGAGAGAGAGAGAGAGAGAGAGAGAGAGAGAGAGAGAGAGAGAGAGGAGAGTAGGAGAGAGAGGAGGGGGATGGAGAGAGAGGGTGAGAGGGAGAGAGAGGAGGGGGATGAAGAGAGAGAGAGGAGGTGTTCCATATTTGTAGTGAGTGATTAGCAAACACTTTCTACCTCTGTCAAAAATGTCAAAAATGATATGGAAACGAGGCAGCACTATTATACCATTCAACAATATTTAGTCTCTTCATGGGGCTGGTTTTGATATGTATGATATTATTCAAATGTGCCGACATCATAAAGTAAATAATTCTCCATATTTAACACTTTTAAGCCCATTTTGATTTTTAACAAACCTCCTTTAGGCCCTCAGCATCACTGACGAGTCTTTGTTGGAAGAAATAGCTTTATTATACAGTTTCATTAATTACTTAAATTATAATACTAAATTTGTATTGAATTGTGTAATCAATTTGTGTATAATTTGTTTTGCTGCAATTTCATCGCAATAATATCACAATTGAACCGGGGGGATTAACAGTGATACCGTAGAAGACAAGGCTAGTACACAGGTTCCAGTAGTATTAGCCAAGATATATGGCGGACTTTAAAGAATTATTGATTATCTTACGTAACCTAATTACTTCAATTACTCTAATCAGGTATGCCTTGTTTATTAATTTCCTAATTCACGTAGCGAATCACGTAGATCACGTGAGCCAATTATGTAACTCTCCAGCACAAGGAGATTGGTCCATCGTAGTCAACGCTTTATCTCACTGGCGTAATCATGTTATACAGTTACATCATTGTGTCGCTACATGTTTACAAATTAGCTTAATTGTGTACAAAGTGCAGTCACAGTGATATATCAGGATTATCACTTGTTTAGCTTCCAATACATCATGGCTTTTAGGTTTTAGCTAATTTGCGGCGAAAAGGCAGGTGCGCTTATGCAGAAACGATCTGTCGTCTGCTCGTTTTCTTCCAATTTAAATCTAAAACGTTTTTTCCCAGAACTATAAATGGTATAACTAATTCCACACACGTTTCATATAATTTCTGCCTAAATTTGATTTCCATTGCCGTGCCGTCCAGTCTTTACCCAGAATGCTAACGTTGGTATTTTTTGTTTTTGTGTTTATTTTTTTCTGTTTTGATGTTATTACCAGAACTACCTGTATCTTATATTTTTATCAAACATGTCGATCATTTGTTTGTAGAACACTGGCAAACTACTTAATTTGGCGGATAATGATGAACCGGATGATGAATCTACCTGCTAAATACAGAGACTTGCGGAAGGAATACCATAGAGTAGGTTAAAAGGACGTAGGAAACTTTCCAGCTAATGTTGTGCACGACATTATAAGGGGGACTCTAACTAAATTAAATATCGTGTTTTATGTCATTTTAATTATCTATAGTAAATATTGATCAACACCAAATTGAGAATAATACTATCATTATGGTTAACACGGCACTTGAATAAAAGTAAACTAAAAAAAAAACAACAAAGCTACACTTTGCTAAAACGAATGAGAAGATTGTGGTTTGATAATTCGATAATACGTCATGCCTACGTCATGGCTATGTCTACATGCCTACGTCATGGCTATGTCTACGTCATGCATACATCATGGCTATGTTTACGTCATGTTTACGTCATGTCTACATTATGTCTTTGTCTTCGTCATGCAAACGCCATGTCCATATCTACGTCATTCAAACATCATGTCTATGTCTACGTCATGTTTACGTCATGTCTATTTCATATTTGCATATAAATATATAAAATATTTACGTCGTCATGTTTACATATCTATATAGCAAATATACGGATCGGAAGTGGAGAGATCAAGATGGCGGGACTGTGTGAGTTACGTCAATGACAACATGGGTAATGCTGTGGGGAGATTGTTTGTACAGCAACACTTTGACGAACTGGCTAAGAAAGTGGTAAGCCAATTAGATATTTGATATACAGTTAACTGATTACGTTGCTATTGTGTTCGATACATTAAATTAATAACCCTTTTCACATCGGGCAGGTCCTACAAAGATGTGGGTAAGAGTGTTGCATGTTTTCGGCGAATGATATGCGGGATAATTATGATTTCCGAAAGAATAAGCTTTTTATTTAATTCATCTCATGTTGTCTTGCTAGGCACTTGATATGATACACGACATTCGAATCGCTTTCAACGAGCTTCTCCACGAAGTTGTATGGATGGACGATTACACGCGCAAAGTGGCAGAAGAAAAGGTAAGATATACAAATATAGTGAAAACATTGTGATCTGGAAAGTAAGCATTATATGACAACTGAGTATGTAAGTTTAAAAATATTAGTAAATCATTACTTCTGAGAGTAAAAAATGTCTCACTTTTCAAGAAACTTCGTATTGTATGACTTAATTTGAGAAAAATAACTTAAACTTCCTAACGGTTCTAAACCAAATATTTCGAATTATTTTAACAGATCGGTAGAATTGTGACAACTATAAACTACACTGTAAATCATTTTCCATCATCACAGAAAGCGGACGGCATGGTGACAGTTATGAACCAATATTTTTGATAATTTTAACAGAATGAGAGAAGTGTGACAGTTATGAACCAATATTTCCGATATTTTGACAGGCTGACGGTATCGTTGAGAAGATTGGTTACCCATCCTATATACTTAATGATACCGCGCTAGACGAGGACTACCGAAACGTAAGTATTTATTAACCCGAGTAAAATTATCATTAACCTTTATTGACCTGGTTCGAGGACCACTATAGAAAGTTTTGGTCATTATTTAATGCTGTAAAATTTCAAGATATGTTTGCATCTGTCAGGCTTGAAGCTTTGTGTCTGACATAAGTGTCTGATGTTTTCACTTAAGCCATCAATTTATGTGTAGGAAACGCTATCTTTACTGTGTTAATTTGCCTGACATTTTTCATGTCAGATGCATGTTTGTAAAAACTGTTTTTATATGCACAAAAGAAGTTGAAGTGTTTGACAGTCGATTAAAGATGTTTCTAAGACTAGCTAATTTTGTAATCGGTGAATTATCTCCCGAACAATGAGTACAGCTACACCACGCCTCTATTTCGACCTTCTACCATCACTGACAAGCCCTAGAAGGTCGAAACTGCTGTATGATGCATTATTTCACAGTTTTATTACATTTGTAGCAGTGAAATATAGGGATATCTCAAACTGATAAAAGTGATATTTTTCACTAGTGAAAAATATCACTTTTTTTTTTTTCACTAGTGAGGATTTTTCACTTTGAGGATTGACCGATCAGAGAGCCCGGTACAAATCTAAATTTCCATTTTCATAGCAGTCAGCAGACGATACAAGCCAGTAACTCTAACTATGTTATCAGTGGTTAAACCCATCCCCGTTCTGAGAGTCTTGAGTGTGGACCAAGGCATTTTAAAAGAATCTGTGTCATTGATAGTGACAGCGACTAGAATGGCGCCATACTTTTCCATGCGCGGAAGAATAGATCAAACATTGTTTTTATTTTTTCAGTTAACGTTTAAACCATTTTATTGTGTATAGGGGACATCAGTAAATTACAAAATCCATGTCAAAACACAAATAAACATTCATTATGATTTATTTACGAGTCTGTACATTTTTACTGATTTTTCATAAAATGGACTATTTTTTGCCGCGCACAACATCGTTGTATAATGAGTGAGTAGCGTCTGGAAAAAGCATGGTCAACTTACCCATTTTATAGTTATCTTAAGTTTGCCATTGTTTTGATTTATTTTTGCGATGAAAATGTAATAAACAGAATATTTAATAGTTTTCTTCAGAAATAACAAATATTTCACTAGTGTAGCTAATATTTTGGTATCGCACTCGAAGATACCAAAATATTAGCCACACTAGTGAAATATATTTGTTATAACTAAAGACACTATTAAATATCCTAAATGTATTAAAGAAATTTATCAACTATATTATTTTGTACAGTCTGATATGCCTCGTATGTTTACCTATATCTACACAAAAATGGATGTTATGAACTGGATTTTTTCTAGGTTTATTTCCACGCCGATAAATACTTTGAAAATGTCCTGGAGAACATCAAAAGCATAGCACTGGCAAATATGGCCCTTTTACGGGAACCCGTCGACAAGAGCAGGTAAGGCACTTGACTGAAAAAAATTGTCACATCAAATGTATCTTATACAACAAAATAATGTGTTATCCTATAAGCCCAGTAGTTCAGTGCTCAGGTAATATTTTTACGTATGTGTCACTGGTGTAATATACCACGGACCGTTTTTCATTGGCTGCGCCAGCCAGAAATCGATTATGATGTCATAATATGGACAATGACGTAACCACATGAATTGAAGATGGTGCAACAAAAGGGCTGCCTCCATTTGATTTTGTCCTCCACATTTTGACTTTAAGATCACCTGTCACGAAGTAGCTTTTCTGAGTTATTCCATGAAAGTTTGTTTTCAAATCGTCTGGAAGTTCTTATTTCAGATAAAAACTTCAAAGACTGGTTCCAAAAATGTTATACGGAATGAAAACTCATTTAAGATCGTATATTTATATGTATTGAACAACTAACGTTATCAGAACAAGACTGCTAGCCTCTAAACTGTGACCTTTATCAACATCCACGTGTGACCTTCAACATAAGATAAAAAATGTGTTACCTTCTGGAAACATTTCTCGATAATCAATAATTTACGTCTTTTAATTTGAAGCCCAAATCTAATTATATTTAGCAATAGACCATAATAAAACTCGTGATAAAAATTGCAAATGTGCACTTATCTCCCCTTCTCTTCGAAGCATTTCTGGCTTACATCTGTATTTCTAATTCCTTGACAATCAAACCATCAATCTGGGTGACTTATCTTGTTCGGAATCAGCGGCTGGCCAACTTTATTACCCGACAGAGTAATCTCCCGTTGTGCCTTAAATAAAGCGACTTTCCGTCTCTATTTTCTGTGATAGAGAATCAACCAGTTTAATTAGAAAGAGATTAAATAAACATTAAACCTTTACACAGCGCTGTCCCACTCACTATGTGTATGTAATACTTCTGTAGAATATTGACTAAATACTATATTATTCTGTTGTACTATTATACTAAAATACTTTATTGTATGTGATTCTGGACTCCAAGCTTCAAACGGAGAGAAGACAAACTAGTAGACGAATGAAGCTGGGTAATACGTTACCAGAACTGAGGTGTTGATAGCCTGTCTATCAGATTCCACTAGCTGTCTCACTATAAAATAGCTTCACGACAGTCTGTTAAAAATCTATATGACAAGCGGCCTCTCCAAGGGTCAGGTGTCCATCGTCTGTGGCCTTAATGGCCCTTAATGGCACGACCGCTTCGTTCGAAAACCCAATAAAGTCATAAAATGTAGGCCTTCTTGCTCTCTTTTTCAGATGGTCAACAACACCCGCCATTGTCAACGCCTTCTATAGTTCTACGAAAAATCAGATTAGTAAGTTTTGTATTGAAAGTGTTGTAATGTAATTGAGATATACATCTGATCTCGGTGTTCAGTCTCATCGTTCTCTCGAAAATACGAGCGGCAATCGATGCGAGGCCAAAATATCATGCTTGATCTCTTTCTCAAGTGAATATAGACGGACCTTGTTTTCCTTGTAATAACGTATATGTCAGTATCAGACAGGGGATAATATTTTCATGTTTACAGAAACGAATATATCCCTGTGTTAGGTTCGGTAGTTTTTGGTTAGGAATAAGGAGCCATTTCAATAGAATAGAAATAATAGTTGGTGCAAAATTTGGACGGACTTCATCTTGAAATTTTAACCCCACACAGCAAATAAAATATATATTTATTTTGTCCCTACTTAACTTTCATTTCATCGATTTTGAATAAAGATTTTGTCGATATTTGACTTTTAGTTTCAATAGAAATAAGATAAGATGTTCAAAACTTTGAATATCGTCATCTAAACACAGGATTAATGTCAATTGTAAAATAAGAAAATATTGTCCAAATAATCTGGGTTTGTTATATAGATATCACGCTGGTATCAAACGTTTCTTCGGCATGATCATCAAGCACTGCTTATGTATCGGCTTTTTATTTACAGTGTTCCCGGCAGGGATTTTACAGCCACCGTTCTACTACAAAGGTTACCCCAAGTAAGTCAATTATATCGTATTAGAAAGGAGATGCCAATGTCTGATTTATCACAGGAAAAAAATCTGAAAGCTTTAGTAAAATACCGAAGATAAATGTTGTCTATTTTAGTCCTAGTTGAAATTTAATTGTCAATAGTCTGTGTTTTCACTGGCAAAATCTCATTATATTGCGTGCTGATACGTCTTTATCTTTTTGGAATGTTTATTTCCGGAAGAATATGGGATGGATATTGTTATGAAATAAACAATAAAAAGGTTTCGTTATTCATAAAGTAACATGAAAACTACCGGCAAACCTACCACAAACTGAAACATGAAAGCTACCGGCAAGCCTACCACAAACTGTAACATGAAAACTACCGGCAAGCCTACCACAAACTGTAACATGAAAGCTACCGACAAACCTACCACAAACTGTACCACAAACTGTAACATGGAAACTACCGTCAAACCTACCACAAACTGTACCACAAACTGTAACATGAAAACTACCGGCAAACCTACCACAAACTGTAACATGAAAACTACCGGCAAGCCTACCACAAACTGTAACATGAAAGCTACCGACAAACCTACCACAAACTGTACCACAAACTGTAACATGGAAACTACCGGCAAACCTACCACAAACTGTAACATGGAAACTACCGGCAAACCTACCACAAACTGTAACATGGAAACTACCGGCAAGCCTACCACAAACTGTAACATGAAAGCTACCGATAAACCTACCACAAATTGTACCACAAACTGTAACATGGAAACTACCGTCAAACCTACCACAAACTGTACCACAAACTGTAACATGAAAACTACCGGCAAACCTACCACAAACTATAACATGGAAACTACCGTCAAACCTACCACAAACTGTACCACAAACTGTAACATGAAAACTACCGACAAACCTACCACAAACTGTAACATGAAAACTACCGGCAAGCCTACCACAAACTGAAACATGAAAGCTACCGGCAAGCCTACCACAAACTGTAACATGAAAACTACCGGCAAGCCTACCACAAACTGTAACATGAAAGCTACCGACAAACCTACCACAAACTGTACCACAAACTGTAACATGGAAACTACCGTCAAACCTACCACAAACTGTACCACAAACTGTAACATGAAAACTACCGGCAAACCTACCACAAACTGTAACATGAAAACTACCGGCAAGCCTACCACAAACTGTAACATGAAAGCTACCGACAAACCTACCACAAACCTACCACAAACTGTAACATGGAAACTACCGGCAAACCTACCACAAACTGTAACATGGAAACTACCGGCAAGCCTACCACAAACTGTAACATGAAAGCTACCGATAAACCTACCACAAATTGTACCACAAACTGTAACATGGAAACTACCGTCAAACCTACCACAAACTGTACCACAAACTGTAACATGAAAACTACCGGCAAACCTACCACAAACTATAACATGGAAACTACCGTCAAACCTACCACAAACTGTACCACAAACTGTAACATGAAAACTACCGACAAACCTACCACAAACTGTAACATGAAAACTACCGGCAAGCCTACCACAAACTGTAACATGAAAGCTACCGACAAACCTACCACAAACTGTACCACAAACTGTAACATGAAAACTACCGACAAACCTACCACAAACTGTAACATGAAAACTATCGGCAAGCCTACCACAAACTGTACCACAAACTGTAACATGAAAACTACCGGCAAACCTACCACAAACTGTAACATGAAAACTACCGGCAAGCCTACCACAAACTGTACCACAAACTGTAACATGAAAACTACCGGCAAGCCTACCACAAACTGTACCACAAACTGTAACATGGAAACTACCGGCAAACCTACCACAAACTGTAACATGAAAACTACCGTCAAACCTACCACAAACTGTACCACAAACTGTAACATGGAAACTACCGGCAAACCTACCACAAACTGTAACATGAAAACTACCGGCAAGACTACCACAAACTGTAACATGAAAGCTACCGATAAACCTACCACAAACTGTACCACAAACTGTAACATGGAAACTACCGTCAAACCTACCACAAACTGTACCACAAACTATAACATGAAAACTACCGGCAAACCTACCACAAACTGTACCACAAACTGTAACATGAAAACTACCGGCAAGCCTACCACAAACTGTAACATGAAAACTACCGGCAAGCCTACCACAAACTGTACCACTAACTGTAACATGGAAACTACCGGCAAACCTACCACAAACTGTACCACAAACTGTAACATGGAAACTACCGGCAAACCTACCACAAACTGTAACATGGAAACTACCGGCAAGCCTACCACAAAATGTACCACAAACTGTAACATGAAAACTACCGGCAAACCTACCACAAACTGTAACATGAAAACTACCGGCAAACCTACCACAAACTGTAACCTACCGCAAACTGTAACATGAAAACTACCGGCAAGCCTACCACAAACTGTACCACTAACTGTAACATGAAAACTACCGGCAAGCCTACCACAAACTGTACCACAAACTGTAACATGGAAACTACCGTCAAACCTACCACAAACTGTACCACAAACTGTAACATGAAAACTACCGGCAAACCTACCACAAACTGTAACATGGAAACTACCGGCAAGCCTACCACAAACTGTAACATGAAAACTACCTGCAAGCCTACCACAAACTGTACCACTAACTGTAACATAAAAACTACCGGCAAACCTACCACAAACTGTACCACAAACTGTAACATGGAAACTACCGGCAAACCTACCACAAACTGTAACATGAAAACTACCGGCAAACCTACCACAAACTGTAACATGAAAACTACCGGCAAACCTACCACAAACTGTAACATGAAAACTACCGGCAAACCTACCACAAACTGTAACACCACAAACTGTACCAAAACTAACCTACCGGCAAGCCTACCACAAACTGTACCACTAACTGTAACATGAAAACTACCGGCAAGCCTACCACAAACTGTACCACTAACTGTAACATGGAAACTACCGTCAAACCTACCACAAACTGTAACATGAAAACTACCGGCAAACCTACCACAAACTGTTACATGGAAACTACCGAAAAACCTACCACAAACTGTAACATGAAAACTACCGGCAAACCTACCACAAACTGTAACATGAAAACAACCGGCAAACCTACCACAAACTGTAACATGAAAACTACCGGCAAGCCTACCACAAACTGTACCACAAACTGTAACATGAAAACTACCGGCAAACCTACCACAAACTGTACCACAAACTGTAACATGAAAACTACCGGCAAGCCTACCGCAAACTGTAACATGAAAACTACCGGCAAGCCTACCACAAACTGTAACATGAAAACTACCGGCAAACCTACCACAAACTGTAACATGAAAACAACCGGCAAACCTACCACAAACTGTAACATGAAAACTACCGGCAAGCCTACCACAAACTGTACCGCAAACTGTAACATGAAAACTACCGGCAAGCCTACCACAAACTGTAACATGAAAGCTACCGGCAAGCCTACCACAAACTGTACCACAAACTGTAACATGGAAACTACCGTCAAACCTACCACAAACTGTACCACAAACTGTAACATGAAAACTACCGGCAAACCTACCACAAACTGTAACATGGAAACTACCGGCAAACATACCACAAACTGTACCACAAACTGTAACATGGAAACTATCGTCAAACCTACCACAAACTGTACCACAAACTGTAACATGAAAGCTACCGTCAAACCTACTACTAACTTCAGAAAATCAATAATTTGTGTTTTGGTATCACCTACTCCCATGTAGATGAATAATCTTGAATATTATCAAAGCTGTAATGCTGTATTGTGCCCAGATAGATCTGCTGGTGATATAAACTTAGCAGTCCGGACGTTGTCTAATACCTGACAATAGTTTAAATCCTGCAGGATCGGTTTTAGGGGAACCACATACCTTAACCTTCCGACATAAGTCCTCAGCTTCTGTGACGAGGTACTTGAAGGACAAAATAGTTGCATGTTTCAGTTAAATTCATCATTTGGCCTCGAATCATTCTAAATCAGAATAGAAAGGTGTCATTCTGTGACGTGCCATTCGCTAATGTCACACAGGTAGATGCGGCTGTTGAGATTTTAGTGTATGACTGTACAACAATCAAAGTATTATTTCTCTCTCTTACCGCATGCCATACATTACTCATAAAATTCGATAGGATTATATGGGATACCCTACAACTCGAAGATAAACAGACCTCAAAAATAGGCCTAATCCGAAAATTTGTTTTTATTATTGTTTTAAATGTCAACATCGTCTGAATGTGGATGTTAACATAGATATTGTCATTTGAAAGCGTTGATCTTCCAATACAGTTAAATATTGTTAACCAAGAGATATTCGCTAGCAGTTTCTTTTGCGATGGAAACTCGCGACGATCATTTTTTCCAATAATCAAAGCTTAATACCTCACCTCAAAATAGTATCGGAAAGAATAATTACGTGAATAAAAACCCGCGAAAATATGTCATGATGAAGAGTATCAAATTTAATTTTCCCTTCTTTTACAGATCATTGAATTACGGAGGTATTGGAATGGTGATTGGACATGAAATAACTCATGGATTTGATGACAGAGGTTAACACCTGGTCTATGATTAGTCTTTGTGTAGATTAGTCTAAGTAGAAAGCAGAAAATCACAACATTAGTCTTTGTGTAGATTAGTCTATGTAGATAGATGTTCACACCATTAGTCTTTGTGTAGATTAGTCTATGTAGATAGAAGTTCACACCATTAGTCTTTGTGTAGATTAGTCTATGTAGATAGAAGTTCACACCATTAGTCTTTGTGTAGATTAGTCTATGTAGATAGAAGTTCACACCATTAGTCTTTGTGTAGATTAGTCTATGTAGATAGAAGTTCACACCATTAGTCTTTGTGTAGATTTGTCTATGTAGATAGATGTTCACACCATTAGTCTTTGTGTAGATTAGTCTATGTAGATAGAAGTTCACACCATTAGTCTTTGTGTAGATTAGTCTATGTAGATAGAAGTTCACACCATTAGTCTTTATGTAGATTAGTCTATGTAGATAGAAGTTCACACCATTAGTCTTTGTGTAGATTTTTCTATGTAGATAGATGTTCACACCATTAGTCTTTGTGTAGATTAGTCTATGTAGATAGAAGTTCACACCATTAGTCTTTGTGTAGATTAGTCTATGTAGATAGAAGTTCACACCATTAGTCTTTGTGTAGATTAGTCTATGTAGATAGAAGTTCACACCATTAGTCTTTATGTAGATTAGTCTATGTAGAAAGCAGAAAATCACACCATTAGTCTTTGTGTAGATTAGTCTATGTAGATAGAAGTTCACACCATTAGTCTTTGTGTAGATTAGTCTAAGTAGAAAGCAGAAAATCACACCATTAGTCTTTGTGTAGATTAGTCTAAGTAGAAAGCAGAAAATCACACCATTAGTCTTTGTGTAGATTAGTCTAAGTAGAAAGCAGAAAATCACACCATTAGTCTTTGTGTAGATTAGTCTAAGTAGAAAGCAGAAAATCACACCATTAGTCTTTGTGTAGATTTGTCTATGTAGATAGCAGAAAATCACACTATTAATCTTTGTGTAGATTAGTCTATGTAGATAGAAGTTCACACCATTTAGTCTTTGTGAAGATGATAGATGTTGGCACCGTTATTCTGTGTATATGATAAAGATCTGTGTAGATTATCTGTGAAATGAACCTGCGTCTAGATATTATCTAACCTATGTGAATCAAATTTACCGATAATACAAAAAAAAAACAAAAACAAAAATCATACAACTTTTTCATACATATGATATATTTTGTAAACCACCTGTTAATGTGCTGATACATAATTTAACATAAGTAGTGAACACATTATTAATACATTTCGATGCCCTTTCTGTCAGGGTCGAAGCGATGAAGACCTTTCGTTTAGTCAGTTTAATTAAAATCATTCCTACTTGACTCCTCAGGTCGACAGTTCGACAAAGATGGTAATCTAAAACAATGGTGGGATGATGTGGTCATCGAACGATTCAAGAACCAGACCAGCTGTATTGTAGAACAGTATGGGAACTACACCATGCCAGGGATCGGTATAGCGGTACGACTGTTAATTATAAATGACCAATACTTACAGATGATGAACGGTCACTAAACACCTAAATACGGTTACATAGAAAAATTCTGATGCAAGCTGATGAAAATTATGAATTTTGTGGACAGCATCATAATGATTGTAAATGAAATAATTTTTCAATCCTCGTTAATACATCTGGTGGATTCATTGTCACTATTGACTTGATTCTTAGTTTGAGAACGTTATATTACTTAGAATGACTTTGACTTACTCGATGGATGTCATCAATGAAGGAAAGGTTAATGTATTCAAATATCGACCTTATTTGATTAATTTCTATATAGAACCATGCTATTGTGTATATACCGTCGTTATTGGGTTGGACTTTATGCATATACATTCATATAAAAAGGACCTTTTAAAAATCCTTTCTTATACTGATTTCTAACTTTCTCTTTTGATAGTTAAACGGCATCCAGACACAGGGAGAAAACATCGCTGATAATGGAGGACTTAAGGAGGCGTACAGGGTAGGTATGACTTAAGTTAAAGTTTAGCTACAGAGAGGATAAAGTGATAAACATGACGTTCTTCAAACTTCATTCAGTATAGAAAAAATATTTTTTCTTCTTAAGTTATTGGGTTTGTGCATCTTCCAATTTAGTGTTCGACAGATATTCCTCATTCTCTTTTTTAGAATCAGTTATAGAATGCAGTTTACTTCATTCTTTGGCTCTACTTATCTGATTCTAAAGTTGTTTTGAAAAACGCTATTGACTCGTGTATTTATTGTGCACTCTTCGAGAATCCAGGTGGTAGACAATTCCTGTAGTTCCCGAGATTTGCTATGATATGCAGCGACGTTTAGATTCGTTCGGAACGCTTTAGAATGTACTCAAATCCAATCCCAAATATGTGACGAATATTTAAGACAAGAAACGTCAATATCACAAGGAATTACAGAATGTAGACACGGTTCTGTTTCTGTTTTAAATGTCACTAAATCTAGAAATACTGTATGTGCCCAGTTTATAATAATCTCAAATTTCAAAGACAAGGAAGTTCCTGTTTATGACATATTTTAATTGGATATACAGGTCCTGTGTATGACTTGTACAGCTTAAAAGCAAATAGCAGTAACAAATGAGATAAGTAACTACAAATAAAGGTGAATAATTTATACCAATTTGAACATGATTATTTACAGGCATATTCAAAATGGGAAAGAAGTCAGGAAAAAAAAGAGGACCTACTGCCGGGTTTGACGCATCTAAACCATCATCAATTATTCTTTCTTAACTTCGCTCAGGTATGTTACAATTTTAGCCCAACTTACTAAATCATCTCATAATTGGACTGTATGTAAAACTCGTCAGGCCGAGTGAACCTCTTCCTTGGCGTCCTTCTTAAGATTGATAAAAAATGACTAAATCAGAACGGTTTTCCATAAACAGAAATATAGACGATATTTGGAATTTCCCTTTAAAATCTGTACTAAATTCTAATATGCGTCTGATCAAAAGGGATGAAACATTTTTTTCTGCTGTGTGTTTGAACTCTGGTTAATGGGGTATGTGACAAAAGCTGATAATGTGAATGTTTGACCGCAGATAAGGTTAAGGCATTTTGGAATATACTGGATTAAGTTTACGTGTCGCAGTTGATTCGATGTTCAAGGACACGTTCCCAATATCATGATTTTCGCTCAAGATATCGACAACTGACAGACAAACTTAACACAGGGTTTCAAGATTCAGGTTGCTAAACGTTTTGGGGAAATGTTACTGTCGTCATAGTAATTCATTGAGAAATGTTCTATTTTTTGTGTGATATGATACTGGAAGTGTTTGATGCTCGTTAGTTCCATTGTTATTTACCTTGTTCTGATCTATTAACACGGTGGGTGTCGTCGATGAACCAGAAGGAGCCTTCTCTTCCGCAACACCTGGTCCGTGGAGATCGTTCCTTTGTTCGTCTTTGCTTTTGTTTTACTGAATTAGAGTTTGAATTATCAATATGTGTATATGTTGGTATCTTCATGTGTTTGTCCTAAACAATCGCATTACTTAGTGTTGTTTCAAATTGTTCCGATATAATATCAAAAACATAAATTTCATTTTTAAACATTCCATGGTTTCGTGAGATCGTATTAAACTTTTAGGTCTTATCCGCAACATTCAATAATGATGCAGAGTTAACCACAAGTGTCGAATTTTCTAAATGTTGACTTGCTTTAGACGATGAAGGTAAACTCTCGGTTATGTTTTGTTGTTGTTTGTAAATATCAGTGAAAACAGAATAGTTTTCTGATATCAACGTCTCAGGCTTCAATTTATTTTGACTTGTATTCATAGGTGTGGTGTGGAACGATGAGACCGGAAGCAGCAGTGAACAGAATCCGAACAGGTCTACACAGTCCAGGGCGCTTCAGGTAAGATTTAACTTACAATTACAAACTTTATGATCTATGAAAGCAAAGCTTGAAGTTTAAATCCATATTCACTTAAATACACATATACGTGTAAGTAATTTACTACTGACTTATTACAAATCGTTCATACACATCAATTTTGTAATTATCGTTGTCGTAATTTTAAGTATCTGGAAATGCAAATAAGAACGAATCTTGAAAAATGAATTATACCAACAAAAACCCAACAGAGTTACTGTCCTTAGCAACATGTTTGTTCCTCTTTCATTTGAAGTTCTTTTTATGATTTGTAAACAATGTATTGTGCTTCAGATACATTTCATATGTTAAAGTGATTTGCATACAAAAATTGGCAGAGAAGTTATAATGCCGAATTTGATATCGGTCATATCAGCTTTGATCTAAGCTGGATATGGTTGATGCTCGTTAGTTTCCCTGTTGGTTTCGTTGTTATAAACTTGTTCTCATTTGAGAATCTATCATTACTTGCTTAGATTGACTAAGATTTACATGGCTGGTGCCGTCGATGAAGCAGAAGACGTTTACTCTTCTGGAACACCTGGTCTTATTCTCCTTGTACATTTTCAGAAGTCTCCGTGTAAATCTTTTGCCCTAGTTTTATTGAATTTGAGTTTGGATTATGATTATGTTTACATGGGAGTATTTTTATTTAGATATTTTACAAGTCATTAAGAAATTACCGATGAATGAAAGTCAAAGTTTTCACGTGAATACCAAGCAATCATTTATTAGTAGATTTTTATATTAATCGAATGGATACACATTTACGGTATGCGATTGTCTTACTTCTGATTCATTGACGTGAAAAAAATATTAAATTGTTGTTGGAAAAAAACAGAATATCACAATGACAAAATAACACCCCCCCCCAAAAAAAAAAACCCAAACAATCAAACAAATAAAAAAAAACAAAAAAAAACCCATATAAGTAGATAGCTCCTGCTGCTGATACATGGTACACACAACAGAAACAGATACACTACTGATGAGTAATCCTAGAACTCTTCAGTGAAGCTCTCGGTCACAAGTACGGTAAATGATGTTTTTGAAGTAAGAATAAACATATTTGACATATTTGAAACACGGGTAAAATTCACTTGAGTACTGATGTCAGAGGAACCCTCGGACATAATATCGTCTTCAATAAATCAGAAAATTATTTTCAAGGGTAAAATGTGAGTCTGGATTTAAATGTCAATATCAATGTTTATTTTCAGGGTGATTGGCACATTACAGAACTCTAAGGAGTTTTCACGGGTGTTTAATTGTCCCGCCGGCTCCTACATGAATCCTGTGAATAAATGTGAAGTATGGTGATAAGTAATATTACAAACGGGGATTTCTCTGTCACACTGGATGGAGCACACTAGTGACACTGTGTCAGAACGAAAGTGACGTCATCTACGACTGTCGCCTCATTATGACGATTAAATCGGCCTTGTTGGCTCCGGTGTGATTCTCTTTAATTAATCCAAGCAAGAGGGGTACAGCAAACACAGACAACTAGGACTGGTATTTGGATGATGGAGGACAATTGTATTGGAATAAATATCTGGTAAAGAATGACTATGGTTTAAAATGTTATCCAATAAAGACGTTCCTGTGAAAAGTGTGAGTCAAATTGACAAATAAGGCTGATTGTTTAAACTGAATACGATGTCAACAGGAATTCATCCAATTTTCTCCAAAGGGCTCCCAGTTCTGAGATCCTGAATAAAATCATGACGGAAAATCTAGTGCAACTTTTTGGAACAAACTGTCCTGTAGGACTCCTTAAAGGAATATTACCGACACTGGAGAAGTCAATATCTTCATATTTTATGGGAGTTTTTCTCATTTTCTCATTCAATAAAAATCATGTTTGACTTTCCCGGTCTCCAAAATCTAGAAAGAGTATAGATTTTGATTTGTAATGCTTGTGATGTGACTGAATTTGGGGTGGCACAGTAACTTTATGGCATGATGCAGTTGAAGGCTACATGACAAGCTGTGTTTTTGTTGGTTGATTAACAATGATTTGAATTCTTAATCATGACGCGTGTTAATGTGGTTTCCTCATTGATATTACTTTCATTTGCAATTATTCTTGTTGCAAATATTTGTAAATAACACGTCATTAATAATCTCAAAGTTTGTGTCCAAAATTGCCGTTATTGTTTTAGATATACACTACAGGTAACGAGTTCCATTTTTTCGCTATATTCGATGATGTATTAAATTCATGAAGAAAAACTAATTTGAAAATAAAATCCAAAAAAATCCCTTGCTTCCAGGCTTGACAACACCGCAAGTACGAAGCACTGTTTATTTTTACAGTAATCTGTTGGAACCTTTGAATTCTTGTTAATAATACACAAACATCCTGAACTTATTCATGACAATTTTGATGAATGTATATATTTTTGTCTCTATATATATCAAAGATGCATAAACGATTCGATTGTGAAATTACTTTTTTGGAACAGAGTCGTTAAATCATTCTAAAGAAATATAAAAGTAGTACACTACAATATGTTGTCTTCAAGGCAAACTTTCACTTGATAAAAGGAAAAGCAAACTATCACCCAATTGACTCTCAGTAAATAAAAAAAAATTATTTCGAACATTTTTAATGCATATTTCCTCAATTTTATTAAGTTTTCCTATTTAAATACTCAAAAATGTAGATTTTCAACATGGTAACACTACAGATTTTAACATTTTGTGCTGAAGGTACTACTCTAACATATGTTTGCACTGGTTGTAATCTACGAATAAATGATAATGCGCCAAAATTTGGTCTCGACAAATTAAAAAGTGTTACAGTAATTTTAACGCGGTTTTAAATAGTTTTGTTATCAATGGCGAGTTTTACTTCCGGGTCTATTTAGTCATATTGGTTTGAAAGTAATCATCAAAATATGAAAACTACACATCTGTGTGTACACCTGGAACTTTCTCGTGATACTTTGTAGGATCTGTTAGTTCCATATTATATAGAATTTTCATTACTACAAAGAACTGACCTAAAAAATGCTTTTCACTGTATATTCTAAAGATGTCTGGTAAAGTAAGGCCTTGTTTTGTTTGCTTTCTGATGATATCCACAGAGTCTGTGATTGTACAAATGCAAACAACGTCATCCCTCTTAACTATCCTACAATGCAATGTTATCCTAGTACACTTCTTGACTATCCCACATTGCATTGTTATCCTAGTACACTTCTTGACTATCCCACAATGCATTGTTATCCTAGTACACTTCTTTACTATCCCACAATGCATTGTTATCCTAGTACACTTCTTGACTATCCCACAATGCATTGTTATCCTAGTGCATTTCTTGACTATCCAACAATGCACTGTTACCCTAGTACACTTCTTAAATATCCCACAATGCATTGTTATCCTAGTAGACTTCTTTTCTATCCAACAATGCATTATTATCCTAGTAGACTTCTTTACTTTCCTACAATGCATTGTTATTCAGAACACTACGTGTACACTTCTTCAGAACGTTACTATCACACAATGCACTACTTTCCAAATACATATCCTTACTATTCCACAATGCTCTTCTACGAAGCACGCCTTACTATTTTAGGTTATCAAATGAAGTGGATATTTCGCTTTTTATCAAATGCTTTTCAAATTTATTTATCAGTAGTTTCACGTTGATCAGTCAGTTAATATTCATGAATGACGAGTCAGTGGATCTACTGTTTCCTTCATTAAACCTGATCGTCTGATGAAGGAAACAGATTTTTTGATGAAGCAGACAGGTTGATGAATGAGACATATTGCCTAAATCGTCACGCATGAATGTTTAACTAACTGTGATATATGAAACTCTATTCAGGTGTGTGTTTATCAACACAAAAACAACTACTAACTATAGAATCATAATCTTCATTTTCTTTGTATTGTTTGTTATTATTGTCAACATTAGTACTGTTTCTGCATGAGTGACTGTATCTTAACATCATACACATAACTATCGATCAAAGTATACTCTTGCTTAGTGTTTTTAAAATATTATAGTTAACTATATTTTGCTACATAATATCAATGTGCCCAAACAGGCGAATTTATTCATATAAGTTTCACGTCCGATATTACGGCTTTTCAGCTTCGGACGTGTAAAACAGGTGAATAGTATTCGCGACAGTTATAAACACTTTGCCTATATATTCTGGACTTTTTTGGGATGAAATCAACAGGTGAGAAAAATGTATTAAATATTGTATTGAGTTATTCCAAATATATGTCACAAAGTCTATATTTTATCTTTCATGGCTGAAAACACAAATTTCTGTTGTAATTTGACATACAGTCTTTCGTCCGTGTGAGAAATTGTTTTTGCTATTTACGTCCATAACATACAGGATATAAATACCGTTGTGTCGGTGATATATACTTGTCTGGTTGTCTATATATTAACTACTGTTTATCATTTCTACAGATGTAATAACAGAACATTATACTACATGTGTATATAGTATATTTAACTCCAAGCCAGTCTTGTTAGCACGTGGGATACCCAACCTATATTGATGTTACGCTGTTGATTCTATATTCTGCGGCTTGTTCACAATATAACAACTTTCGTGCAAGACATCGACAACGGACAGATAAACTCACAGCACATAGTTTTAAGAGAGGTATGTTGATGAAGATTTTCCAGAAGTTTTACAGTCGTCATAATGGTCATATTGATAAATATTCTTTTTTCCTTGGTATGTTTGTTTTCTTGAAGATTCCGTTGTTCTCATTTGGGAACGTGACATTACTTATATTGACCTAGATTCACATGGCGGATGTCATCGGTAAAGCAGAAGACGCTTACCCTTTATGAACACCTACCCATGTTCCCCTTAAACTGTTTCCGGAGTCTTTGTAAATCTGTGTGTTGTTCATATTGGCTGTTGGGGTTTGAATCAAGATTCTGTTGACATGTTAGTATTTTGCTTGTTGAATTTTCCCACAAATATTTCAATACATAACAGCGATTTTTTATTTCAATTTCTTAAATTTGTTTCATTCAATTAAAAAAACATCTGACAGTTACGATTTATTGTACATACATGATACTTTACTTTAATGAAAAAAAGATAACATTTGAATTTTGTCGAATTTCTAAATGAATAATCTATTACAAATAAATGATCTCTTGGATGGTGATAGGAATTGAGAACAGAATTTGACAGTGTGCTATCATGATTGGCTTGGATATCTACGTGAATATGACATAAAGTAATTAGTATATTGTATATAAGTGAGTTTATTCTTATCTATATTGCTTGGTTTCTGTCGCTAACAAACATCCTATACATCATGTTTACTGTATTGTAAAAAAAATAAACAAATTGGAATACCAACCTGCTGCTGTTCATTATTGGATATAAACAACTGTTATACGGTAAGAGTTGCCTTTCGTTTGCTCAAATTATCACTGTTATAATATAAAACAAGAGGGTTTTTATGAATTATCGTATAAATGAAATCAGTATTTAAGAAATCATCACCTGTACAACCAATTACTAAATATGACTGGCCGCTAAGTTTCAGGACGCCATCAAAAGGATGCTAAGGACGTCCTTAATTATTTCAGTGTCCTGGTTTTGCAATGATCTAAGAACAAAATCGATAAATTTTAGACATGATACAAATTGCCGTTAACTTAGAAAGTAAAGAATCTCATGGAAGGTGTGTAAGGGGAGCCAAATATCAGTCAGAAGGAGGAGTGACGTCACTGTTAAGGTAGGACTCTAAAGACAAGTAAACAGCATCGTTAGGTAGAGAATAGCATATGCGAAATAATTAGCAGTCGTCAGAGATGATGAGGTTTATCAATGCCATAAACGTCATCATTTAACTGTTTTGTGCGTCTGGGACTCGTCGGTGATGTTGATCTATAACAGAAATAAACTTCGTCATGCTACTGTTTCGTCCTTCTAAGTCTCGCAAAATTATAAAAGTTGAATCAACATCAGTAATATATTTTATATCAGAAGTCTTTTCAAGCTAATATCCCACTGTACTTTTGAAGCAGAAACATCCCCCAAATTTCCTGCAGTTACTCCAAGCCCATTGCATCAAACTTTTCATTTACAAACAAATGCTGCAGCAACTGAATGTAGATGACCTTAGAACTCCGTCATCTTGTTCAAATTCTACCTCTACTTATAACTGGGTACACATAGTAGCTGGTGATTTAAGCATTATTCAAAATGTTAAGAGAGCTTTTCATGAAACTCCGTCCATTCATAGGCATATGAACTTCAGGATACTTATGGATTCTGCTGAAAACTATACCAGAGAATGGGCAACAGGAGAACATGCTGCGTTAGATACTTTGGATTGAATGTTTACGGTCCATCATTCATTAAAAAACTACAGCTTGGAGTCTAAATGAAAGCAAAATACTCATTGCAAGAATAACATAACCTGCATGTTATTTTGTCTGCAGATAAGACGCCCAATAACTTGATTGTTGTCTGCAAATATTATTACATGTTCTGTATACAAAAAGAACTATGCTTTCTTGATAGCGAAGGAAATCCCGCCTATCTCTTGTTTAGTCTTTCCACAGAAGAAATACTGGCTAATCATGCTTCGGTATTACAATAATTTAGAATCATTAATGATAAGGATGTGGACCTCCCTCGTTTATATTGGATTAAGAAACTTCATGAGAGTCCATATAAACGTTTTATTGCTGGCTTGTCTAGCTGTTCATTCAAGCTTTTGTCTAAACTGTCTAACATTATTAGTACTATCAAATATGGATTACAGGCTTATTGCGATACTGCTTACTCAAGACGCGGAATCAATATTATGGGGATTTTAAAGACCTCCAAAGTGCTTTTGACCAATCATCAATGCCCTCTTCTGAAAAATATATCTTCTATAAGAATATAAGAAATATACAGAGGCCGAAATCATAAAACTGATCGAGTTTATGGTTATCATCTTCGTCGAGTTTGGTGGTAAGATCATACCTCCGAGAACTAATTGTGCCCCACTGGCTGACTTGTTTTCGTAGGAGACTGAATTAATCAAAGAGGTTATCAAAACAAGTCACAAAGACTTTGCAAAGTCGTTTATTATCACTTTCAGAGATAATGATGATGTCTTGTCTTTAAATAACAAGAAAGCTATTGACTATGTCCATCGTATATACCTAGGAAAAAACCAAAGACACGACAGACTCTTCTACATCAGCCGCTGACCTCGATTTTATCCTATGACGAAATCAGCATGGTCAGATTTCTACTAAGCTGTTTTATAAGGGTGATGATTCCAATTTCCCTATTGTAAATTCATTTCTGGATAGCAACATTCCTGCATCCTTCATCCTATGGTGTTTAGCATGGTGTAGTTGATTCGAAATCCAAGGACACTTTCCATTATTATAATTTTGGTGTAAGAGGTCGTCAGTTGACTAACAACCTCGTAAGACAGGGTTTAAAAGAATGCTGGTTAATGAAAATAATAGGGACGTTTTATGGTCTTGATAGTGTTCTGATTCAGAAATATTCTATTTCTTTGTGCGATATGAGGCTGGACATGTTTGATGCTCGTAAGTTTGCCTGTTGAATTTATTGTTGTATACCTTGTTCTCATTTGAGAACGTGACATTACTCACTTCGTTTACATGGCGGGCGTCATCGAGGAAGCAGAGAACGCTTACTCTTCCAAAACACCTGCTCTTTTTCTCCTTGTACTTTTTCAGAAGTCTCCGTGTAAATCTTTCTTTTGTCCATATTTTGCCTCAATTTTATTGAATCTAATTTTGGATTATGATTATGAGTGGTATTTTCTTGTTTTGCTGGTCTTCAAGGACTTGTCAGTAATGCGGAGGAGGAGTTTAGTTACTTAACCAGTAGTGACAAGCGACATAAAGCGTCTTCAGAATATATCTTTTAAAAAGCTTCATGAAATTTGCGAAAACAAAAGATGTGTTGTAAATATGACCGTTATACACCTTTGTGACAGGTTGCATGCTTGCTACCTGGTAATTCCACAGTCCATGTCAGTAAGAGAAATCGGGATAATGTCTAGTATTGTGTATCACCACTAGACATGAACTTGTCATCTAGTACACATTCTTTGATGTAAGTGTCTAAACTTACATGTATATATACCACTTTGGGAAAATGAAAAAAAAATCGGCAAACTTGCACAGCTTTGTAGAAGTTCTTTTGTTGAATTGTTGTACGTAAAGATCAAGGTAAACAATTGAGTCTGTCGTGTCCTCGAGTCCATTTTTTTAAAAGATAAGTTTATCAAAGTGACAAAATATGGATACATCTAGAATCAATTGTAAGAACTTGCCAAGGTCATCTCAATTATAAGCTCCAATAAAGTTTGCCTGGTGTAAAAGTCGACCGAGACGAGATCAGATTCTTTTGTGTCAAAGTGAATTTTATAAGAAACAATTCGACCGCGACGAGACCAGATCTTACTTCGTCAAAATTTAATCCAGTTAGAAACAAATCGACCGAGATGGGATGATATTCTACTGTATCAGAAGTCGATTCAATTAGAATTTGGCGACCAAGACGGGTTCAGATTCTACTGCTACATGTCCAGTCAGTTGGAAACAAAGCCCTAAACGAGATAAGATTGTAATATGAAACGTATTTGGACCTACTTTTGTTGTGATAAAATATAGTCTAAACGACTTTAAAAACACGACATGGCGAGATATTTCATGACTTAGCGACTTGTATTTTATGACTTTGCTTTCCAAAATCTCAACATGTCGATGTAAACTATCTCGACATTCGTATAGTTACACGACAAACGACTTGATGCAATGTTGACATGCTCCGATATAATTCAAGTTGCCTACGTCATAAGTTTTTACACCATGTCGACTTAGTTATTTCGACTTGTCGTTATGAAAAAAAGAAGTCGATATCACGAATATCGACTTGACTGGTTGACTCTTTATTCTTGGTTCTCGGTTCATTTTGCTGCTACAGTCCCGAGATGCGGATGATAGAGCTACTGCATGGTAAGGTTTTAAACACTTCATAAAAAGGGGAGCTATTCTGCATTAAAATTTGCGATTATTTTAATATTGTGTGTTAATGAAAATGCGAAGTTATAGTTAATTCCTTGTAAATCAGTGAATATACCATGTCATATTTTTGCATATTACACATTTAATTTAGCTTATTATGACGTCACACATTCGAAAATGGCAGTTACGTAACAATGGAGATCATTGATATAGAGTGCATGACTTCAAGTTCGACATAGAGATATCTGATTTTTACCATTTTTGTTTAAAAAATCAATCGTGACAAAAAAAGATTTTAAATTCGTTCCATCTAATATGTAACTTATGAAACTCGTCTCGAATTTTCCGTTTGAATTCGCCAATGTCTCGCTAAAATGAAAAATTCTTAGAATTGTTTTATAAATTCCCATGTCAACTGGAAAATGCATTAGTTTCCGACGTAAGGGTTGTATAGAGTTGTACATATTTGTAGATCAAGTGTGTCTCTGGTCCCGATTAATCGGTTTTATTTCAACCTGGAATTTCTCAAACAGAGTTTAAGAAGTAACGTTTCATTTAATCTTTGTCAGTGTTTTTTGACAATGGGAGACAAATGAAACTAACTGCTTACTTTGAACCACCAAAATGTAACCTCCCAAAAATGACGTCAAAATACAACTTTAACCCAGTTCTGATCTGCAGCAAATTCAATCTAACCCGATCAATTTTATGTATCTGATTACAATACCACCATTCTTGACCAGTTTATGCTTAACCTACTTCAAACTTAATTTCCGGATTTATGTGCTCGCATGAATTGGTTTCTTTTCGTGAGTGTTTCTTTGTTGGACCTGGTGAGGCGGTACTTTTTTTTATTTTAGTTAGTAACGCAAATCCTGATACACACCTGAAATTATTGTATTTATATCTCCATTTGTTACTTCCCTTCCTTGCACTCTCACGAAAAGCCGAGGATGCAAGGGACGTCACTCTAAAAAGTTACCTTGCTTGTAAATTTGGATGAGGCCTAGCGTGCAACTCTGCTGACGGAAAGAACGTGAAACTAGTTGATGTTGTCATTAAATGATCCAGAATTATTCACGTCGATTCAAAGGCAGCTGTGTTGAGAATAGTCATAAGTTAAATTAATAATGTCAGCTTGTTTGTTATTTCATAGTCTAAATGGAAGACAAGCCCAAGTCCAAGAGAGCATTAAAGATATTTTCAGCAGACAGGTTTTACAGAAAGGTAATATCCTGTACGGATTATAAGCAATGTGTGTCTGTTTGTAAGTATAGAATAAATGTTTTCAATTAACTTTAAAACCCATAACGGTCCTGCAATCCTCTCTCTCTCCCCCCCCCCCCCCTCTTTTTACGACGAAAAAAATCTGCCCTGTTCAGATGGATATTCTTTATAGAATCAGTGTCTTCTGGGTTTCTCTAGTCTAGGGTAATTCAAGGGTCCTCTGTGGTTTAGAGATATTGCCAGAAAATGGCAGTGCTGTTAGGGTTTTAAATCATACGTATATACTACTATTGCTTGGTTGCAATTCATGGACATCTAAAACTTTCTGCATGAATTACCACATATACCAGAAAGGGGCCCCTGGTAGATCGGTTTGGAACTTTGGTTTTGATTATTAAGGTAATTTTGGTTTGTGTAGATATATATATGTTTGAAATAAAACAGTGTTATATAAGTATTAACATAGCACACTTTTGGATAATAATGCACACACAATACGCCACTTGATTACATAAATGGTGGTCAATTCAAGAAGAAAAATGTCTGGTGGAGCAACAAAACAAGGCAGTAACAAAAAGCCAATCAGAAATGTCGCGAGGTTCAAATATTCATTACAAAGGATTCAGGTTTGTATCTTAATCAAAGACTAGAAATCTGAAGCCTGATGCTCACCGAAACTCAAAACTTAAAAAAATATTTGGTTAAAACGACCTTAGTGACTAGTAAATTATAACGAAACAATTATAAAATTTCGCATGAAAAAAACAAATCCAGTAATCTTCGAGTTTTTATATTTATTTTTAAATTAATACATCACATGGTACTATTTCCCAGGGAGTACCACAAGATTTAACAAAAGTCAGCAACAACACTAGAATTTATATTTCATAGAATGAAAAAACAAGAAAATTTCTGACTAGTGACAATGTATTTAGTTAGAGATCATCAGCATTCAAGTGTAACCTTGCAACTTCCCACAAGCATTATCAGAACAAAACGGACAGAGAAACAGATTTCTGAAACATCAACTCAAGTCTCGCAGTATAAGCTTAAACTGTCACTAGATTTACCATATATACCGTGCTATATGGCCTAGGGACTTACTTCACAAGAGTGACTCCAAGCCAGAGGGTGAGTTTTAATATCATAGTAATTCTACTGAGGAGCAGCCGCAGGGGGTGGGCTTATTACCAGGTATGGGCTAATAGCCAAACAAATAGGAGTTGTCAATCCTTTTAGAAATTAGGAGTTAAATCTACGATGATGTTTTCAAGCATAAGGCCATTCTTGAAATATTCTTTTTGGCATAAACTGTCTTATCCATATAGGACTTTGGCAAGTTTCCTAAAGGTATGGAAAATTATTGGGGGAAAAAATAACATTGTCAAAGTTATTTTCTGCTTGGTCCAGCTCACAAATCACTGTTATTCATTTGTTTGAGTGGCAAGAAGTATTTAGTTTATGTTTGGCATTGCAATAGAAAACATTTAATATGCAAGATATAAAGAGTGGAGACCTAAGCTTTGGAATTAAAGATTGATTATTAACAATAAGAATACCGAGTGGAGGGATAATATATACCCTTCCTATTCCCAAGAAATTCAGCTTTTGTTGTATCAAAAGAACACAAATATGGAATTATGAAAATAAGTTAAAATGTTGAGCAAGAAAACAGTGCTATTGTTTTAATGATGAATTAAAAGCATACCAAGTTTTAATGAGATGGACTCATTGAAATTTCTGGACAAGATTAAAACACTGAAAAGAACAAAGGCAATATCTTTTTGAAATATTGTTGAACCAAAATATTATTCAGGGGGATACGATCTCATGTTGTGGTTTTCAAGCCCAGGTTTTAAAGAAATTGGTTGAAACCTGTGAAAGGTGATCTCCCGAGAAGATTAACATTGGGAAATCAACAAGGGGATGTAACTCTTCCAAATACAGTCAAACCAAACAGACCTGTGAAATATCACAACTTCATATCAAGGAGATTACGCCTCCGAAAGTTAAAAAAAAGATTGGTTGAAAACTGTGGGAGGAGATCTCTGGACAAATGAAAGTTTTTTAAGAACAGATGGACGGACATTATCCATCCTGTCAAAATTTTCAACGAGCGTATGAATATTAATAAATAAGGAATTCATCATAACATTATTTCTGTCCAGAGTTTACTTTGGTGTGAAATGCCCGACAAATAATATCTTGGCCTTATAAAACCTGTTTTGTTTTGTTTTTTTCCTCACAAAAATCTGTTATGACCAAAGTTGTGTGCTTTAAGTTAATATATACAATATAAATACAATTTCATATGGTACATTCAATGTATTTCATTAGTTGACAGATAACATTTTTTAATTGGTGTTAAAAGATGTTTCCTCTGTGTACATATATACCAATTACTAGAAATACATTCAATTAATAATATTACCAATCATTACCCAATCATTACTGATTATTATCAGATTCGTGTTCCATCTGACAAGATAGGTAGGATATGAAGACAGACTCTACATTAGAATAAAAGGAAAACCACATTTTAGCCCTGTTAAATAGTTTACTAAGTATTCTGAATTATTGAAGAAAAAACCTGATGTTAATTTATTTTATTTTATCGACAAATATAATTTATCTTAATGAAGGAATGATTATGATAGAATTAACTCATTTCATTCATGAATATGTTAATGAGGAGTCATGAATTTGTCAATAGTGAGGTTTATGTTACTGTACTCCTGCTGAAACAAGCCTGAGAGCAAACAGCAGCTGCTGACTCAGAAAGGAAAAAGGGCTTCAGATGAAGGTATGCTTGTAACCAGGAGTGGTTCTTATTGACGTTCAGATACCAGACAGATGGAATAAGAAGACATTGAGTCTGTTGTGAGATTTCCCTGTCTCATGTGCGAGGAAAGATCCAAAGCTGTTTTTTATCATTAAATTAGTCACGGAACTTGACACTACCTCACACTGAAAATCACAGGTCAACCTTCCAAACAGCAGCAGAAGTGACGATATGAAGTTTTTTTTTATTGCATAAAATATGCTGCATTCTTTTCCTTCACATGCAATCAGAGGCTGCAGGGAAAGTTCAAATATTTCCACAACCATTATCTAAAATGATGTATACCATTTTACATTTACGTGAGTTAAATATCAGTTTATCTGTTTGATAAAAATCTTATATCACTTCGCACTCATGACAAAAATAAATGTTCACACATGCTCATTCGCCCTTGCAAAAAACATCTGTTACAATAGTTCCCTTAGGTGTGACAGAAAAAAACTCCTTTGTCACACTACCTCATTCATCCCTTAGGTGTGACAGAAAAAACTCCTTTGTCACACTTGCTCACTTATCACTTAGGTGTGACTGAAACATCTCCTGTGTCACAGTAGTTCACTCATCCATGACTGAATCTTCCTCAGGCCTTTTCAATATTGCCTAAAATTGAAAAAAAATAATAAATGTATGGAAGTATTGACAATGAGTTGACTGAAGACTATATTTCTTCATTACCTCACTGAGACAGTGATAACAAATATTCACTGTCATAATCCCTGATGGTCGTTTCTAATCAGTCCTGAATTTCGTGATGAAAGGCAAGAGACCAAATGGACCTACTTATGAAATTTGGATAAAAAAAAAAAATTTACTATACCTCTCAAGAAATAGCATTAACAAAATTGTCAACATCTAAAATGGCCGACTGATATGGTAGGCTAAATATGACAGATGACCAAATTAGCAGATGTGCATTTTTCACTTCATTGACACAATTCTTCTGTAGTTCCCTACTTGTGAACGTGAGACAGTCTGACAAGTTCTATTCATAAAGAATGTGGTGAGTTTCTTGGCAAAGAGACATAACTCTTAAAACAACATCAGACATCCATGATTAACAATCATCATTTGGATTCAGTAGAATAGAAACTTGCCACTTTCAGACTTAATGTGACATGTAAACCCGAACTTGTCACTATTAAAAAGTTATGTGACCAGTGAATTTGAACTTGTCACTGTTAAAAAGTTATGTGACCTGTGAATTTGAACTTGTCGCTGTTAAAAAGTTATGTGACCTGTGAATTTGAACTTGTCACTGTTAAAAAGTTATGTGACCTGTGAATTTGAACTTGTCACTGTTAAAAGTTATGTGACCTACAGCAGTAAAACTGGTCACATTCACAAGTTAAGTGGCCAATAAAAGCACTGATACCTGTCACGTTCACAACTTATGTCACCTACAGCAGTAAAACTTTTTATGGTCACAAGTTCCATTTTTAAATAAAGACTGTTAATCAACTTCCTAAGAAAGACAAAGACAATTTTAATCAAGGTCCTAAATATTCTTAAACAAAGACAATATGTTGATCAAGTTCCTTCATATTCTTAATTTTTAAACAAAGAAAACTAGCTGGCCAGGGTTCTGACATATTTTCACATTTATAAATCACAACAATATGATCATCAGCCTCCTATATCTAGACAATACCATGAGAACCATGAGAAGTATCCCAGTTGTTTATCTGTTTCTTATCTGTTTAGAAGATGCTAGCTCACTTTCATACAATATTCTAGGTTATGCATGCAAGACATTGGTACATTCTCTTGTTACTTCTAGGTTAGACTATGGTAACGCGTTACTCGTTGGTGTATCTGATACACTAATGAGCCACCTGCAGAGGGTACAGAACACCGCAGCACGCCTAGTTACTCGTACTCGAAAGAGGGACCACATTACACCAGTCCTTTACTTATTGCATTGGCTGCCCGTGCGATTCCGGTTACAGTACAAGATTTTGATGTATACATACAAGGCAATAAATGGAACAGCTCCTGAATATTTGCAGGAACTTGTCACCGTTTATCGGCCGTCACGATCACTACGATCGGAGACAGAATCCTTGTTGTGCATTCCGAACTCTCAGACTGTGACTTATGGTAACCGATGCTTTGGAAAGGTAGCGGCCACTTTGTGGAACAGCTTACCATCTGCTACTAGAAAGTCAAAATCCCTGGCCAAATTCAAGAGGGATATTAAAACCCACCTGTTTACGTCTGCATTTTAGACTCTCACGCAGACGTCCTGTATATAAATACTTTCACCACTACTTACTTGATTTGGTTACTGTGTTACATATGTTGATTACTGTGTTATACATGTTCTGTAAATTTTGTAGTAAGATTATTATGTAATTGTGAAGCGCATTAGAGTATTTTGTCAAAATAGATAGTGCGCTATATAAATGTTGTATATTATTATTATTATTATTATTATTATTAATATGCTTCCTTCTTGTATTGTGGGAAATATAAATGAAGATCCACTATCAGAGAGCGAAGTGATGAAACCCACCATCCACGACAGGGGAAGTTTTCCTTTAGAGATCGTGCATTGGACTTTGGTGAAGAAAGTAAGTGTCTGCCTAATTTCCTTGGTCATACCATCCTCCTTTTTCCAGACTAGGTTCAGCTTCTCTCCTTTTATATAGGTAGCTTCCGTCAACGGCAGTTGCTGTGAACAGTGAAAAAGTTGAATGAGAGAACAAGCATGTTTTTTCTTCTCTTTGCATAAAGTGATAAATCAATTTACTGTTTAATAAATAGTAAATTAGACGAATCTTTGTGACATTACTGTATTTGTCCTGTACTAAGCCAAGGGCAGAATACCAACAAAACAATTTAAAGCAAGGGGGTGGGCTTATTGCTGGCCAATGAAACAAGAATCAGAATTTCACCTAAAATGTGAATTTCACTACAAGAGGAGCAGTTGGTCTTATCCTCCTTGTATTTGTGATGAATGCATGAGAAAGGTTAGAGGTCATTCAACAAGATCTGTTCACTTTGTCATTTTTGGGAAGTGAGTCATCCAAGGCTGACATAAAACAATTACTGACGAAGAAAAAAACATTTAATTTTTTCACAGAGTTAGAATTGTTCTTTCATTTCAAGATGAATAATTAATTTGAAGAATATACACATGCAAGAATCAATCTACCTATTTTTAAACTGAAGGATCCATGACAAAAAGACAAAAAAACAAAAAACATGTGGTTTTCGGAGTGACACAAATATGCTACAGTCAACCAAGGAAAAGGTTAAGAGTGTTGTTATAGCCTTTGTGTGATCATGACTTTTCAGACCAAGTCAGATATCAGTTGACTAATGATGGTTGTCTCAATAATGTGCAGACAAGCCTTCCTTAATCAAACTCCATATGAAGTGAAGTCACTTTAGGTACACTCTAAATAATAATTGGTTTCATAATTTTTTGTTGATTAAGCAAGGCTTTCAAATTTTGGTTATACCGTTTGAAATTTTGAAAAATTTCCTTAAAAGATTAAATGCCCGTAACTCTAGAAATTATCAACTGATGACAATAAAATCATACGTGTACCTAAATATTATACTTACACAACTGTGACCAAGAGAGTCAGAACAGAAACAAAATTATGATGGAATGATAGCAGAAGGTAACACTATATGACACCAACCAGGAAATGACAGAGAAATAAAAACTCGTGAAATTCTAGTCTACGATTTGACCGTAAAATATCAACAGACACACTTTCTTGGTGTATGACAACTTACATCAATGTAGACCCGCTTAGCCAGGCCGAGGGTAAGGAAGTACACATCCACAGCATGATCCAGTATACCCATCACCATGGCTTCCCCTTCTATTGGTCCTGCTTCCTGTTATACAGAATCACCATGGTGACAAGGATTAGATGTAAAATGGGTACAGATTTCACAGGCATTGAATTAGAAAATATCTTAACATCAACCTTAAATTCTCAGCAAAATTTATACTTGTAGAATATTTCAAATATATACTTTGTTGTAGGTTTGATATAAACATTAATCAACCCCCAGATTTTAATAACAGTTTACGAATAATAATAAGTTAATTAATAATGTAGTTAGAGGATTTCGATGTACCTGTACGAATGCAGAGAAAAAGACTTCGGCACTGGCATCCGACACGGCTTTAGCTGCCTTCTTTCGATCATTACAGCCATTGGCAATTTTTTGTAGTTCATTTGTGGTACTCTTGAACTTACAATAACCTGCAAATAAACACATATAACTTGTTTTAAAGAAAGCTGTTTACAAAATGTCCAAAGTACTTATTCATTAATATGCCCAAGAGTGGTAATGAGCTCATCCACACGTTACAATAGAAATACCATATCATTGTGCTTAACCTGCTTATCTCCCAACTTTATGTAAGAGGTATGTAGTGTGACGATGATCTGATGTAACAGGAACGTGACAATAACAGTTGCCACATTTTTTCAGACGTCTAAACCAGGAAGTTAATTAACATTCTGATATATCAAACTGACTTGTTTCTAATAGAAACTATTTAACAACAAAATTTGTAACCTGCTTTTATTTTCCCATATGTACAGCAATTTCCCAGAATCTTTTAAGTTCATTCTTTGATATATCTAATCTGCTATCATTAATTATCATTAACGATCATGTCATATTCAAAACTTTACAGACGCCAAATTTTGATTGTGACACAATGGTGCCATCAGCTGATATTCTGTGCATTATCACTTTACCCATTACTTTGTAGACTTCACAATAAGGCTCATGACAAAGTTCATATGTATAGTATACACAGTGTGTTTCTCTGCAATTTTGACAAAATGTGTGTTGAAGAGCACCTTCATTAAGCACTGCTGACAAGAGGTTATTTTTAATGACCAATCAGATATCAGCATGAGGATATACCCCGTTTGAGAACATTTTACAGTCTCCTTACCAGTGCTCATGGTAATTTAAGCCATAAAAGATTCAATGAAAAATAAAAACATCACTATTCTGATATGAAAAAATGGATTTCAATCTTCGTCTCATATGAAACCTTATGTACCCTGAATGAGCCATTTGGGAAAGATGGTTATAATATCAGCAAAAACGTCAGCAGCCCTGCAAAACTTTTCGGGATATGTGTGGTAATTTTCTATTTTCATTAAATCCATTTCTCATTTCGTGAAACTTGAAGTTCAAATCATTTAATTAAGCATCTTAAGCTGTGTATCGGAAATGTGTTTACATGAATTGAAGGCTTAAAAAAAATCCATAGTTCTTGTCCTAACTTACCTGTGATTTATCTGTCAATTTTTGTGATAGTTGTCAAAATGAAGTGATATAAATCTTTGTACACATGAAAATAAGTGATATTATCAGATGTTGGACACTGACAGTAGGTCTGGACAGCTAAGCATTTGATGATGGAGTGCTGAAAATACCAGCACTTGAACTTTATTAACAATGCTTTTTGTACCTACCTAATGCTGATGAAAGTGCCCTGTGCACCAGGACATCTGGATAACGACGGATAGGACTAGTGAAGTGTGTGTACAGAGGAACATTCAGGGCATAGTGACGGTACAGTAGTTCATCTGTCAAAGACCCATTACAGAAATACATCGCCATCTACAACCAGAAAAAAATTTGATAAGAATAAATCCATACACAATGGATATCTGCTACACTGATACCCTTATCAGTCCTCGGTAAGCAACAGACAGTGAGAGTTACCTACCTTCATTGGTTTGGAAGTCAATGCTATTAAGACCTGAAGCTTTCCGCCTCCATGTGGTTCTTCAGTACGCAGAGCATCAAGACTTTTCTGAAACAATAGAATAAAATAAAGTGGGCAACAGAACTGTACCTAGAATACTGACTCGTCAGTATGGAATGTGATGTATGCCCGACAGTATATCTCCACTATATACACAAAACAAAAAGTTACCAGTCTGAACTTATGGATAGGAAAATTGTTTTAATAGACCAGAAGTATACATATGTGTGTCACCAGTTATATGAAATTGTTTACAGACGCACGACAGACCCACGTCGCCGGACAACGGATACTAGAATAGGTGAAACAGGTCACCATGAAACATGGTCTCAGGTGACCTAATAATAGTACAGCCACCTGTGAGAACTGTATGTAATGTATACTTGACAGTTTAATCCTCATTCTATTTTTAGTACAGCAATGCTAACCTTAGGAACCTTTTAAACTTGTACTGCCCATTTATATAGAACAGTACATCATCGTGTGGAAGTTCAGACATATGTATTTCTGACAGTACATTCCCAGTTCTTTTTTAAAAACAGTGACATTTACAGTCAATTTTGCACACTTGCATACCACACTTAATCATTTCTTGAAAATTCAGAAAGTTTGGCCATCTGTATTGTGAGATAACCTTCAGGCAGAAGTGCTTACAGACAGATAGACACTGTGATTATCATTGGGCAACCACATTTCCATGAAGGCTTCTGTCTTCAGTACCTATAAATTCAGTGACATTCAGTGACCCTGACGAGGCAAAACCAAAAGTACCTCTACTTACCTTTAGTGATCCTTCAGACATAAAGTTCAATGTGCCTGTACTTACCTTTAGTGATCCTTCAGACATAAAGTTCAATGTGCCTGTACTTACCTTTAGTGATCCTTCAGACATAAAGTTCAATGTGCCTGTACTTACCTTTAGTGATCCTGCAGACATAAAGTTCAATGTGATCCTGTACCTCCACTTACCTTTTGTGACCCTGCAGACATACCTCTACTTACCTTTAGTGATCCTTCAGACATAAAGTTCAATGTGCCTCTACTTACCTTTAGTGATCCTTCAGACATAAAGCTCAATGTGCCTCTACTTACCTTTAGTGATCCTTCAGACATAAAGTTCAATGTGCCTGTACTTACCTTTAGTGATCCTGCAGACATAAAGCCCCCTGTGTACCTCCACTTACCTTTAGTGATCCTGCAGACAAAAAGCCCCTTGTGTACCTCCACTTACCTTTAGTGACCCTGCAGACATAAAGCCCCCTGTGTACCTCTACTTACCTTTAGTGATCCTTCAGACATAAAGTTCAATGTGCCTCTACTTACCTTTAGTGATCCTTCAGACATAAAGCTCAATGTGCCTCTACTTACCTTTAGTGATCCTGCAGACAAAAAGCCCCCTGTGTACCTCCACTTACCTTTAGTGACCCTGCAGACATAAAGCCCCCTGTGTACCTCCACTTACCTTTAGTGATCCTGCAGACATAAAGCCCCCTGTGTACCTCCACTTACCTTTAGTGACCCTGCAGTGGTAAAGTCCAATGGTGTCCCCAGGCGTTGAGACAGTTTTTCCTGTATAAGTGGAAAACAACGTATATCATTACAAATCAAATTTTACATATTAAAAAGAGGCAAAAATACTAAAAGATTTCTACAGAAAAAATCAACTCCCCAAAACTGATAAATGCTTCATGGAAGCACCATCCGCAAAACAATAGATTTTTATCATCTATTACATAAAGTCACTGCTCCCAGTGAGCCCAAAGCCTTCATTTACACAAAATTGATTCCTCTTCACCCAAGGATGCTTTTGACAAATTTTGATCAAAAGGCATTATTGCTTATTAAAACTGTACACAAAATAAAAAGTAAAACAAAACATTCTTCAATCAAGTTGTTTCTGATTCTCAACACTGACAAAAATATCTGCTTTTGACCAAAAAAGTGAACCAAAATAATCATTTGACCTCATCCTACATATGATGAACTTTACACTAACTTTTGTAACTTAAGTACTGACACAGATGTTTTCTTAGAAACCAAGCTTAGTAACTATTGTTCTTGTATGCTTGGCAGGAAGTGTACGAGCCCTCTTATGGAGAGAGAATATCAAGTTCCTGGAGAGGTGACAAAATAACTTTAACTTGTGACCAGGGTTATATATAAATGTGTATAATATTCATAATTTTGGTGTACTTAAACACAAGTTAGTGTGTCACATCATTTAGTGCATCTTATGATTTTGAGAATAAAATCTGCTGTATTTTCAAGTTTTGTACAATAATTAAAGAAATTTGAAATTTTATCTGAAAATAACATCTTCGTACAGAAGACTATTTCTGTTTGCTGGGCATTTTTAATTAACATTTTCTATATAGAATTTGACTTTTAGAGACTTTCAAATCTTTTCTGGTTTTTTAACTCTTAAGACATCGTAGTGTGACTTTCATCCCACATAACATCATGTCATGTTTACATTCCATGAAAACAGGGGTAATACTATTATCATGTTATTGCCATTTATTAAGGTAATATCAGTTTTTTTTCATTGACTAATTGCTTAATCAATATTATTTCTGTCTGGTTAGCAAATTCTTGCTTACATATGACCAATGAGGATTTTCTAGTATTTGAGTCCTTAGACATGAAAAAACTAAATCATTGAAAACCTTACAAAAAAAAAATCTTTTCTAATTTAAAAAAAAATACATATTTCCAGCAGAAATGTCAATTTTCACAAACCAATTCAAAAGCTGATGACTGGTCTGGCTCTGGATGGTGTCGTAACATTGCTGTCTCTGGTAAACACTTGTTGATCTTGTGAGCAACAGCCATGTTGGCTAACAACATGAACTCTTCAACCAGTCTGTAAAGGAAACAAAAAACATCCATAAAAAAAAGAGTTCTCCACAAGGACTGAATTGAAATATTTTGTCAAATATACGAAATTACGTAACCTGCATACAACCTGGGTAAAACTGAGCAGTCATCAAGTGAAGTGCAGACGCCAGAAAAGCTAATCACAGGATCTATTATTTACCACAAGTGAATGCTAACAGAGGATAAGTTTTATGCTAATCTGTAACTGCCCTGAAACTCATTGAAACCGAATCCATTCGGCAAGTATGTATAATTATCTAAATTGACGATAATAAGAGTTAGACAAACCTGTTACTGTCCCGGAGCTCGTTGACGTGGAATCCATTTGGCAAGTATGTATCATCGTCTAAATTGAAGGACATTTTTATTTGGTTTAATGTGAGTGCTCCATTGTCCATTCGTCTCTTTCTTAGATTTACTGCTATCTAGTAACAAAAACAAAGACTGAAAAAATTCTATAGCTCTAACCTAACATCAGACAAAAGCTTTCAACAATCAGCATCAAGTAAAGGGACATAACTCTAGAATTATTTCCATATGTTAGTGAGGCACTACTCTATATACTTCAGACTTTGCTCAAGCCATCCTTGTAATTTATAGGTTCGTTTGTGTTGTGTTGTTTAAAGCATCATTTCCTCTTCTTTACATTATATCTATTGTAACAACATATTATATCATATTTGACAGGAGATATTCAGCATTTTCTGTATCATAACTTTCTTGGCTGCAGTGTGTTACATCATGATATTTGACAAGAGTTATCTCCCTTTTATAATGCCTATAACTTGAGGAGTTACAATAGATGAGTCAGTTGATATATCTCCTCTGTGTACATGAGCGACTTCTCTCTTTCCATCTGCTCCACATTGGTCATATCGTCATGCGATCAGTCCCATTAAAAAACCAATACTATAATCAATATTTCATGTATTCACCTTATTGAGGCCTAAGACCCTCTTTTTGATATCTTCCACTGTGAACTTTGATGATATTGGAGGAAGTTCTTCTGCAGTCCACTCTTTCAGAGGTTCTTCAATAAATCCCTGAGAAAAAAAAGTAAAAAAATTGCAACTTCCCATTGGCGTATCCATGGAGATTTTCCATAGATTTTGTATGGTCCTGAACATTTCCTGTTAATATCTTATTGATGTAACCCTGGTAAATACCAGTAACAATGTACTGCTTGACTAGAAAGGACTTCTCTTTAGCTTGATCGGTTGCGCATCAGACTAGTTAGCAAGAGGTCCCGGGTTTGAATCCTCTGTTACATACACAATATACACAATATAGTCAGCTTAAGAGAACTTCTCTTTAGCTCGATTGGTTGAGCATCAGACTAGTAAACCAGAGGTCCTGGGTTTGAATCCTAGTGTAGACATTGAGATAATGATCTCTGATCTGTTACATTTACAGTCACATCAGAGCGATGTTTCATATGTATGATTTTTCAGCCAATGGTTATACTAATAACGATGTAACAGGATGAAGCAGGACACCCTACCACCTGACCTACTGAGAAATTCTCTAAAATGGAGATGTTCAGAAATACACCTGAACTTAAATGACAATTAAAGGTTGCCAAGAAGCCTATTTTATGCTAACAGCAAAACTGGTATACTGCTGGACTACGAACAATAATCAAAACAATTAAAACTTATAATTTTCAGCCATTTAGTTTCGAACACATATGACTGGACCCCCCTTACTGCTTGTGTAGAATAATTTACAGTCAAACCTCAGTCCCTTTCTGTGTGTGGTGTTTCTCTTGCAGATCCAGCCAGTCAAACCATTTCAACAGCTTATGTGAAAGCAACCTTAATCATGACCATAGCTTAGCAATACAAACACTTACCTGATCAAGATCGCAAGCACGTATAGGAATATGATCACTGACACTAAGTTTAGTTTAAAAAATATTTCATTCAATATTAAACAATTTAACCCACACATACGTATGAAATGGGAGAACAGGCTTAGAGCTTATACTAATTCCTTTCCCAAACATTTTCCCATATATGGTCAAAGCTAATCCTTATACCGGGTTATGCTCACATACACTTAAAAGATCATGATCAAAAATGCTTACCTGAGCATGGTCGTAGCTAAGTTTAACGCAGGACCTGATCACAGATCTGCCAAACCATTCACTGTATATCTGTAACACAAACCTGATATTAAAAAATTCCACTTTATCTATTTCACAACACTTAGATAACAAGCTATCAACTCATACCAATCATGTTTCTGGACAGAAGTGTATGAGGGTGCTTACTGAGGGAGGAAACTGGAGTGCCTGGGAAAACCCAGTAGTGTGGCAGGTGACTTCCTATCTTTTCCTGTTTGTTTGAAGAAACAAACTCCTTAGCTCTAAATGAAAGGTGAGTGAGCTATCACTGTGCCACCCAACCATAATAAACTTGACTACACTCTCTACCTTTGAAACAATCCAATTCACTCCAAAGCTCAGTAAGAAAAGACTATACTTATTCATTGATAATCTTCTTTCCAGTGACTTAACCCTGGTTTCTAGATTACAATTAAGTCATTTAACATATCTGACCCCTGTAACATAGAAAGGGTGTAACAGTCACTCATTCATGCTTCTGGCCTCGTATCATCACTCTGGGCCTCTGACTGCAGGACTATGGAATACTAAGCAGTTGTTCAATGATGTTTACATTTGATCACTGTGATCTAGAAAGTAGGTTAAGGTCATTCATTTAAACAAATCTGATTGCCCTTTATCTAAGTATTGTATGCCACAGATCAAACTTGTGCCATATTGTTACTTGAACCAAAAAATGTCTGTAAGACATGAATATCCCTACTTCAACATTGTTTTGCAGAAGTTGTCAATTGTGACCTTTGACCTTTTTTATCAAATGCAAAGTGAAAATTGGATACATCAGAAAATATATTCCACAAAATCTCGCCAGCTGTTAAACATTACCACAGAATGATCTTACATCCATCCACAAAATCTCGCCAGCTGTTAAACATCACCACAGAATGATCTTATATCCATCCAAAAAATCTCGCCAGCTGTTAAACATCACCACAGAATGATCTTACATCCAACCACAAAATCTCGCCAGCTGTTAAACATCACCACAGAATGATCTTACATCCATCCAAAACATCTCGCCAGCTGTTAAACATTACCACAGAATGATCTTACATCCATCCAAAAAATCTCGCCAGCTGTTAAACATTACCACAGAATGATCTTACATCCATCCAAAAAATCTCGCCAGCTGTTAAACATTACCACAGAATGATCTTACATCCATCCAAAAAATCTCACCAGCTGTTAAAAATCACCACAGAATGCTCTTACATCCATCCACAAAATCTCGCCAGCTGTTAAACATTACACAAACTGACCTGTCCTTCCTGTCATAGAAATCTCACAAACTGACCTGTCCTTCCTGTCATAGAAAGCTCACAAACTGACCTGTCCTTCCTGTCATAGAAAGCTCACAAACTGACCTGTTCTTCTGGTCATAGAAATCTCACAAACTGACCTGTCCGTCCTGTGATAGAAAGCTCACAAACTGACCTGTCCTTCTGGTCATAGAAAGCTCACAAACTGACCTGTCCTTCCTGTCATAGAAAGCTCACAAACTGACCTGTCCTTCTGGTCATAGAAAGCTCACAAACTGACCTGTCCTTCCTGTCATAGAAATCTCACAAACTGACCTGTCCTTCCTGTCATAGAAAGCTCACAATCTGACCTGTCCTTCCTGTCATAGAAAGCTCACAAACTGACCTGTCCTTCTGGTCATAGAAATCTCACAAACTGACCTGTCCTTCTGGTCACAGAAAGCTCACAAACTGACCTGTCCTTCCTGTCATAGAAAGCTCACAAACTGACCGGATTTTCCTGTAGTAAAAAGCTTTTGAACAGACCTATCTTTCCTGTGAGAGAAAGTGCATAAATTTACCTCGCCTTCCTGTGAAATATTCCAGACAACGGAGAAGGTGAGACGATCTTCATCTGGGTTTAAACTACAAAGTTCTTCACATAGAATACGTGGCAGCATTGGAATAACCTGTAAAAAAGCCAACGAATTAAGAGTGAATTGAGGAATATTTGTCATATCATTTTACCATGGAAATGTTTAGAACGTAAATCACTGAAACAAATGTTTTTTAAAGTTCAGAATTTCACAGGTTTACCAGAAGCTACTCCTTAATTTGCCCAATGTTTACAGTTTACCTTGTGTAGAAGGAATACCTTGTGTAGAAGGCATACACTGCTTGCCCTGTGTTTCACAGTTTACTTTGAGAGAAAGGTAAACACTGCTTGCCCTGTGTTTCACAGTTTACTTTGAGAGAAAGGTAAACACTGCTTGCCCTGTGTTTCAGTTTACTTTGAGAGAAAGGTAAACACTGCTTGCCCTGTGTTTCACAATTTACTTTGAGAGAAAGGTAAACACTAGATGCCCTGTGTTTCAGTTTACTTTGAGAGAAAGATAAAACACTAGATGCCCTGTGTTTCAGTTTACTTTGAGAGAAAGATAAACACTAGTTGCCCTGTGTTTCAGTTTACTTTGATAGAAAGGTAAACACTGCTTGCCCTGTGTTTCACAGTTTACTTTGAGAGAAAGGTAAACACTGCTTGCCCTGTGTTTCACAATTTACTTTGAGAGAAAGGTAAACACTAGATGCCCTGTGTTTCAGTTTACTTTGATAGAAAGATAAACACTGGTTGCAATGTGTTTCACAGTTTACTTTGAGAGAAAGGTAAACACTGCTTGCCCTGTGTTTCAGTTTACTTTGAGAGAAAGGTAAACACTGCTTGCCCTGTGTTTCACAGTTTACTTTGAGAGAAAGGTAAACACTGGTTGCCCTGTGTTTCACAGTTTACTTTGAGAGAAAGATAAACACTGCTTGCCCTGTGTTTCACAGTTTACTTTGAGAGAAAGATAAACACTGCTTGCCCTGTGTTTCACAGTTTACTTTGAGAGAAAGGTAAACACTGCTTGCCCTGTGTTTCACAGTTTACTTTGAGAGAAAGATAAACACTAGTTGCCCTGTGTTTCACAGTTTACTTTGAGAGAAAGGTAAACACTGCTTGCCCTGTGTTTCACAGTTTACTTTGAGAGAAAGGTAAACACTGCTTGCCCTGTGTTTCACAGTTTACTTTGAGAGAAAGGTAAACACTGCTTGCCCTGTGTTTCACAGTTTACTTTGAGAGAAAGGTAAACACTGCTTGCCCTGTGTTTCACAGTTTACTTTGAGAGAAAGGTAAACACTGCTTGCCCTGTGTTTCACAGTTTACTTTGACAGAAAGGTAAACACTGCTTGCCCTGTGTTTCAGTTTACTTTGAGAGAAAGGTAAACACTGCTTGCCCTGTGTTTCAGTTTACTTTGAGAGAAAGGTAAACACTGCTTGCCCTGTGTTTCAGTTTACTTTGAGAGAAAGGTAAACACTGCTTGCCCTGTGTTTCACAGTTTACTTTGAGAGAAAGGTAAACACTGCTTGCCCTGTGTTTCAGTTTACTTTGAGAGAAAGGTAAACACTGCTTGCCCTGTGTTTCAGTTTACTTTGAGAGAAAGGTAAACACTGGTTGCCCTGTGTTTCACAGTTTACTTTGAGAGAAAGGTAAACACTGCTTGCCCTGTGTTTCACAGTTTACTTTGAGAGAAAGGTAAACACTGCTTGCCCTGTGTTTCAGTTTACTTTGAGAGAAAGGTAAACACTGCTTGCCCTGTGTTTCAGTTTACTTTGAGAGAAAGGTAAACACTAGTTGCCCTGTGTTTCACAGTTTACTTTGAGAGAAAGATAAACACTGGTTGCCCTGTGTTTCACAGTTTACTTTGAGAGAAAGGTAAACACTGCTTGCCCTGTGTTTCACAGTTTACTTTGAGAGAAAGGTAAACACTGCTTGCCCTGTGTTTCAGTTTACTTTGAGAGAAAGGTAAACACTGGTTGCCCTGTGTTTCAGTTTACTTTGAGAGAAAGGTAGACACTGGTCCCGTGTTTTAAGAGTTTCCCTTGTGAGAAAGGTAAACACCTGTTGCCTTAAGTTTTACAATTTACCTTGTGAGGGAGATATACACTCGTTGCCCTGCGTTTTGCTACAGCATCTAATGGAGTCTCTTCTTCTAGGAAGTAACTAACATCAGCAATGTGCACTCCAACATCAAATGTTCCTGTGATAATGATTAAAATGTATACAGATTAGTACACTTAACAAACATCAAACATTCTTGTGATACAAATAAGTACATGTAACAAACATCAAACATTTTTGTGATACAGATTAGTACACTTTACAAACATCAAACATTCTTGTAACACAGATTAGTACACTTAACAAACTTCAAACATTCTTGTAATACAAATAAGTACACGTAACAAACATCAAACATTCTTGTGATACAAATAAGTACATGTAACAAACATCAAACATTTTTGTGATACAGATTAGTACACTTTACAAACATCAAACATTCTTGTGATACAGATTAGTACACTTTACAAACATCAAACATTCTTGTGATACAGATTAGTACACTTTACAAACATCAAACATTCTTGTGATACAGATTAGTACACTCTAGAAACAGCAAACATTCTTGTGATACAGAATAACATACTGTACCTGCATCAACAGACCTCAAATTATAGTTTTTTTCCCAGAAAAGAAACGTAAATTTGAAAATATATACCATGGAGGGCCAAAGTAACCTTATCTGTCCAGATGATACCCAGACGGATGGACAGACTGACAGTTGGACAAAGACAAACACTAATAGCCTTTTTTTAGTTTTTCTTTTATATGTCTTACCATCAGGAAGTTCCTCTATAGAAAGGGCGTCATCCAAATCCCTCGCTGTGGCTGGATCAATAGAGAACACACACTGCTTACGGAAATCCTTTCGATTAGTTAGTTCTGTTGATGGGATCTTCCATGGCAAATTCTTGATGGGTAGGCTGTCAAGGGCCTGTGAAACATTAATCTTTGATACAAACACCATTGACGATAAACAGATTGGCAGACAAACAAATTATACATTCTTGGCATGTCAAACACCCAGATTTCTCCAAAACATCACAGATCTATCAGATTCTGACACTCCCCAAAATTTGTAATTTGTATATTCATAATGAAAATGACATCAAATCAAGCTTTTCACAGACATATAACTACAAGTGAGGTTATTTTGTCAAGTTAATAAAATTGGGAGGTGAAAACAGTTGGTAAAGACTTTTTAAAACGTAATGCTGTATCAGAACAAGATAATGTATAGTGTGACATTATCCCCCGCGCCCCACTGTTTAAAAGACACACAATCATATATGTTATAATCATAGTAACGTGTATATAACCCCATTTCACCACAGCTACTGATATTTTTAATTTTGCAGTTGAAAATTATCTAAAAATTGCTTGAGTCAAATTTCTGTTTCAGTCAAAATGATTTCCAGGTCCAAATTTTTTTTCCCTTCTCCATCATTGTAAGTTTAGTTTGGATGAGTCAAATTTCATAGAGTTGAAATTTCATTTGAGTCCTTGTGATTTCTCAGTCCCTTCAATTTTAAAGTGCTTATATAATGTTTCCTTTAACAGGTAAAAACTTTCTAGAGTTGTCCCTTTCATGTTTATTTAGTCATGATAAAGTCTGTAGCTTCCACATATCGTTTCTTGTAGGTTATCAAAGGCAAATTTTAGTTGTGTTTTATTGTCAGTATGGGGAGTGTACATGGAACGAAGTGATTACAAGTATAGCTGATTGGAATTGTTATTACATGTTTTTTTATTTGGATGAATAAACGATGAAAGGAGAAGGTACAATTTTTTTTCTGATTACTAACTGCCATTTCAAATAACAGATTAAATTATGCTGTTTGTACCTAGATGTACCGTGCTATCGTAGTCCTCCTTTGTTCAACATTAGGAAAATGATATAGTCAAACTTATTTTAAACAATTTGTTGAAGTCAAAATTCAGATAGCAAAATATTTTCTCAGCAGTTCCTTGAATTTTGAGATAAGAAGTTTCGACTTTATTTTGTTACAGAATATCGGCCCTTAGCTGATATCAATTGATACTTAACACAAACAAAACATTGTAACAAGACAGAAAACAAGACAGAAATAAAAAGCATCATAACTTTTAACACTGGTCATTTATAAAAGGATCAATGAATACAGTTCAAGACAAAAAATATATTATCTGTAAGGTGGGAGAAAAATAACCAACCACTGCTTTCCATTGTAGCAGAGTTATCTCCCCCTATGGAAATATATTTTATAAATTTTATAAATTTGAACCAAGGGTTTCAAATATCCTCTACATGACACCGACACGAAAGATGCAAATATGATTTCACTAAATTTAAGCCTTGTCTTACCTTCTCAGTGAATTCAGAGGTATCAACACTGTTCTCTAGCAGAATTGCTTCTATCTTTGGTTTCAACTCCCGATCGTTTCCAATTTTACGCAGCAACGTTCTGGAAAACAAGCAGCTATGGGGTTTACACATTACATATAAGGCTTTAAACTTGTGCCTGGTAATAACCTTTTCTCCATGTTGTAGAATATTAAACCTGATTCACTGAAACTACCATTTTGTGAGTGAAGTAGTATGTTGAATACTTTACATCATTATTTGGTTGCTCAATAGATACCTCTCAGTTACCGCTGACACAAAAATGAAGGTCATTTGATATATCAAGTTCTGACAGATGACGATTTGTCAATCCACAGTACTCTTAAATGAATTCTTATCTTTCCAACCAAGAAACATGTAGAAATTATCATGTACCCGTCGGCAAATACTGAGTCACATCTCCACTCCGTAAGTTTGGCAGCGAACAGCACATTAGCGTAGTCATCTGGCCTCGTAAGGATATCTGTTGATGAAGAAAGTACAGAATTTAACCACTGTCAATGCAAGGTCAAAGGTCAACTCAGTACTTAAACACTGTCACTGCAAGGTCAAAGATCAACTCAGTACTTAAACACTGTCACTGCAAGGTCAAAGGTCAACCCAGCACTTAAACAGTCACTGCAGGGTCAAAGGTCAACTCAGTACTTTTTAATTTGGAATGCTTTTCATTTCTAATATGATAGAAATGTAGAACTATACCAAATCAAAGGCAGATTCTACTCTCCTGGGAGACCGACAGGGTTCCACACTGAATATTTACCTGGAGGACAACTGTCTAGGTTTATTCGGATCCTGGGCAGCCTATTATCAACTGGACTAAACAAGACACCATCCTTGGTTTTCATTGGCTTAATGTGACCTGAACATACACGAGGATGTTTTTGTTCTATCACTGCTACTACCTGTAAAAACAAAAATGTCTACTTAAAAGCGTAGCTGAATCCATTACAAGACTTTGCTACAATCTTGTGTATCTTTTTTCTTATGTAATCTCTTCACCATCTAATCCTACTGTTTTGAAATTTAGTGTACATAGCATAATTAGTACAGCTTAAAAAAGTTGGTCTATTCCCTACCATCTTTTACACTGCCTATGTCAGAGCTAGTCATGCTTGCCATTCATCACTGGTCTGATGAAGGTGACCAAGGGACTGTGTAGTCATGGAAACGTCACACTAAAGTCTTCTACTTGTTGTGTTTTGAGAACTTTTATTCTATATCTAATTACCTTGCCTTTGCGACTATCCTTCTCAAGTTGAAGTTTCTTCCTGTCAGACACAGGCGTTGCACTCCCCTGTGGTGCCTCTGGGCTTAATATCACAGTCTGATCCTCCTCAATTATCACATCAGGCGAGTCTCTATCTGGTGACTTGTCCTGTGAACTTGCCCTCTCTTTTTGTGTATTGATATCAAGGGCTGCATACCTTGATTCTAACTGTTTTACTTCAGCTGATTGTGCTGGATTTTTTTTCTTGTCAGATAAGTTTGGTTCCTATCACAGAAAATAAAAAGTTTCAAAACTACATTATACTTTAAGCTGCATTTATGTTTAATGTGAACATCAAAGAATATCACCATTTTTAGAAACAAGAAAACCAGAAGAACTGAGGTATGCTCCACAAGAACAACATTATTTGAAGCTTTACCTGTCTCTGAACTTTGTGTTTGGTCATATCAACGACACAAAGTGTGTTAAATAATGTTTTAACATATTACATACATGAATTTGTGTCCAATACATACTTTTGCTTGAGATCTGAAAATATGTGTACTTTAATCAGTTTCATATCCTGGTTAAGAAAAATTAATGTTGTCTACATGGAATTTCGATGAAGGGCAATAACTGTAATTTTTCAAATTTGGTCAGACTTCATCCCAGTTATCTGCAAGTCTAATATCATGCATCTAGGTCTTTTGGGTAATCAGAAGAAGTGGTTTAAAGGTTATAACAAATTTAACAAAAGAAGATGATTTTTTAAATTTTAGTCAATGTAACCTCATTTGGTCCCAACCATTGGACCCTAGGAGTCAGCCAGGATACATAAGTGCATACTATCAAACCATCTTGCTATATTTATAATCCTAACGATGTTTGAAAGACTTTCAGGTGACCTGCACATGAAACAATATAAGACAACAGCAAGTAACATCTAACCAGTCATTTATCATTACCTGGGTATCTGGGTTGTCAAAAATTTCAACTGCGACCACATCTCCTGTTAGCCCAGGATATCGGTAATCTAAACCATCAATTAACACATCGGAGCCGTGATCCTGTCAAATTATAAACCGTATTAGTGTAAAACTATTTACAATTTACTACAACCTTAATATAATATAAATTTCAAATTAGTACTCGTTTCTTGCTGCACTAGTTTTGAACAAAAAAATTCAAGAAACTTGATACAGTAACTTACTTGGTGAAACACAAACCAAAAGTTACTAGGTAACGTACTAAATGAGACAAGTTCCATAATCATACTGTAACTTACTGGATGAGATACATAGTAACACAGTAACTTACTGGATGTGATACATAGTAACACTGTAACTAACTGGATGAGATACATAGTTACACAGTAACTTACTGGATGAGATACATAGTAACACTGTTACTTACTGGATGAGACACATAGTAACACTGTAACTTACTGGATGAGAAATATAGTAACACTGTTACTTACTGGAAGAGATACATAGTAACAATGTAACTTACTGGATGAGATACATAGTAACACTGTAACTTACTGGATGTGATACATAGTAACACAGTAACTTACTGGATGAGATACATAGTAACACTGTTACTTACTGGATGAGATACATAGTAACACTGTAACTTACCGGATGAGATACATAGTAACTATGTAACTTACTGGAAGAGATACATAGTAACACTGTAACTTACTGGATGAGATACATAGTAACACTGTAACTTACTGGATGAGATACATAGTAACACTGTAACTTACTGGATGAGATACATAGGCTTTTTTGAAGTCTCTTGGCACAACTCTTAGTTCACCCTGTAAAATAATGATATTGTGACTATTTGAAATGTTTGTATCAGTATACAGAATCAAGCAGACTTATTAGGATTTCAGCCACTTATCAGCCTAATAAGATTTTGGCAAGACAGGATAGTAATTACTGAAAACTAATTAACATAATTTATCTGTACAAATACCCAAAAAAATCTGATGTTCTTAACTTGATAAAGTTATTTGTGAAATTATCTTTAAATTGAGCGTATACAGTAGTAAGTCCTATATACATGGAATAGCCTACTGCTTTGTGTTGTCACTTTCCCATGTACAGTTTACATATACATTTCACAATGAATAATTGAATACAATACAATTGAAAGGACTTAAAAAATTGCTTCGACCCAACCGAAATTTTAACTCATCCTAGCTAAAATCATAATGATATAGAAGGAAAAAAATTGGGACTTGAAAATTATTTTGACTAAAACAGAATTTTGACTCCAGCGATTTCGAGACAAGTTTCAACCATAGTTTACCTGTATATTTTCCCTGGGATATAGAGTTTACCTGGTTATATGTTTACCTGTATTATACGTCCAGACTTCATCCCAGCTTCTATATCTTCCCTAGACATACTTTGATAGTTTGTCCCTTCTGCTACAGTTCCTTTGGGCTTGTGTTTATCCTATTGTTAGAGTACAAGGCAATTGTTAGTTCAGCCTGGATGAAAAATCATACAGGGTTGAAAAGTTATACTAAATGGAGATATCATTTTAAAATTTCCTTGCACTAATTACATCTCCATTTCTTCAGAAATTTTCTTTAATTTTCTTATAAATACTACAATGTTCTTTAACTTCTTACAAGAATATTTAGGACTGTTATTTTTCTTTCTTTTTTTTCTGTCATTTCCAATGCCTTATGTTTTACCAGAGACGTATCTGGTTTTACTTAATATCTGAACACAGCCAAAAAGTTAGCTGATATTTTCTGTAAATTCTACAAATAGCTTGCATTATTTAACGAGTCTCTAGTGCATTAAATAACTACCTTGTACTTTGAGGACTTGCTAGATGGACTAAACATCTTTGTTTCACTTTTAGGTCTTTGATCAGCATTTCTATTTCTTTTGGACTTGCCATGTGCTTTTTCTGGTGTCTTGGCAGATTCAGCAGCTCTCCAATGACCTTCACCTCTTTCCTGACCTTGCATAACTAGATTGTCATTAGCTGGAGGCAAACTCCTGAAGTTTTTGTCAATGTTAGATTTAGGTCTTGCTCCCGAGTTCTTAAATGATTCCTGAGAAGAAGAATTTTGTGATGCTGATGTCCTTTGAGAAGCACTAGATGTTCTTTTAGACATTATTGCTGTTTGAATTGAGTTGCTCTGTTTAAGACGTTTGTTAAGCAACTGTTCAACAATTTTTGACAAACGGCTTGTGGATTTTATCAGTTTCCTTGGTTTTACAGTGGTATTCTTGTTTAGGTGTGACTGAAACAAGGAAATGATATAACTTATATATAAATAACAGAAAATACCTTCAAGATGACTTAGATATAGACTTTTTGACGTTTAGGTCTCATTCCTTTATATCTTTTTAAATATGGTCAAAAACTTCATCTATAAACAAGTGAATATGACATAACAACAAATGTCAAAAATTTATCTTATATAATCAAACATCATATGATAAATCAAACACTGATCATATAAAATCTCATGTTATGATGTACAGTGTAATGATCATAAACACATGACATTAAAACATGTATTTACATGCACAAAATTGAAAATAATTTGACAGTAGGAAGTTTTCATTTCATCTCACCAAGGAAATATAATAATTACCTTTGATCACAGCATTTCAGGAGAAAACTTGGCCTAGCTGAGGTTTCATTTTCACTATGGTTAAATGTTTAGTTCTGGAGTATCACATAGCCCTCCCATATAAAAAATGATAGACAAAAGAGAAAATGAAAGTACATGTCACATGACAGACATGACTCAAATACCTGATATCTCCACTAATAATGATGATAAAATGAAAATGATAACAGCATCCTGAAAAGTTGGTTTTTGGGAAGCACAGGAAACTTATGATAGCTCAGGTCTCATTTACATGTAATTGGTTTCATTTGTAATATTGATTTTAGACAAAAGTGAAAGTGAAAGTACATTAGAAGATATCATTATGAAAAGTAAGATGGAGTGTAAGTGTTGAGCAGGTGCAGTCATGATTATGTAGTGGAGAAATATTTTGGACAATCTGGGCAAGGTAGAGTCAGGGCTTTCGATCTGCCAGATTTGGGACTGGTATTCGCCCCCATTCCAAATGCAAAATATTATCTTTTTTTCTCAATTTAGACCTCAAGTTTTCCCAATCCTAAGGAAAACACTGCTATTTTTCCCAATTCTAAGGGCCACAGCCCAAAATGGGGTGTGAAAGTGAAACTGGCCAGAAATACCTATCAATTACTTAACTTTCCTATGTTTTAAAAGCATAAACCAGGAAAGTATTGAATGTATGGCTTGTGATACATGTAATTGATTCAATTTCATGCATAAGCTTTAAGGAATGTCATATGACTTCTGTTTGTAAGAGCGGTAGTGTAAAGGCAGAATCATTATCTAGCATCCAGCCAATTCAAGGTTCTTCATATGAATTTTAGCATATAATATTCGACTTAACCAATATTCATCTCCAGTTTTTAGCCCAAGATTGTTTAAATCAATTTAGACTCCCTATGCCATATATATATAATGGTAAGTGTTGGGAGAGGAATGCCTAATTTCATCATAAATACATTGGGGATGGCAAAAAAAACAAGACTTTTTCGAGGGGCTCTGTGGGCAAACAAACTGATACATAAACTTTTGGCTGGCATACTTTTTCATGCATTTGAGTAACTAATTACTGATTTCTCATAGCAGTAACTATTCCTCAAATGCAGGACTATTACCAGTATGAGGGGTAAATTTGTGCCCAACCTGTTTAAAAGTTAGGATGTCTACTTACCAAAAATACTAATCCTCTTCCTTTAAGGCTCTGAACTGCTATATATGAATAATTCCATTTCCTTCGCAAGAACAAAGATGACCGAGAAATCACAAAGCATGTTATAAACATTTGAAAAATGTTATGGAACGTGTCTGTGGACTTGAGTCTTCAACAATTCCGGCCTTCATTCCTGCTGCAACTATTAAATCAAAATGGAAAATGATAACTATGCATGTGTCAAAGGTCGACAACCAATGGGTTCACCTAGATACTGACGAAAAGAACATATTCACCTTCGCAATTAAATTGTTACCGTCTCGAGGCCTTGCAAAGTTCAAAATGTTCTCTTTTCGGTTGTCACCGCATGGTGCAATGGTACGAAATATACCTTCGGGACGAAGAACGGGAAACAAGGGACGTCACTCTTATCATCCACACACACACACACACACACACACACACACACTCTCTCTCTCTCGTATGGAGTTTCGGCCTTTCGGCGGATTTTGTCCACACATGAACCCTTGAATTTTTTCATTTTTTTCACAAACAAATGAAGTACGGTATGGTAGAGGCGTAAACGCCATTTGTTTTGTATGGAGGTACCGTTTTGCTATTCAATATTTTCTGATATCAACAAATGCATTTCTCGATATGAAAATACCTCCTTATCAGAAATACTTTTTTTCTCAGAAAATAAGTCAACAATCATGCAGTTTTAGTGAGTTTTCACTATTTCTAATTTTCGAAATTTTTATTCTTTTTTCAAAATCTGTTTTTGATATCAAGAAATCGTGTCTCTATCTTAAAAAAAAAAAACAATAAAACAAAAACAAAAACAAAACAAAGAACAAGAATACCTTACACATTTGAACTGATATAATCAAAAAATTTTCAGGAGAAAATAAAATTACTAAGAAAATCAAGAATTCTCTTTTCTGATATCAGAAATAATTTTAGATATCAGAAAATGGTGTATCTTTGTTTATAAAACCAAATGTAATAACTCGATATAATCGGTTGATAACGATGAATTATTTTTCTGACATCAGGTAAAAGTGAAAGGGTGCTTCACTCTTTTCATAATGCAGTTTGGTTACGCAGGAAAAAAAGTAGTGAACTTACAAATTAAAAAAATATCACATTAAGGTAAAACCGAAATATAATATATGAAGATATACGTTTCCGACACCTAAAAGACATTGTCAAAGCGTGGGCATCTTATTTTGAAAATCTGTTTCAAAATAAACACGCGAGGAATTTATTAACACCTTCCACAGAGAAATCAACAACCGTGATACTGAGAGTCTTTTACCTGCACGAATGTATCACACTCACGGAAATTGCCTTCATGTGAAAAGGTAGGAGGATTGGATGGTATAGCCAGGGACGTATAATACGTATATTATACGTCCCTGGTATAGCATATGAACACATCAAACATGGTGGATTTTTTAACATACTGTGACCTTATTCAGTTATGTTATTCAAAATAAATATATTCAGAAAGAGTAGAAAAAGAATACCAGGCTTATATGTATTTAAACTGTTTTAAACGGTATTATCACAAAGAATACAGGCAGTTTTAAATCTCAATTTGATTGCAAATAGTCCAAAGTCTGCTTATCAAAAGTACTTTTTATTGTTTATATACATAATTCATTCTCCAAGAATGCTTAAGTCATATTATTGAATACATTTCCAACGTCCATGTTGTTTTCTTACACAGCAATAAAGCACATGACACTATGTGACACGCCAGATTATTGTACGAAAATTATGAATAAAGTCTGAAATTTTCATATAACATAGAAATAATATGATGGGTCTATTGGTTAAAAAGGGACGTTTTACAAGGCAGCATTTTATCACATGGTCATTGATATGTTGTGGACGATATATCTCATAAAAGACCTTCTGAATTCACTGGGATCAGGCCCCACTTGTATAAAACATCTCAACTTGAGATTTCCTCAAGTCGAGATTTTCCTCAGCTGATATCTCCTCAAAAACGGCTCAAGGAACAGGAGGAAATCATTGGCTAGGATGTCCTGAAATTCCTTGAGGAATTTTCATACAAGATATTTTCAAGGAGCTATTAGCTGAGGAAAATCTCGACTTGAGGAAATCTCAAGTTGAGATGTTTTATACAAGTGGGGCCTGGCCAATTAGTTCAAATTTCTATTGCCAATAACACCACATCACAATATTTTAAGCAAATGACAATGAACAAACAATATTTAATCAATGTAATATATTGACTATTTGATACATATTCCAAATATTCAGGAACATAATTTTAAGTGATGCTGGGAACTCGTACATCTTTTTCTGTTGTTTAAATCTAGCATTCACGTCAGTCAGTTTTTAAGCCTTAGGAATGAATACAACTTTACAAGGGCTTAAATCAACTAGAGACACGAACGCAGATCTGGGTAAACATGGACAGACAAATGGTCCCATAAATATCTGTATATTGACAGGTCTTAGATGCTCATCCTGACCTTATAAACACAATTATACCGATCACATGACCTCCGTTTTATAGCTGACCCAAACCAAACTCCAGACCGTATATATATATATATATTGTATATAACAGGTTACATTGTTTGTTGTTTATTTACGAAACCAAAGTTGTAACGTATTAACTACATAGGGCTAAATGTATGAAAAGTTGCTGCTTCAAATGATGGCTCAAATCAGTTATATTAATCAACAAGATGACGATTACACAGAAATGTAATAATTTGTCAATAAATTTAAAACATTCCTCAACACGACAATGTGACATAAACATTTTGTCGTGTTGTCGTTTTGACTAGGACAAAAGTATTGCCGAAATCAGCCATCTCAGTTTCCATTCTTCCAGGTAACAGGCATTTGAATAGTTTATTAATGAATATATATATATATGTAAATATAAGTTATCTAAAAGAAATGTGTAACTTGATCAATAATCGGGCCCCAGAAAACTCTCTCTATAGCAGAGAATTATTTAATATCTGTCAACGCGACATATATCTAGAAAATAATGGTATCGTCTTTCAGCGAACAGATAACCTCCGTGATGAAACACCTGCGGTTAATGATAACCCCGGGGTTAGCGGTAAATCCAAGTTTCATGTTGCAGTCCGGGATTATCCAATGAGTCAGGGTACCAGGTGTACAGGCGGAAAATGGCACTTGTCAAATTCTACATTTTTTTTATTAAATGATTCATATTACCAACTTCCAAAATAACTGTATCAGATGTCTTTTTTTTTAATCTTCCATTAAAATTCATGTCTCGTCCTGAAACTAACAACCGTAAGGTGTATGAGTATAGTGACGTCACTTCATTGTAAAAGGTGCACAGAACTATTTTGTCACGTGACCTACTTACGATTTAACAACAGCTCTGGGGAAAACCCGAAAACATTTCCTTGGATGGTTAACAAAGTACAGTGTGTCTAATGGGAGCGGGGAGCATCGATATCATCATCACAGATCCCCGAGACCGAAGATGTTTCCAACCCTGAGAATATCCCCGACTAGTATGGTTGTACTAGGATTGTGTATAGGTAGGTGTAAATATACACATGTATACAGGTGTGAAGTGTTTACCATACTGTACTCACGAAAAGCGGGTTTGGATGAAAGATTTATATACAGCTATTTGATCGTGTACACCACATATAGACACATATCATAGAGTATAGGCATATAACTACAAACAGTATACATGAACATAGGAAAACACAAATACACTGGGTATACCTATATATAGACCAGAGAAACACAAATACCCAAGCTATACCTGTGTATATAGACCAGAGAAACACAAATACACAGGGTATACCTGTATATATAGACCAGAGAAACACAAATACACCAGTTATACCTGTATATATAGACCAGAGAAACACAAATACACCAGGTGTACCTGTATATATAGACCAGAGAAACACAAATACACCAGGTATACCTGTATATATAGACCAGAGAAACACAAATACACAGGGTATACCTGTATATATAGACCAGAGAAACGCAAATACACAAGGTATACCTGTATATATAGACCAGAGAAACACAAATACACTGGGTATACCTGTATATATAGACCAGAGAAACACAAATACACCAGGTATACCTGTATATATAGACCAGAGAAACACAAATACACAGGGTATACCTGTATATATAGACCAGAGAAAAGCAAATACACAAGGTATACCTGTATATATAGACCAGAGAAACACAAATACACAGGGTATACCTGTATATATAGACCAGAGTAACACAAATACACAAGGAATACCTGTATATATAGACCAGAGAAACACAAATACACCAGTTATACTGTATATATAGACCAGAGTAACACAAATACACCGGGTAAACCTGTATATATAGACCAGAGAAACACAAATACACAAGCTATACTGTATATATAGACCAGAGAAACACAAATACACAAGCTATACCTGTATATATAGACCAGAGTAACACAAATACACCGGGTAAACCTGTATATATAGACCAGAGAAACACAAATACACAAGCTATACCTGTATATATAGACCAGAGTAACACAAATACACCGGGTATACCTGTATATATAGACCAGAGAAACACAAATACACAAGCTATACCTATATATATAGACCAGAGTAACACAAATACACAGGGAATACCTGTATATATAGACCAGAGAAACACAAATACACAGGGTATACCTGTATATATAGACCAGAGAAACACAAATACACAAGCTATACCTATATATATAGACCAGAGTAACACAAATACACAGGGAATACCTGTATATATAGACCAGAGAAACACAAATACACAGGGTATACCTGTATATATAGACCAGAGAAACACAAATACACCAGGTATACCTGTATATATAGACCAGAGAAACACAAATACACCAGGTATACCTGTATATATAGACCAGAGAAACACAAATACACCAAGTATACCTGTATATATAGACCAGAGAAACACAAATACACAGGGTATACCTGTATATATAGACCAGAGAAACACAAATACACAGGGTATACCTGTATATATAGACCAGAGTAACACAAATACACCAGGTATACCTGTATATATAGACCAGAGAAACACAAATACACAGGGTATACCTGTATATATAGACCAGAGTAACACAAATACACCAGGTATACCTGTATATATAGACCAGAGAAACACAAATACACAGGGTATACCTGTATATATAGACCAGAAAAAGACAAATACCCAAGCTATACCTGTGTATATAGACCAGAGAAACACAGATACACCAGGTATACCTGTATATATAGACCAGAGAAACACAAAAACACCAGGTAAACCTGTATATATAGACCAGAGAAACACAGATACACCAGGTATACCTGTATATATAGACCAGAGAAACACAAATACACAAGGTATACCTGTATATATAGACCAGAGAAACACAAATACACAAGGTATACCTGTATATATAGACCAGAGAAACACAAATACACAGGGTATACCTGTATATATAGACCAGAGAAACACAAAAACACCAGGTATACCTGTATATATAGACCAGAGAAACACAAATACACCAAGTATACCTGTATATATAGACCAGAGAAACACAAATACACCAGGTATACCTGTATATATAGACCAGAGAAACACAAATACACTGGGTATACCTGTATATATAGACCAGAGAAACACAAATACACCAAGTATACCTGTATATATAGACCAGAGAAACGCAAATACACCGGGTATACCTGTATATATAGACCAGAGAAACACAAATACACCAGGTATACCTGTATATATAGACCAGAGAAACACAAATACACAAGGTATACCTGTATATATAGACCAGAGAAACACAAAAACACCAGGTAAACCTGTATATATAGACCAGAGTAACACAAATACACCAGTTATACCTGTATATATAGACCAGAGAAACACAAATACACAGGGTATACCTGTATATATAGACCAGAGAAACACAAATACACAAGGTATACCTGTATATATAGACCAGAGAAACACAAATACACCAGGTATACCTGTATATATAGACCAGAGAAACACAAATACACAGGGTATACCTGTATATATAGACCAGAGAAACACAAATACACCAGGTATACCTGTATATATAGACCAGAGAAACACAAATACACCAGGTATACCTGTATATATAGACCAGAGAAACACAAATACACAGTTGCGGCGTCTGTCGTCCGTCCATCATCCGTCAACTTTTTGCTAAAAATCGCTACCAGTCATGAACTACAGAACAGATTTCGATCAGTGAAAATTCTCTAAAATCCTTCTGTTATTGGAATACCTAATCCTTGTTGAAAAGAATCTAATTTTGTATAGATCTGGAGTCTGACATCAGAGATGTGGGGCACAAAAGGGGTAATGTAAGTTCTTAAAAACCTTCTTCTGAACAAGGATATTGATAAGTTTGGTCTGGGGTAATTTTTATGAATGGTGAATCTGACTCCTGGTCGGGACCCGATAGGGAAATTATTTCAGAAAAGTATTTGTCCCATTTGAAATTCTTTGTTAAATGACTGATTAACTGAATTAGTCTGGTGAGCGATGTATGCCCCTTGGGCCTCTTGTTTTAGAAAGTATTACAGGGTTTTGTTGTTCTAGAAATTCGTAGCAATTTTCCCTATGTTGTTTTGATCAGTTATCAGTGATCAGTAGACCTGGATCACAAACACATTGCAACACGTAATCATTGTCTATTTGTTGAAACTCGCGGGTCCGGAGATTAAGATAAATGAGATATCAGTATCCAGAACACATTACAAGGTGCATACGTGAAGGCCTGTGTAACATATTCTCAATCACATCATTTTCCACGAAATCTGATGGACATCGACGCTGGTCCGTTATTTAGTGGGTCCTATAAATATGTTGATAACGTTATCATAAGCATCTTAAATATATCATGTGTTTACTAACAACCATCTCATCCCATAAAGTAAAGCCGGACACCGGACTCAATCAAGATATGACATATCGAACACTTGTCAGTGTAGGGTTCAGTAAGGGTCGTTATTTTCGCACACCGTACTCAATCAAGATATGACATATTGAACACTTGTCAGTGTAGGGGTCAGTAAGGGTCGTTATTTTCGCAGGACACCGGACTCGTATCAAGATATGATCTATTAAACAGTTGTAGTTAGTGTAGGGGTCAGTAAGGGTCGTTATTTTCGCAGGACACCGGACTCGTATCAAGATATGATGTATCGAACACTTGTAGTTAGTGTAGGGGTCAGTAAGGATCGTTATTGTCGCAGGACACCGGACTCATATCAAGATATTATATATTGAATACTTGTTGTTAGTGTAGGGGTCAGTAAGGGTCGTTATTTTCGCAGGACACCGGACTCATATCAAGATATGATGTATCGAACACTTGTAGTTGGTGTAGGGGTCAGTGTGGGTCGTTATTTTCGCACACCGTACTCAATCAAGATATTACATATTGAACACTTGTCAGTGTAGGGGTCAGTGTGGGCCGTTATTTTCGCAGGACACCGGACTCAATCAAGATATTACATATTGAACACTTGTCAGTGTAGGGGTCAGTAAGGGTCGTTATTTTCGCAGGACACCGGACTCATATCCAGATATGATAAATTGAACACATTACTTTGTTTATGGATTGTTGGATTTGGTTTTTTTTAATGATTTTGTTTACTAAAGTTTTGTATATATTATGGTGGTTTTTTTTACGAAAACAATTTTATGTAGTGTGCAGTTAACATGACAGATAGGGTTATATTTTCAGTGATTTCGAGAGTATTCTGAATCCAAGAATCCGAATTCACGTATCAAAATAAGTTTAAATAGGTTAAGTGATTTATCCACGACATCAACTGTCCACAAAATGGTATTAAACACGAAAATTGAGTCCCACATAAACATACGATTTTACAGTATTCTTTGTTTAATCTGTTGTAACATTCAACTTTTCAGCATCTGTCCGATCGTCTGAAGTTCACCGATGTCCGTCAGACTTGACCGGTACCATGTACACACACAATGGCCAGTGTTACCGCTACGTGAACTCTCGCGTGACGTGGGACGTCGCTAGAGCAGACTGTTCATCCAGGAATGGCGGCCATCTTGTTGTAATCCTTGACCGGTCCACCCAAGATTTTATTTCCTCGCTACAATTTCCCAAATACACCCAACAGGTGTGGATAGGATTTTCTGACAGGAAGCGCGAACAGGCGTGGACATGGGTCACAGGTTAGTCCGCCATGTTCGATGTTTGGTGTTATTTACATGACAGGTTTAATTCAATCAAATACTGGCACAGTTCAGAGTATACTTATGTACTTCAAGTTCTTTTTGAATTATCCATTATTTGAAAAAAATTACAAATTTATTGAATTATTTACATTTCTTTAGCCCATATTTGATTTTTACGGAAGCGTATTACGGCCACGTTGTGTTTTATTTAAACTCGGAATTTCGAGAGAGTAATTCGAAATTTTGATATACATGTATTAACCAGAAATTTGTTGTTATCTCGATATTTCGGGTTCGACTTACTTACTCAAAATTTCGGATTACTAACTCGAACTTTCGTTTTAATATATCAAAATTCGGATTATTAACTCGAAATTTCGAGTTACTAACTCAAAAATTTTGATTTGATATCTCGAGATAAAATAAACACACAACGTGGCCGGAATACGCTTCCGTAGATTTTCCTCGGTCGCCGAAGTTTCAACATTTTAAAGCGGCTATTACCATAGGTTTCAACATCTGGAAATGGAGAATTCGGTTTATGAATAATAAAATATATCCATAATAAAGCGATACACGCGCCTATAACGTCAAATTTATGGTTTTTGTACATATTTTCGGCATCGGAACATTGTTTATTTTGACTATTGTTTATAAACATGTTCATGTTCGGTTTATTTGGAAGAAAGCCGAGTGGGTCACATAGCTTGTCACGTGACGAAGTCATTTACTTCCGCCGCAAAGAAAAAATGGATTACGAGGAAAGTGTAAACAAACAGGCATGTCTTATGTATGACACTTGCTTTTGCGCCTTGTGCTAATTCTTATTTGCAGTAAATGATTCTATAGTGTTATAATATATAATTTTTAACAACCAGTCTTAGTAATATGTTTTGTTCATTCTTGTCGTGCGAGAATTATCTATGTCAATCGCGGCCGCTTAACTAGTGGGGTCCCAAAGGGTGTAATTACAATCGAAAAAGAAAAAAACTCATTGGGCAAAAATGCACAGAAATTGATACTTTGTCTGTGCATATTAATATATATTGTTTACCATTCATCGTGTGTCTATGTGTTTATTATGAAGGTTATGTTTATCACCTCTGTCGGTATTCTCACAGAAACAGTAGTACTGTCATATTTTTACACTTAAAACGAATACCCGCAATTGGCCCCACCTTGCAGTCAACAACAAACATACGATAGTGAATTCAAGCGAATAACACGACTATTTTTATTCAACATTTATCAGATAACACTTTTAGTAATTTTGTCATATAACATATTCACGCGTCAAACACTGGACATTGGATTATGATAAATGGCAGGCGGACACGTTATAATTATAGGGCTAACGTTAAGCTAACCAGTCAAGCAGCAGCTTCGCAAATTCCGAATCCGTATTCAGTCCAAGATCCTCCTTCATTCATCGCCATCTAACGATCTCCTGTCTAATATAAATTCTTGCCCGTCTTCTTTTCTGGTCTGACTCCTTCCTCTTACGCTTTCTGGCACTTTCTGTAAGGTAACTTTTAGGTCCTTGTCGTCTTTTCGTATTTGCGTCCGCCATATTGCTTCTCTCTCAGCTTATACGCATGCGCAGCATCAGGGTTACGAGCGGTAATGTATGAATTAGATCAAGACCGCAATGTTTACATTCTTTAATTTTTAGATATAAATAAAAAAGGTAGCAGTGACTTTTAATTTTAGTAATTAACAGAAAGTCTTTGTTTTGTAACATACTATTGGAAAATGGAACGTTTTTGTATCGTTTTCTCATAGTGTTTTTTTAACATTATAGTCGCTTTAAACCTTACCATCATTGACGAAACCTAAGTAGATGGATGAAACTACTGTTTGGAGCACTTTAATTCCTTGCTTGGTTCGGACTTAGATAAGTGGATGGTTCTGCTGATTGTAATTGTATTGAAAGGCGTGATTCGCTAATATGTCTGCATTTACTTCACCTTTCAACAAGAATCTATTCTGCCTAACCTATAAAGGTTGCCATTGTGAAAAATAGTTTAAATCATGATCTATATATAGAACAGACAGAGTATAACGTAATCATTAGGTGTATCTATTCTGTACTACCTGGCAAAGTTGCCATTGTGAAAAATAGTTTAAATCATGAATCTATATATAGAACAGAGACTCAGTATTACGTAATCAGGGATGGTTATGGTAACGTACTCGCCTTTCACGCGGTTAGATTCTGCTCGACCACGTGGGTTTCCGCCGGGTACTACAGTTTCCTCCGTTAGTAAGACCCCTTGCACAAGTGACAAATACAAGTTATTTACAAATTGTTGTAAAATAGATCAAGTTGAAATTTTGAATATTGTTGTACTAAACGATCTGGATGTGTTCAAGTCTATTTCTATCATACATCATTTATCCAGGTGACGTGAGGACCTTTAAATTTTGGGCGATAGGCAATCCGGTATTATGTTTTGGAAACAATGTCTTATGTCCGGAGGACTGTGCATACTTGCGGACATCGGACGGACGATGGATAGAGGATAAATGTAATGATGTTCATGTCAAATATCAATACATCTGTCAGTATGGTAAGTAAACAAAGTCAGATATCGACATATCTGTCAGTATGGTAAGTAAACAAAGTCTTATATCGATATATCTGTCAGTATGGTAAGTAAACAAAGTCTTATATCGATATATCTGTCAGTATGGTAAGTAAACAAAGTCTTATATCGATATATCTGTCAGTATGGTAAGTAAACAAAGTCTTATATCGATATATCTGTCAGTATGGTAAGTAAACAAAGTCAGATATCGATATATCTGTCAGTATGGTAAGTAAACAAAGTCTTATATCGATATATCTGTCAGTGTGGTAAGTAAACAAAGTCAGATATCGATATATCTGTCAGTATGGTAAGTAAACAAAGTCAGATATCATATATCTGTCTGTATGGTAAGTAAACAAAGTCAGACATCATATATCTGTCAGTATGGTCAGTAAACAAAGTCTTATATCATATATCTGTCAGTGTGGTAAGTAAACAAAGTCAGGTATCGATATATCTGTCAGTATGGTAAGTAAACAAAGTCAGATATCGATATATCTGTCAGTGTGGTAAGTAAACAAAGTCAGATATCGATATATCTGTCAGTGTGGTAAGTAAACAGAGTCAGATATCGATATATTTGTCTGTATGGTAAGTAAACAAAGTCAGATATCGATTTATCTGTCAGTATGGTAAGTAAACAAAGTCAGATATCATATATCTTAAATTAATCTCAATTAAAGCTGTTTATGTGCTCTGACGTCTATCTTGCTGCTTGGGTCAGAAGTCTTTTTCTTTAAGATTTTATGCATGGCTAGTTTTCGTCTTTTCTTTTCTGCGTTTTATTCAGGCGAACTGCCAAATTATTGATGATTTTTTACTCCGCATTTGAACATTGCTTCAAAAGTGATAATGAAAAATAAAAAAAAAAAAAAAAAATAAATGAAATAGAAATAAGAAAACAGTAATGTTTAGTGGAAAATGAATTGAAATTAAAACTTGCTATTGATTAATTTTGACTTAGGTATGTATATGATTCTAAATTGATACACCAGATATGTCGTCAACGACAACATCACCAACGACAACGACGTCAATAATTACGACGATGCTGGCGACCCCAGCAACGACACCATATCAAACTACAACCACAACGACATCAACTGCTATGCCATCTACAACTACCAAAACACCGTCGACAACAAAAACAAAAAAGTCCTTGCCATTAACATCAAAGACGGTCACTCCTGTTAGCTTGACAACGACGCATGCGTCTACAACTGGCAGTCCGGTGGCTGGAGGAACGGGTAAGTTGCGCACATGACGATGGGATCGAGGCAATAGAGACCACACGTACATGTTAATTGCTTGTATAAATGTTTAGTCTGTGGGCATTAAAATCTCCCGGGCAACTGTTATAAATATGAAATGATATTAACAGGGACGTATATATCTCATATATATGATATTAACAACGAGATACGTGTTTTTATATAGATTGCAGACAACACAACCCTTGTGTGGTGCTTTTTCCATTGTTGTATTGTGTAGATTTACAAGTTACTATTGTATTGTTTCCTCAGGTCAGTTATTAGACGAAGACAAGGCTTTATCAAAAGGTGAGTAACGCTTACAATAAACAATGTTTAACGACCATCTTCGCTTTTTTTCTTCAAATATAAAAAGAAGTATTTCTTAAGACCATGCATGTATCTGTCGGTTTGTCAATTTATCTGCACTTCCGGTACTCCGGTCTCATAACATTTAACGTAAAATTTATCTTTTTTTACAACAATTGCCAAACAAGTTTTTTTTTACTTTTATACTAATCACTCATGTTGGCCCCGGATGTAAGCGCCGAGGGGCGTTATCACATTTCATATAATGTTTCCCAGAAGCTGGTCACTTCGAATTATATTTTTAAACTCGAAAACTTTTTCCATTTATTCCACTTAAACAGAAATTGTGTTTTGACGTATACCCAAACATGAAAAAATCTGGAAGCACAGAATCAAATGATCACTGAAGTTACTATTTTTTTCAAAGTTACGATTGTACCTGATGTGATTTAATCAACATACAGTATATAGTGAGAATGGGTGTTTAGATAAGAAAATTAAACATTATGAATTATAACAGCAAAAACCTACTGTATTACATGCTAAGGAAAATGACCGAACGTCGCTAATATTATATTACAAAATAAAAGAAAAACTGAATGGGGAAAACGGGGACTTACTAAAGCACTGCCTTACTGAACAGGCAGTCTTAATTGACATGATAATTGTGTGTTGCCTAATGAATAAGCGGGGGCTCACTAAAATACCGACCTGTGTTTTACAATTCATTCAAAAGTCAAGGATTGGCTAAATCACTGCCTTTTTGAACAGGTGGTCTTAATTAACATGATTATTGTGTGTTACCTAACGACTAACCAGGAACTCACTAATGTACTTTTGAACAGGTGGTCTTGTTGGTCTAGTTCTGGCGTTGGTTGTCGTCCTAGGTGTCATCGCTGTTGTCCTTCTGGTGATTATCCGTAAACGGTGAGTTAGCATTAATCTTTCATGTTTTACAATTTATTGTTAACACCGGCACTTTCTACAAACAACAGTTTACTATAAACTGCACAATGTGATTTGATCACTCTCAAATTACGCCTTCACATGCACTTTCAAACACAGAATACTTTCACACTGTGACCAGATTTTACATGTTACAACTAACTTTCAAATTGTAATATTTCAATTTCAACTGAAGTTAGACGTAGTGAAACCATCTAATTTAGCCTGTTTAATTTGTCAGTAAATTTTACGAGATTAGCATTGATCATCCATCATATTATTCTCTAAGGGGAGATAACCCTTACATATTTTAATGTGATTCCGTGGAAATTTTGACAGAAGAGATTTGTTTTCCATGTTTTGATATCTGCATGAGGCCTTGGAAATTTTGTCGTCTGCTACAAAATATATTTCAATATGATTATGTTGTGTTTTGTCTGTTTCAAAATGAGTCACATAACCGTATTATGCTTGAGTTACAACGTGTGACTATATCAATCCATCAGACTTGGACAAGTTCTAGTAACTGTAGACTTGGATATTGTACAAAATATCAAATACAAAGCGTCTTAACTGAAAAACAAACACACAACACGCACACACCACACCCCAACACACACACACACACACACACACACACACACACACACACACACACACACACACGCACATTTTTGCCGAATTTTTACTTTCATTTTCTTTTATTATAGAAACAGAAGAAAGCGGTATGAAGAAGATGACATACCGGTGCGGTTTGAAAACCGTACCTATGACACAAACCGACCTCCTAATTTATTTGTCGACGAACAAACAGTGATTTCTAACGGCCTACGTTCAACAGAAAATATTTATGCGACACCGGCACCCAAACCATGTAATAACAGAGTTTTGCACCAGAATGCGTACGATATACCAGACAACTGTGACGTCTCAGCTGGACATTACGACACCGTGAAGGACTGTGATATGATTGATTTAGATGTTGACAAGAACGGTGCTTACACAACAAACGGCGACATGGAGGATTCAACCTACTCCGATACAAAGCCAAAGAAAGGAACGGGCTTGGAAGTCTTCGAAAACCGAACAAATGACGAACTTCTCAAATGTTTTGAAAAATTCAACAAGGCCCCAACAGCATATAACAACAATTTGTACAGTGGGGATAGCAACGGTTAAAAGTAGCAACTTATTGACGACTGACAGGCCCTGACGAAAGTGTACAAGTACTTCCATACTGCTGATAATTGAAAACGATTTTTCACCACTTTATCAATATGCTTTAAATGACAAACACAAGTATTTTTGTCTCAATTTCGAGGAAAGTTGCGGAAGCAAGCCTATGGTTTTATTTTTTCGGTGGCAGCGGTGTCATCAACATTTCAATTCCATGGTTTAATTTCAAAATTTATTTTCAACTTCAACCAAGCTTGGTATATATAGCTAGATTTAGCGGACACTAACCCAGTTTAGTTATATTATAGTAAAATCTAAGGAAATCTGACCCCGCCAAATACATAACATACATGTTCCCACGTATTTTTGGGACAGAAACATGCAATTTTTATCACTGATTATCAAATATTTATGACTTGTTCATCTCATTTCCGATTTTGTCACTAGTCACATTGAAACAAATACTGTGATATGTTAACGAAGTTTAAACTTCCCCAGAAAAAAAGATATTTTCTGGGTAAAAATGTTATATTTCAATTTTAAGAAACGGGATCATTCACATTATACTCTTTCCATGTAACAATCTATCTTTGATGTTTAGATATTGTCAAGACTACCGAGGAAATTTAGTATTGAGGAGGGACTCTGAGTTCATGAATATTAATGTGTTCTGCATTTTGCAAAACCAATGACAGTACTAGCAAAGTGGGACAGAGGAATTGTTTAATCAAGCATACATATGGAATTCATTTTTGTTCATTAATATATATTATTGTTAATGCACAGTGTTCATATTTTGTATATTAAAAATTCATGATTAATTGGATAAGACAATTGTATTTATAAGATTACTGGAGATAGCCTGGCTTAGCAAGGAAAGTGACGACGGTGCCCCATTTAGGTGTAAATACCGTGAAATGGTGTTTTATCCGCCGCTCATTTTACATCAGAAGTGTTTATCTGTATTCAACATATCTATTGAAAGAACTTAACACGCTGCAGCTTACAATTATTTTTCAAATGATGTACAACGATAGATCTTCATACATTGCCCTGTGTCTATGCGTCTACCCTCACTCATACTTGTGGGTTGCAATAGCGGTTTATTCTGTAAAACAAATCTTCGTTGCCTATAGGCGACTAAATCCAGTTGAATTGGATTTTTTAACCCATAATGTGTAACTACCATTTAACAAATGATTACTTGAAATAGCGCACCTGAAGTAATGCACATTTCCCCCCCAAAATTTTAACTTCAGTGCGAGCGTGCTTTTGAGGCATCGGAATGAACGTAAATTCGATCATTTTTTTCAGTCTTCGAATAATTTTGCGTTACAAACCACAAGTAAATTGAACAAAATATTCCAACCCACAAGCGTCGCCTCTTGGGACATCAGTCTCTCCACCCGCTCTCTCATCGTCAGATATAAATATGTAATAGAGTACAGTAGAGTATCACCACGTGCAGAATTTTCTATCTCTAAATAAGAAAGAGTGGTGTACAGCACATGTCATAGCTTATCAAGTTATTATACCGATTCAGAAGACTGATGTTAACATATGAATGTTTGCAGTCATAACTATATTGCTGGAAAATTAATCTCATACAGAAGTGTTTTTCCAATACAGGATCTTTTGATCCTCTTCAGTATATATATATAATACACAAAATCAGGTGTAACGTCGTTACCCATTAAAACTGAAAGCACATCAATAGTAAAATACTTATTCTGGGTCGGGCGTCGGATCTCATTTTTTTTTCAGAGTTATTGCCCTTGAACTTTAAAAATCTAAGATATTCGTATTATGTTCATCTTTTTCACAGATGCGCTGTGGGTATTCATCTATACTGTACAAAAAGTTGAGGATCATAAAACTGAAAAAAAAACAGATTTTTCAATACATAGAAAAAATATAATAATACTTATAAAGTTTAATGATAGGCTAATCAATCTAGTCTATGGTTGCACAATCAGATTTCATTTATTACGATTTGATTGCTAAAGAACGCTTGTTGACAGCCTCTTTTTCTATACATCTGAAAAAAGAATGTACTTTATTTCAGGTACAAAATTTCAGGTAATTATTTGTTCAGTGGAACTGTTATCATTTTCTGAATATTTATTTATTACGATTTCAAACTGCTTCACAATAGAAGCATGAACCACGTGATAAATTAAACTATTCCAAATATCCATTACTTTGAGACTTAAAACGTTTTTTCTTCCATCTAGACGGCAGGTAATTATTTTCATAAATTTCATTGAATGTCTCCATGTCCTACCAGTACTATCGATATCGAAAAAGTTCCCAATGACACTTTCGCCGTATATGTTTTGTATGATTTTGAATGTGTTGATCTTCTGGTGTACAACGTTGGTTCAAGATTGGTAGGACAAGTCGTTGTAAACGCTGCTCGTATGTCAGGTTTTTTAAAAACCGGCGCGGTCTAACTATTGGTTTGAAAAAGAGTTTAACCATTGACTCGTCTAGATACCCAGACGTTCTGCGTATCGATCCTGCTATGCTGTTTGTCTTATTCACGATTTGTTTGATATGGATACTGAAATTTCGATCCTCGGCTATTGCTACCATGGTCCTCGATCTGATGTAATGTTTCCTATGGTAATTTGCTCCCCTCTATTTCCTGACATCAATAGGTTCCTTTTTTCATTAGGCTTGATTGACAGAATCAAACATTTTTTCTGAGTGGATATGAAGTAGCCACTTTGCGAACCAATTTCACAATTTATCCATATCATTCTGTAGAAGCTGTACACCTTCTCCACTTTTTATTTGTCTGTTTAAATTGTATCATCTGCGATGGAAACAGATGAATACCTCAGATAAACGACTATTTTTTCCTTTAACTTTACAATAACACTAGATGAACTGACCGGTCTGTAATTTCCTGGTTCCAATTTTGATCCTTTCTTGAAAATAGCCGCTATATTAGTCTCTTTCCAAGCCTGTAGTATTTTCCTTGATTTTTTTAGTTATGTTATCAGAGGTCCTTCAATAGCCTTGAGTTCATGTTGTCTTGGCCCAGAAGCAGAAACGTTCTAAATTCCTCTTCATAACATAAAATCTCTCCAAAAGGATGTTTTTATATCCTAATGCTAAATTGCTTGGTAATACTAGTAAAGTACCACTGGGTCCTCCATTGACGACGCTGCTGAAGAAGTTTGCAGTTTTATCCGTATTGCTTAATACCATTTCTTTATCAATATCATTTAAGCCTTTCGGGTTCGAAATTCCGGTTTTTACTTTCCTCTTAGAATTCATATATTTCATAAATTTCTTTGGCTGTAGTTTAATTTCAATGCAATGACTTCTCTGTTTCTCTTCTGGATGACCTTAACCTCCCGCTATACCTGGTTTCGAAATTTGACATATTCTTTGAATTTTGCATCCCATTTTGTTTTCATATATCGCTGCCATGTTCAATGGTTTTTGTTGATTATTTTCACGATAGAGTCATTCAATGATAATTTATCATTGACACGTTATCGATAGTTGTGTGTTTTTCTCTTAGGTAACATTTTTATCTAGTACCTACGTAAATTGATTGTACATTTCTTGTGTGATGCCATACAGGGTTCTAGTCAAGTCCTGGTAAACATCTCCCCCATGTCATTGTGGTTTCCTTTGTTGAATGGGATGCACCTTATTAATACCGTTTATTTTATGACAGTAGAAAGGTTGAGACCATGTGATCACTACTTCCTACTGGGCTCCAACACGATATGTTTTTTTATCATTAGGTCCTTATTCGATAGGATGAGGTTCAGAATGCTCGGATCATCTCCTCTCCTATGCCTTGTATAGTTCATAACATGCTGATGTTAATAACCACCTCTTAAGCTACAACGAAATTATCGCTCTCTGTGTCTCCTGTTGACGACAAGGTGTTGCTGAATTGGTTGCCACTGCAATTATTTGAAGAAGCTCCTCAACATTTTCTTCGTTAGTATTAAGGCTTTTGTATATACAACCAACTAATAGGCTATTATATCTAGATAATTTGGTTTTAAACCGCAAACTTTTAGTGTTGACTTCCAGTCCATGACATTCTTCTTTTAAATAAGTTCCCAATCCGCTATGGCAGTTTTGGTTGTTATTGTTCATAAATATCTGCACTGTTAAAAATAAATTTCTGTTATAGCTATTATATCAGTACTATTTTCGACAAGATTTATGCTAGCTTTCGCCTCATCAAATGAATTAAACAGACTATCAGCATTTGTATAGAGACACTGAAGGTGATTTGGGTATTGATGTGTTCGCTTATCCTGATTTTTCCTAGCTTTTGCCTCATCTAATGAATTAAACAGACTATCAACATTTGTATATAAACACCGAAAGCGATCTTGGTATCGATGTCTTACCTTATCCTGTTGGTTTGCTGTTTTAGCCTTATAATTTTCCTGTTCCAGGGTCGTCCCATTACGCCCTAGATACTTTCCCCGATTTCTGGACAACGTCCTTTCTGTTTATTTCTGTCCTCAGATTTTTTCTCTCTCATTCTTGTTAATTTGCTTCCATCTATAATTGCTATCCATTTCAAGTTCATGTTTCAACTTTATGTTTTTAAACAAAGCTCGATTGACCTCAGTTGACCCGAAAGATACTAAAACTCGTCTTTGTATTTCGCCGTTTTCTTTTTCCTTGTCAAACTTTCTAAGTCTCAAAAATTTGGTAACACCATCAACTAATTCTGGCTGCAATTTGCAGATGGTCAGTATTTTCTTGATCCATCTCTATCCTTTCGCGTCCCTTATCGTTTGATTGTTCTTTAATTCCAATGATTAACATGATCATTCCTAATTTTTTCATAACCTCAAATTCTGCTAGTAATTCCTGTACATCGGTGTTTGCATCTGGTTCACTCTTGGCTTGAAGCTTATCTGGTGACATTGCAATTTTTCTTGAAAATATCTCGAACTTGTTTCTCGCCACACTTCTGTGACAGTTCAGTCACCAGTTCTTTCATCATCTTCTCTTATTTTCCATAATATCTGTGCATCTGGTTCAGTCTTGGCTTGAATCTTATCTGGTGACATTGCTATTTTTTCTTGAAAATATCTCGCCACATTTCTGTGACAGTACAGTCACCAGGTCTTTCATCATCTCTTATTTTCCATAATTCCTTACATTTCTGTGCATTTGGTTCTTTGGCTTGATTATCTCTTATTTTTTCCAAAATATCTATTTCTGTACATTTCTGGTCTTTCATTATCTCTTATTTTCCATAATATCTGTACATTTCTGTTCTATCTCCATATCCGCATGGAATGTTTTATCGGCTATTAAACATGTTGCACAGAACCAGATGGAGTCGGAGCTTGCGAAAACTATTCGTTCTCCCTTTCCGAAGCACTTCACAAAGAAGCGCTCTTAGCGTCGCGGGCATTCCATCGGTTTTGAACTTTCATTATCAAATATATTGTCAAGAGGTTACGAGTCTACGATTCATCTTCCCATGGGGATGCAAAAGTGACAAATGTAGATCCTGCACTGTCTTTTCTTGAAGTACTCTTTGATCAAAAGTTCCCCTGCCCTCTTCACTACTAGCCGACACGACCTTTCTTTAAAATGCATTCGCGTTGTCAATCCATATAACATTTTAAAACCAAAATTCATTATCTCATCTGATGATAATCTTTAAATGCCAAATCCAAGATGGTCGCCGGGAAGCCATTTTGTTTTCCTGATCAGTCCCAAAAATCAAACTAGCACAAGAGAACAAGGGAAACATGTAAATGAACTTTGAGAGAGATCCAGTGAGTCTTCAAGAAAGAGCGTTATTACACTAACTTTATTGAAAAAAATGCAAGAAGGCTGCATTTCAGCCATATTGTTTTCTGATCAGTACCAGAATCAAATGGGCACAACTAGGGACCATTTGGAGCCTACATATGAAATCTCCGAAAGATGCATCCTATACTGCTCAAGAAATAGCGAAAACAAAAATTGATTACGGACAGACGATGATGATGTTAAGTTGGTTACCCACTATTTAAATTATGTTAGGCTAAAATCATGGACAAGCAGACCAAGTGCCAGATGCGAAGATCAGTCATATGATAACAGTTTCTTTCTTTACTGTTTACTGCTCTGTCAACAACTAAGGTCAGTTTGGGAGGTCTCTTTGAAGTAGCTGGTGTCTACCTCATTGAACAACATACGGGAGACCCATCATATGGCATTCAGAGTAATTAGGATGGGTGTACTGCCAAAAATGCAACCATTATACCACAGATCAATCCTTCTGTCAGCTTCGTGACAAAATGAAATGGTTTAGGAGCTTTGAGCTACACACCTCAAATTTTCACCACAGGTCAGGTAGGTCAATGTTCATAGACTGAGGTAATCACAGCTTGATGATGGTAATAAAAAAGGGAAGGAACACCTTTTTATAAGCACATTTATTATTCACATGTCATTATAGTGCTATCATACTGTAATAACATCTTACGATCACATAACAATCTAACTATATAATACATGTACCATTCCAGGAGATTTACCAGGACATATACATACTGTTCCTTTTCCTTGTGTCCTTGTATGATACATCAAAATACAACAATATCCGTAATATTACAAAATAATACAAAAATAGAATAAAGCAAACAAAAACCTTCATCAACTCCAAGGTGAGATTCTGATTTTGGTACCTTTGGTTATTTTCATATGTATTTTAGGTAATCAAAGACATGTTCATGGTGAAGGACAGACAGGACAGAAAACAAATGTCTCTACTTACAGTAAAATGACACAATTTCCCGGGCAGGAGAATTTTTTTATACACACACCTGTACACATCATTTAAGAGATTCCTTGTCCAACAGCAGTTATCAACAACATGAGAGCTTCAGTTTTGATATTAGACATGACAAAAACTTAATATTTTCCCAACGATACTGGCTTATATGTTTACTAACACAGGATCAGATCATCAGACCCCATACCGGTCTTAAAGTAGACACAGCTTTACTGACTGGGCCTAATTCTGTTTTACATTGGATACCGAGGAAACTTTCCACAAATTGTCAATCTTAAATCCTAAATTCAACCTCCAAGACTTTAAATTCCCTCCTCCAGCTTATGGAGATCCACAGTATTTGTTGGAAAGCAGGTTATAAAGGAAAGATACCAGAAAAATCATTGCTTATAAAAACATTAGCTTTTCTTTCTAATAGTTCTCTGGTTTTATTGGAAAATGAAGTGTTATAATCTGCAATGGTCATATCTAAGATTTTGTTCATCAATAATACTAGAATTTTCCACTCCCTTTGTGCTACTTGACAAATAATACTCAAACTGAATAAAATCACTAAAAATAATAAATAACTGGGCACAAAACACATGTAAGTAAAAATTATGCATTCAGAAAGGCAAGTGATAAATATGTTAAAAATGAAGACATAGCATTGACAGTAAACTTAAAAAATAGTAAATGACTTGCAGTATGCAACTTCAAAAATACAGTAAAATACATAAAATCATTGAGCATGTACCAACAAGTGATATACTTCATACAAAGTAACACCCACAACAAACCCTGTAATTACAATGCACTATTCTTCAACCAAAATAAAACCACAAAGTATCAAAATATCAGACATTTAAGCAGGAGATACATATAATTGATGGTTAAGTGACAAAGAAGTCGTTATTTTAGGGGACAAGCCAAGACTAGGGTATGATAATGCAACACATCAGAGAGTTAGGAATATCTTAACCAGCTGGTGAAATCTAAAAATGTAAACTCTTGCACTCCTGAAGACATCAGATACAATATTGTTCATAATAACATTATCATTTCTAATGAAGAGACAGATGGAATTTTGAAAGACTGATTTTCAATAACCAATGACCTTGACCTTCATACTTAAAAATTACACATAAGCAGGTACGTGAAGACAGCTGACGGATCTGAGGGAACACACTTATTATGTGGAAAACAAATATCTATTTACAAAACCAACATTTCCAAGCAAACACTTCCAATACAAATGCACTATGCTGCATTTGATCAGTCATAGGAGAAATTCTACTCAGGCAGGCAAGCAAATTTTCTATTTATAGAATATATGACCTTACCCTTTGACCTGTAACCTTCAACAAATCCATGCAAGCAATTTCACTAAGCATTGCATTAAGACTTAATTTGATTAACTTAATGAGAATAATCCTAGATCATATAAGATTATCTGACTATGAAACAATAATGATACAACACCAGTATCAGATAATGTTATTGGAGAATTTCTTCACACAACATTATCTGACCACAAGAGGAATTTCTCTACACCAAAAAAGATAATCTGTTATCATAAGAGGAATTTCTCTACACCACAAGAGATAATCTGTTATCATAAGAGGAATTTCTCTACACCACAAGAGATAATCTGTTATCATAAGAGGAATTTCTCTACACCACAAGAGATAATCTGTTATCATAAGAGGAATTTCTCTACACCACAAGAGATAATCTGTTATCATAAGAGGAATTTCTCTACACCACAAGAGATAATCTGTTATCATAAGAGGAATTTCTCTACACCACAAGAGATAATCTGTTATCATAAGAGGAATTTCTCTACACCACAAGAGATAATCTGTTATCATAAGAGGAATTTCTCTACACCACAAGAGATAATCTGTTATCATAAGAGGAATTTCTCTACACCACAAGAGATAATCTGTTATCATAAGAGGAATTTCTCTACACCACAAGAGATAATCTGTTATCATAAGAGGAATTTCTCTACACCACAAGAGATAATCTGTTATCATAAGAGGAATTTCTCTACACCACAAGAGATAATCTGTTATCATAAGAGGAATTTCTCTACACCACAAGAGATAATCTGTTATCATAAGAGGAATTTCTCTACACCACAAGAGATCTGTTATCATAAGAGGAATTTCTCTACACCACAAGAGATAATCTGTTATCATAAGAGGAATTTCTCTACACCACAAGATCATTTTCTCTACACCACAAGAGATAATCTGTTATCATAAGAGGAATTTCTCTACACCACAAGAGATAATCTGTTATCATAAGAGGAATTTCTCTACACCACAAGAGATAATCTGTTATCATAAGAGGAATTTCTCTACACCACAAGAGATAATCTGTTATCATAAGAGGAATTTCTCTACACCAAAAAAGATAATCTGTTATCATAAGAGGAATTTCTCTACACCACATGAGATAATCTGTTATCATAAGAGGAATTTCTCTACACCACAAGAGATAATCTGTTATCATAAGAGGAATTTCTCTACACCACAAGAGATAATCTGTTATCATAAGAGGAATTTCTCTACACCACATGAGATAATAATTTCCATACAAGCTTATTTGATCAATAGCAATAAGAAGCTATCTATACATCAGATGTGATAAAAGAATATACTTACATCAGGGCAAGAATATGAAAATGAGCATACATCCCAATAAACAAGATTTGATTAAACGACCAATCAATCACCTTAAGAGATCATTCAGTCATAAGAAAATGTATAAATACCATAAAATATTATTTGATTAAAAGAGAATTTCCAGAGAAATATTTGATTACGAGAATATCGTATCATCACATGAAATAAGTTGGTCATAAGATAATTTGACCAAATGATATTGTGATTACAACAGAATTTCCAGACATTACACAAGGTTCTCTTAAAAACGAATTCAACATCATGGAAGAATAATCTATCATAAGAGAATGTTTCTATAAAATTATTTGATCATAAGAAAATGTTTCTATAAAATTATTTGATCAGAAGAGAATGTTTTTATAAAATTATTTGATCAGAAGAGAATGTTTTTATAAAATTATTTGATCAGAAGAGAATGTTTTTATAAAATTATTTGATCAGAAGAGAATGTTTTTATAAAATTATTTGATCAGAAGAGAATGTTTTTATAAAATTATTTGATCAGAAGAGAATGTTTTTATAAAATTATTTGATCATAAGAAAATGTTTTTATAAAATTATTTGATCAGAAGAGAATGTTTTTATAAAATTATTTGATCAGAAGAAAATGTTTTTATAAAATTATTTGATCATAAGAGAATGTTTTTATAAAATTATTTGATCAGAAGAGAATGTTTTTATAAAATTATTTGGCGTGTTCCTTATGACAAAATGTTTCTGATGGCACCAAAATATTTGACCATGTGACCTTCACCTTTGACCTTTGAAAAACTTAAAAACTGACCTTAACTATTGCAAAATGAAGACACAAGTCTTTCATAAAGTGTGCATGCTATTAGCACATGCCTTACACAGTACATTTATGTTTTAATGTACAGATTTATTGCAGCTGGGGTCAAAGTGTTTCATAAACACATTTTGGTCATCATCTTATTATTACATCATAAGATAATGTTTTAAAGAGTTTATTTATACCAGATTATTTGATCATAAGAGAATATTTCAGCATCACACATTATTTCAACATGGACAATTCTCCCGTAATAACACAACAACGTTTGATCAAGTATTACAGTTAACAATTTATGTAAACAGGAAAAATCTACCATCAAAATCACCAAACTTTTGTCATGACTTGTTGTAAAAATGTTTTTTTTCATATCTAACAAAGGCTATTAACAAACTGCAATTTTAATCAACTACCACAAATATTTTAATCATGAATATGATATTGTATAGAAAAACTTGTTAAAGAATAAAAAATTTTCACAAAAAGAGTATTAATTATTACAACCTTTATCCAATTCCACCGGCTTTTTTATGGCAATTATATGGGCTTTTCATGGCAATCATAGCGGCAATGTTTGTCTATGACTGCAGTCTATGGCAATATATATCAGATTCATAAGTCCTATATCACCAGCATTATTTGAACATTATGCAGATCGGTCAGTTTAGACCTTAATTATGTTTCACAGTTTACAATTCCTGTTTATAACTAGATTTTTATACATTGCTGTTGAACAGATTTCAGCTGCTCACTGGTTCCAACATTTAGAGACCAGCCCTATCTCAGTCATAACATCCAGGTTCCTGTCCATACTCCAGGGTGATGTCACAACAACCTGTTAACACCAGATAAAATATTTCATATCCAAATAGAAAACAATCAGATAATCAAAACAATGAAGAATTTTAAAATAAATCCAATCAAACTATTTTTTTTCAAATTCTGGGCTTCACAGCATACTGTAGATCACTTTGTGAATACTTTATTTCACGAACTTACCTCTAAAAGACATGTTCGTAAATACATGATTTCGTAAAGGATGGTCTAAAATTGACTTTTAAATTTGTGAATAATGGGTTATTAGATATATGGACTCTGATATCAGTAACTGCATCAGGATGGACATCATCAAGAAATATTTCAGTACAAATAACCGCCAGGGATTTTAATTCGTGGACGACTCTCAATGCATATTAATGTGAAAATAAATCCCCTGGGAAATGTTAAGTGATTTAGAGTAACCAGAGAATACACACTCATAACAGACTGACAGACCAACTGTCTTAAAGTTAAAAGTTTAAGAACAACAGATTCATTAAGCTGCAAGCCCAGAACTTAGGCTGAAGACCATGAACAATTTCTGAATTCTTTCTGAATCATTACCACAAAATTTTCTGTCAACTGACAAAAATTCTCATAATGTAGATAATATCTTTTATGAAACACTTTCTCACTGTGTGGATGAGGTCATTTCATGAAACTAACAAGACAAACAGTTACCTTAAGAAGCTACTGTTACAGAGCCTGACTCACCATTAATGAAACAAATTAGAGAGGCAATGACTTAGAGACTAGTAATTATTGAACTGTACCTGTATAACCACAATACCTGGTCCTTCACTAATGTCCAGTTTCTGTGTCCATTTTGACATCTTCCTGTGAGACCAAAGCTCCTTCTTGAATCATTTTCTCCACGATTTCCCAGAGACAGGAGTCTTTAGGGAACTCATTATCCACTAAATTCACCAGATAGTAATTGTCATGGATGTGATTAAGTAAATTGTGCGAGTTCGTTCCAGGTTCATACAGGTTTGCCCATGTCTCTGTCCACAGTGCGAATGCCTCATCCTAATTACAATAGAAGTACAGTACAATATTCCTGGTGTAAAATCACAGGCCTTATTTTATATATCTCCAACCCAAATATCTTTGAGGCGATATTAACACAAGACATCAGTACAATATTCCTGGTGTAAAATCACAGACTTTATTTTATATATCTCCAACCCAAATATCTTTGAGGCGATATTAACACAAGACATCAGTACAATATTCCTGGTGTAAAATCACAGACTTTATTTTATATATCTCCAACCCAAATATCTTTGAGGCGATATTAACACAAGACATCAGTACAATATTCCTGGTGTAAAATCACAGACTTTATTTTATATATCTCCAACCCAAATATCTTTGAGGCGATATTAACACAAGACATCAGTACAATATTCCTGGTGTAAAATCACAGACTTTATTTTATATATCTCCAACCCAAATATCTTTGAGGCGATATTAACACAAGACATCAGTACAATATTCCTGGTGTAAAATCACAGACTTTATTTTATATATCTCCAACCCAAATATCTTTGAGGCGATATTAACACAAGACATCAGTACAATATTCCTGGTGTAAAATCACAGACTTTATTTTATATATCTCCAACCCAAATATCTTTGAGGCGATATTAACACAAGACATCAGTACAATATTCCTGGTGTAAAATCACAGACTTTATTTTATATATCTCCAACCCAAATATCTTTGAGGCGATATTAACACAAGACATCAGTACAATATTCCTGGTGTAAAATCACAGACTTTATTTTATATATCTCCAACCCAAATATCTTTGAGGCGATATTAACACAAGACATCAGTACAATATTCCTGGTGTAAAATCACAGACTTTATTTTATATATCTCCAACCCAAATATCTTTGAGGCGATATTAACACAAGACATCAGTACAATATTCCTGGTGTAAAATCACAGACTTTATTTTATATATCTCCAACCCAAATATCTTTGAGGCGATATTAACACAAGACATCAGTACAATATTCCTGGTGTAAAATCACAGGCCTTATTTTATATATCTCCAACCCAAATATCTTTGAGGCGATATTAACACAAGACATCAGTACAATATTCCTGGTGTAAAATCACAGACTTTATTTTATATATCTCCAACCCAAATATCTTTGAGGCGATATTAACACAAGACATCAGTACAATATTCCTGGTGTAAAATCACATACCTTATTTTGTTTAATTCTAACCCAAATAAATTCCAACCAAAATACCTTGAAAGCAACATGAACACATGACCTCAATGATTACAATATCCTAATTGTATAGTCTGATAGTATCTTAAACTTCATATGAAACAAATAGACAAAATGATATTTATTCATGTAAGTTTGTTCCAAATCTATACAGTTATGGATACAGATTGTTCAACTGTTATCTAGTTAGTATGAGATAAATAAAAATTCACCTCCCACATCAGCTTTGATACTAAATGCCCATATAGCATGTATGAAACCAAGACACCTATTCCAAGTATCTAAGCTTGTGCAATTTAAATACACACTCACCTTCCATGTCTTGAAAGCTATAGGGTCAACAACTGTAGGCTGTATGATTTCCTTACCAGGAAACACCCCCCACGTTACAGCAATAGGTAGAGTCATATCACAGTTGGTGTAGTCAACGTCTCCCTGCACAGTAAATAATCATTATTGTTTCTATTACAACACAATGTGTTCACCAATCTACAGTATCAATGGTTTTTATAGGTGTCGAAAGTTGAGTAGATCATTTACCTTTGAATTCACGATGTGATAGTTGACAAGGGGATACCTCTCTAGAATATTTTTCAGCACAGTTACATTCTTTTCTGATGTGAAGAATTCCAAGTAGGCCTATAAGACAAAGCATGAAACAACATAACATTACAGTTTACACACTCGTTAAGCCCAATCATAAGTCTAACCTATAATCACGTGTTTTCCCCCCCGAGACCCATTTTCATGGTTTTTCAAAAAATCACTATTTCGTAGAAAATTGATTTTGTGGATAAACACAGCCCTGTAAATGTCCCTATACTTATTATAAGTTTGCGGCCATATCAAATCCGTGGACCGAGAGTACCAGCAAAATCAATTAAAATATGAATATTTCAATAATTAAGGACGCTACTTGGGGTTTAAAGGGAGGGATACAACATGGGGATCATAACAAGGGCCAGTATATGACCCTTACTGCAGACTATTAAAGGGGGTGAAGAGGACCAGACTAAACCCACTGGTCCACAACCAAACATGTATCAATCAATGTTAATCTTCATGGAAAATTTCAAAATTCAAAATTTATTTCTGACTTTTCTGACCAAGAGATGAAATAGATGCTGTACAGACCTTTGTTGTTTCACTGTTTGATAAAAACTGAATCATTCAAGACTCCCTCATACAGTATTAATACTACATGTAAGGAAATTGAGCTCCACTTTTTATTTATTAATACATAAATAGAGTTTATTGGTCAACTCAAATTAACAGCTGATTGTAAATAGAGCCAGTTGTTATCACTCGGGGACCAAGCTGTACCTTTTGGAATATGTATCCATTAGGGTCTCCCCAGCCAACCTTCGGGTCTGTTGACGGTGCAGCGTTGATGTTCGGCTGGGAGTTGATAGTCAACACACCTCGTTTGTTGATGGCTGCCAGTTTTTCCGTGATCAGATTGGTCTCGGCACTCAGCTCATCATCCTGCCACGGCAGACTGGACACCTGTCAAAAAACAGTGAATGACTTATCAAATTAACTCCAAAACCATGACAGACAAAGGCTTTCATTTCAAACATATATTGTGACTATCAAACCTTCCTGTTCTATGTAAATTTCTTGTGAATTGCCTGTCGACTAAGCCCCCTGACAGCTATCTGTGGTGCTGCAGGCCATTAACTGTCTCTGGTAAATAATCAATCCTAGGGCTTTACGTAATGATACTTTAATACACACTGTGATCAACATTTTGAAAAAAGCAGTTGAATATATAACTATCCTAAAGAGTAATATTCAATCGCAACAAGACCAGAGTACCAGAAGAGTATTTTTATTACAATATGTCTACCGGTTTCGCCCCAAACATGTGGGCTTCTTCAGGGTCTGGTACCCTGGACTTGTTGCGATTGAATATTACCCTTTAGATACCACTAATTCTCAATCGCCCTGCGTACCTGGAGGTATCCAAGCTAGGGACCATGGAACCTACCAACACTACGAAAAGAACGGCGTTGGCTCTATATTCCTACAGATATAACTATCCTAAATTTCAAATGACAAGTCTTCAAACTGAAGACAATCTACATGAAATTATGGTCTGTCCAGTACTTATTTCATAACATCAACTGCTGCAGTTTTCCTATAGATTCTAAAATTAAAGATACACAACTGAGGATCAAAATCAACTGCTGTATAATGAATATATACAAGAAAAAGAGACTAGTAATAAAATGAATTGGTTAAGGACGATTAAACGATTAACTAATTTGAACAGCCTGACTTTTGGTAACAGTGGGCTACCAACTACTTAAGGAAATAATAGTAGACTAAACAGTACTGAAGCTTCAAGTAAACATGTTTATCAAGTGAAACCAGCAATACACAACGATGGCAGTAATTTTCACCCAAATACTAAGACTGTTTGTCTTGCCTGTGATACAGTAAAAGAAACTAGAATAAGGATAGGTCAGCAAGGGCTATATATTTACTAGTATAAAGAAAAGTGAGAGTGTGGGATTGAAGTTTACCTTGACGCCAAGACCGTTTGGCTTGCCAGTGATGTAGTGGTAGAAGACGTCCCAAACGTCCTGTTCACTGGACAAATCCTCCCCCCACATCTTCAGCAGCGATTCTTTTGGTGACCGATTCTTTAAATAAAATAGGTAATAGTCAGTCAGATCACCGAAGGACGCTGCAGACGAATTTCCCCAACGACCGTTTGGGAATTCATCCCAATTTGATGTCCGGTGAACATAGCTGTTGGGTCGGCTCCTCCAGAATATTGGTCGAACGTCTTCTTTACATCGCATGTGATTGGCTGTCACTTTGAAAGGCAGAGTACGCTGTGGGTCCTCTTTCCACATTCCAAGTCTTTTCAGAATCTCTATCGTGGCAACTTCTCTGTTGAGAGTGTATATATGGAGTCCGTACACATCTCCGCTGTTCAGCAGGTCACGGCACATCTGTACAGCCTGCTCCACACCATAATTACGAATAGCTTCGTCATTGTCTTTCATTGGTTCAATGGTGTCGATAATCTCCTGGGGAACTTCTAACCTAGATAATTTCACAATGTGACGTAAAGACTGGTAAGCCTGAAAAATACAATACCTGATTACAATTGTATAAACAATTTAACAAAAGTGAACTGTAAAGTGTTTTAAGTATGTGATACTAATTCATTAATTCGAGTATGAAATAAACTATTAACTAACAGATCAATAGGTCTGTAGTTCTCACCTGGAATTCAATGTTCTTCACAAATACACCTCATATCACTACTCTTGACATTCAAAGTCTGGCTTGCTGAGAAGTTATTTAAATATTTTCACAACTTTGACACTTTGACCCCTGTTACATTGAAAATGGCTCGAAACAATTTCTTTTTACCTTTTATCTAAGGAACCTTTGGACCAACGCATTCTTTTCCTGAATTCCATTGAAAAATGGAACATTTTAACATAAATTTTAAGAATTGTTGAAATGAAAGGTTCAGTATAAATACATATTTCCCTAGTAGATATTTACAAATGGTAACTACAGGTGATAACTGATCCCATATTCTCTCTAAATAAAGCTATGGTATTCTGTTAACCCTGGTGTTAGATGAAAACTTACCTGTATAGGAAGAACACCTGGGATGATGGGGCAGTTGATTCCAATGTTACGACAGTCCTTCACAAACTGTAGAAAGGTAGAAGCTTTGAAGAAAAGCTGTGTTATTATAAAGTCAGCTCCAGCATCCACCTTGGATTTAAGATGACGCAAGTCTTCCTGGTATGACGTACACTCAGGGTGGCCCGTGGGGTAACCTGTTATAGATACAGAAATGTCTGTAGATATGATGGTACTGTGTACAAATTGGGGTAACCTGTTATAGATACAAGGATGCTTCTAATCAACTCTACCATAGGCAAGATTTTTAAGAATTCAATCTATTTCCAGTAGTGGGCCCAACCCCTCCCCCCACCTCTCCCACTCAAGAGGACCAAAACCCACTGTTCATACAAAGTAATCTCAAGCCTGTCTCAGACCAAATTGTGACAGAATCCAAGCATTTTGCATAAGAAGAATGATTTTAAAGGATTTGCCCTATAATCCCTAATGAGCCCCTTCGCTCAGGCCCCTGGGGGCAGAAATGCACTGTTTAAAAAAATGTATTCCCCTTCACCTAAGGATGCTCCAGACAAAATTTGGGCAAAATTCAATCATTCCTACAGAAAGAGTAAGACCTTGAAAAAAAATTTCCTTGTTCGGGCCAGACTCCTCAGGATCTCGAGGGCCAAGACCCTAAGGATGCTTCTGACCAAATTTGGTCAAAATCCTTCTAGTTGGTGGATGGATGACAGTGACCTAAAACTGTTAGTCAATATATTCTGTGTTTGGGTATTGTATCTTTTCACATTATTTTTTGTTGTAACAGTTCACCCCCTCTCATTTTGAAACTGAGGGCACAGTAGATCCCTAACAATGTTTATTTATTACATTGTAATAAAGAAAAGTGCCTGAAAACGAGGGATACAAGATTTGAATTTCACCACTTTGAGGGGTTTCATACCCTCAAACAGGGTAAGAGGGGCACATTGGTATATAACTTCTACATTTGAGCTTAACTTCTAAATTTCCATACCTGCTACACAAATGGAAAAGTCATCACCATGTTCTTGCTTGATCAGCCTCACCAAATCTGTTGCATAATTAAAGCCATTGTCCTGGTGTACCCAAGACTCTCCGCCATCTGGTGGGTCTGTAATGTATTAAAACAGCTCTGACTACATATCAAAGTATAATTTACAAAATCGCAAAAGAGTTACAATTGGTGATTTGTTGCTATACACCCAAAAGTACATGTATCTAATATCTGGAGATAACTTAACTGGTTAAGACCAAGATGTCAATTTGACAAAGACTAGTCCACTCTATATAAATAACAGGGAATTATTACAGGTCTCTTCCCTCAGAACTATCAATTTATATGTTTTCACTGTCATAATCAATCAAACCACTTGACGAAACATAATTACCTCCCCTTAGTGCCAATAGATTCCTGATGCCTAGCTCTTTAGCATTCTTTAGATTGGTCTTGATTTCCTCCTCTGTCTGTCGGCCACATGTGATGTGGAGCATGGTCTCCACACAGCAGTAGTTTACCATGGTAGCTGCCATACAGGTGGAGCTGGTGGACTTTTGGGTATTTCCGGGATCACCTGCTGGATGCCAAGTGATGTCACAGAAAAGGGGCTGTCCTTCATTCATCCGTTCGATCCTAATAAAAAAATATTTCTTTGACCAATCACTTTATCCAAAAAATCTAAAAAAAATACTTGTTATCTTATTACTTTATAAATTCTTTCTACATCTTATAACTTGTTTATTACATGACCAGACAATATGACTGGAAAATTAAAATGGCCTACAATCTTTATAGAATCAATGAATGATCAAACTTAGTCTTTACTTAATAACAGTGAAACCACAAACATGCAACTTTTTTCTCTATCATAATTTATGTTAGTTATCACTGGTACTATAAAACAAAGAAAAAGGGGAATTTCAAGAATATCAATTAGGGGCAAATTCAGTTGACTTCAGTTGAGTTTGTTCTGGTTGGTACAAAATTTAAAGAACATGAACAAATCCCCTCTGAACGACTTCTCACAAAAGAACAGCAAACACTAGTGAACAGGGTGATGTATACACTATCATTAGGGGATCAATCGACCATGTTTGATAAGCAGTTAACAACTAAATTAACTCAAACGTTATATATTTTCACAGTTACAAAAAATTCTAAATAAATTCAAACTTTGCTCTTGAACATAAATACATCAAGTGGTCCTTTAATTTATCAGGAAAATGATTTACATTGAAAGTAATCTGTCCACAAATAGTCAATAGTGCATATACATATGGCTCCAATTTTCAACTCAAAAAAGCTGAACAAAATTTTATCTTTACACAACAATTAATCTCAAACAAATGTTCAAATTCATCTCAACAAATATTTTGTAACGGTATTTCAAAGTAATGCACGAAAAGAAATAAAAGAAATCTTGTCATATAATATGGGAAAACAATTTTTGATCAAGAGTTATAAGCTAACAATGCATGATGTCCGCTGAAGGAGGCTGTGTTTACACTTATAATCTGTCATGTTTACACTGCACTATCTACAGCAAGAGATTATACACCTTTTCTGTCTACATTAGGCTTATCAATCACTTAACAAGTAGAACCGGCACGCGACCTGTCAGCTGCTATAGCCAATCAAGGCATGGTCTGCCAACTACTTTAGCCAATCAGGGCTGCTTCTGGCTACCAAACAGATGGAGGGGTAGGGGAGGGACTAGATTAGAGGTCCAGTGTAGACTATAGAGGGGGAGGGGCTAGATTAGAGGCCCAGTGTAGACTACAGAGGGGGAGGGACTAGATTAGAGGTCCAGTGTAGACTACAGAGGGGGAGGGACTGGATTAGAGGTTCAGTGTAGACTACAGAGGGGGAGGGACTAGATTAGAGGTCCAGTGTAGACTACAGAGGGGGAGGGACTAAATTAGAGGTCAAGTGTAGACTACAGAGGGGGAGGGACTAGATTAGAGGTTCAGTGTAGACTACAGAGGGGGAGGGACTAGATTAGAGGTCCAGTGTAGACTACAGAGGAGGAGGGACTAGATTAGAGGTCCAGTGTAGACTACAGCAGGGAAGGGACTAGATTAGAGGTTCAGTGTAGACTACAGAGGGTAGTTGAGAGAGTGATGGACTAGATTAGAGAACCAGTGTAGACTATAGAGGGTAGAGGGTGAGGGACTAGATTAGAGGTCCAGTGTAGACCATAGAGGGTAGAGGGTGAGGGACTAGATTAGAGGCCCAGTGTAGATTATAGAGGGTAGAGGGTGAGGGACTAGATTAGAGGCCCAGTGTAGACCATAGAGGGTAGTTGAGAGGGTGAGGGACTAGATTAGAAGCCCAGTGTAGACCATAGAGGGTAGTTGAGAGGGTGAGAGACTAAAATAGAGGTTCAGTGAAGACTGTAGTCAGGGGTGGTTGGGAAGGCGAGAGACTCTGTCTGTCCGTCCATCCATCCCTGTGTATTTAAAAGTGCTTTAGCAGTTTCAATCTTTTAGGGAACATCAAAGACATATCAAACATCAGAATACCTTGAACAAGTACGAGTTAAAGGGGTTAATGGGTAAAGGTCAAGGTCACTGTTACTATTCAAAAATAAATCATAGTTGCTGCTATAGCTGCTTCATTTCTCGAAGGATTCTCCTCAAACTTCACACAATAATAAAGACAAGCATCAAATATCTAACAAGTTTGGGTCTCAGGGTTGTCAGGTCAAGGTAATTGTTTTTAGAAAATCATTGTCAGCACTCTTGTAGATTTATTCCTTAAGGGATCCTCATCAATCTTGATACATTTATAAAGCATTGAATTACCACAAACAAGTTTGAGTTGGATCAAGGTCACCATTTCCATGTTAAGAAAATCATTGTCAGCTGTAGCACTCTAACTGCTTCATTCCTGAAGGAATTCTCATCAAACTCCACACTTACTAAGCATCAAATTATATCTAACAAGTTAACGTTTGAAGTACAGGGTTTTCGGGTCAAGGTCAAGGTTTTCATTATTTGAAATTAATTGTCAGCTGTCTTGCTGCTTCATTCCTCGCAGGATTCTTATCACACATCAAGTACTTGTAAAGCATTAGATTTTATTGAATAAAATAGAGTTTCAGGTTTGCTGGGTCAAGGTCATTGTTACTATTTTAAGAAAATCAATGTCAGTACTCTAGCCGCTTCATTCCTCAAGGTATTCTCATCAAACATACCACACTTATAAAAGCATCAAATATCTTGGACAAGTTCAAATTTCAGGGTTGTTGGGTCAAGGTCAGGGTCCCCTTTAGCTTTTTTCCCCAAGAAAATCTTTTCAGAGCTCCTGCGACTTCATTCCTATATTCTTAAAACTAAAATCTTCACACTTCACAGACTCGTACAACAACAAAATATCTTGAACAAGTTGGTGTTGATGGTAGCTTGGTCAAGGTCATCATTACTATTTTTAGAATTTCATTATCAGAGCTCTGACGACTTCATTCCTTGCAGGATTTTGATAAATCTTGAACACTTAAAAATGTCCACAACACATTATTACATACTGGTGATGAAACTGTTTTGTCAGACTGAAATTGATACATTTTATTGCATCAGTTCATTAAAATAAGTCACAAATTGCCTACTTTTCTTTTTTAACACTATTTTATAAAATAATTACAGTGTAATAGCTTGGAGGGGCCAGTAAGGGAAACTATTACTCAGCGTGCTTGGTTTGATGCTGGATTTGGAACGGCTGTAATTACAATGGTTTGGCTAGTACATAACATACCTGCTTATCAAATTAATAGCTCCATTGTTTGTTCTGGGTGGAAAGAATTCGAGAGAGAACCAAGGATCTCTACTAGCGATTCTTCGATTGACCATCTCTGCTAGGGAGTTTCGTTCTGGTAATTCTGGGGGTGAAGGGGGAGATCCCCCAGCCCCATTTGAGGCTTCCTTTTGTGCTACCAACTCTGGCATGATGAGTTGATAACTTTATGTTTCCTGTAAAACATTAAAAGAAAGTGATGACTGAAATTCAGAAAACCGCAAAAAGTGTCAATAAAATTAAAAATCAAGATCAATGAACCAAGGGAAAATATGAAAGGAAAATTTTAATGAAAGATTTCTGAAAAAGAAATTGGAGAATAAAACCAGTTGTTCTGGAAGATTAAGCATCTTCTACTTCATCAATGATACATCCTACATCCATGTAAAGAATTCACAAAAAAAAAAAAAATACGATAAATGAAAAAATGATAAACTTCATATTTCTGTCATGTTTATGATATCATCCATCAACTGTTCATTTAAAGGACACAGGTACCGGATACTCTCGAGAAAAAAAGTCTTGTCATGTCCAGGATATATGACAGAGTTGTTTATCTCAAATGTAAACAATGCATGCACAAAGGTGGTATATGCGTACACCATTTCCTGTTACTAAGCTGCCGAGAAGGATATTGACAAATAAATGAATCACAACATTTATTATCTCAGTACAAATTCTACATAGGCATACTTTATGTTCCCGTCACCACCTTTATAATTGTTAATGTTTTACTTTTCCCCTGGTGAAGAAATTCATGTTTTCAAAATCCTTAAAACGAAAATGAAAGTAGAATCTATGTTTAAAAGTCCATATTTATTCAAGAGCTACAATTACAAATCAAGCAGTGAATAAATAGTAAAGAAAGTAAGTACAGAGGACAGGCGCTGTAGTAGATAAAATCATACGGAAATTTTGAATGTAGAATTTTTTTTTCATAAAGACATCGAGAACATTACAGCGACTGAAGAATAAAAATAGTTTATTGCTGTCCTGTGAATATTTGGTAATTTCTTCGACAGCACAACTTAAAAAAACCTTGGGCAAAAAACACACACAAAAATAACGAAAAAAATAGCAAAAACCGAAGAGCGATATTATCATACACCAGGCCAACATGACGAGAAGTATGTTACATAATAATAAAAAAAATAGATTATTGTCATAATAATTTGTTAAAAAGTAAAAAAAAAAAGGAAATAATAAATAAGAATAAAAAATAATGGAACTGAAAATATTTAAGCATACGGACGCCATCAAAACATAAGCCCCATGACCACCGACCACTACGTGTTTACATCGGGACTTGTGTTTGTTTACGTATTCACGCTTCAATAAATAACGCTAAAAATAATTTCTTCCTTATGCATAGTAAAAAGTTTTTTCATGCAATAATCACGCGCAAAGTCTATCATATTTAATTTGAATTATCTGGAAACCATTTTACTTGTACCTTCAAAATTGAAAGAATCAGCTGTACACAGATCTACGCTCTTTCAGCGTTCCGTTCGTCGCCTCCTCCTCCGATTTTCAAAACGAACTAAGAGACAGAAATTTTGTCCATTCGCATTATATACTCCGCTGTAGCCAATCACAATCGAGTATCTAATCACGCACAACCTTGACCCTGAATGATACAGAGTGATCAGCGTACCGTTAACCATAAAAGACATACTTTGTACGAGGCAGCGTAAATGCTTTTAAGCAAGTGCGTGATCAGTTGAGGCGAGGCAACTCTTACAAACATTTTTTGATCAACAATCGCATTTACCAACCACTCGTCTGTGATCTTACGGATCTAAGTTTTCGAAACCGAGGACAAGGGAATGATTGAGGAAAAGGACTATATGCATGTAGATAACTGAAGATATATATGTAAATGTACGCCATTCTCGCTACAAACATAGACTAACATGAATAACAAAGGTTTTTGTCATTGCTGCTGATATTTTACCTCGATCAAAAATACTAGCACAGCAAATATATCAACATAGTTGACAAACTCTGGAAATACATATTAATTATTTTGAAAATGCTGATTTTAAGTAAACTCTACTATTAGATGGGAAACTCCATTAGAGGAACTTGACTCAAATGGAAGTAACTTTTTATAGACCAAATAGACCAAGGATGCATCCCACCCGAAGAAATTCTCATTATTCGACCGACGATAGACCTTGGATGAGAAATAGTGCATGTACAGTGAAAAACAAAAAACAAAAACAAAACAAAAAATTAAAAAAAAAAAAAAAAAAAGAAAGAAAGGCAGATGGTTTAAAAACAAAAACTCAAGCAAATTTGGGAAAGGGCCTGTTTCCAGTAATGTTAATTCTCCATAGGAGCCTGCCCCCGTATAATTTCTTATCTAGCTCAACTACTGTTTTTTTCTTTTCCGAAAAATAATTTTACACCTTTCCGACACCCAGATTTCATAATTTCAGTGAAAATGTATTTTTATAAAGTTGTCAATTTCAGCATCAAAGACATAAGTTTGTAAATAAAAGAAGGTTATCTCGAAATTGTAATTCGCAACATAGTATAAATTTCTTTTGATAAATATTTCCAAAACATCGTGTTTATTCATAAAACATAAAAAAAAATATTCTCGGATGAAACTGCACTTGCAGAGACACAATTATGAAGAAAAATGCCATAAATTTGCAATTTTCTCCCGTTATATAGTTTTGGATGCAAATTTCCATCAGAAAATCGGATAGAGCTTTACTTGTTTCATATGTGTACCAAAAATCAGCTAATTCCATGTGGTGGAACGTTCTCATATCGCCGCCTGAATGTGGTTGTAAATTGAAAGAAAACGGGAAATTAGTAACAACCTTGTCTGAAACCCTTTTATATAGCTTATTATATACAAACTTTTATATTGAATATCAGAGCGGATATTTTCATGACAGTTTTATGATGTGTAAAAAAAAAAAATAAATAAAGTACTGTTTCCCCGTCTCGATCTTGATTACTTGAGAACCATTACGTGTGGAACGTATCAGATATCTCTGGCTCCTGGTTACATCGCCGGACATTTAAGTGATGACAGAGACTATGAGGTGTGGCTTTACCAGCACTCCCAAGACCTTCTCCGATGTCAAATACATTCTCGACACAAAAGCCAAACGAAATATAACGTTTGGATACGGTTCAACGTTTCACCCGATGTTGAGGCCCCAAAAAAGGACTACTACTGCCAGTGCCCAGTTGGAGAGAGAACGATGGGAATGTGTGCGCACATCTCCAGTATCTTGTACTACCTTGGTTATTACAGGACTCTGGAAAACCCTCGACTATTACAACCACAGGTAAAGAAATTCCGACAAAACTTGAAATAGTTTTCCATGCGGCAACAGAGTGCATATGTCGAAAGTATGTTTGGGGCTCGATATGAAAGATCCCCGTTACCATGTGACTAACCAAACTTATAAATATAGGTATTATACAATCGCCGGTAGCTATGAACAATCCCGTAAATGCGAAAACCAACCAAAATCATAAGGAACACGTTTTGTTTGTTGTTCTGTATATTTGTCAGCCAATGTCTTCAACCACGGGGACTTGCGAAATAGCCATCTTGGATTTTTTTTATGAAAAAGTGTTTCTCTCACTTTTTTTCATATCTGTGTACATATTCTCAACATACCGAGCAAATACTCTCGTTTTTTTGTTAATTATCTAAAGAAAGTCGAAAATCGGCAATTCAACCATAGGCTAATTCAACCCAACATTTGAAAATGTTCCACCACTTACATTTTGATGATTTTCCCTCTCATCAATAGCATATTATAAACGTACTATTTAATAGGATAAAAATTGGTTTGCATCCAACGCCCATAAAAGGGTGTATTCTCTAAAAAACACAGTTTTTGTGTCTAAAATGTTATCATCGAAAATGGCATTTTTGAGATTGTTTCTTCCATAAAACAGCCAAATGGCGCGATGGAAACATGATTTTTTTGTCACAATCATGCCATGAATGTATTCTTTACGGTGACTATCATTTGATTAGATTTTCATTAATATTTTACATAACATGCACATTTTATCAATACTTAGACAGCTTCTGAAAGGTACAACTTTGAGGAGCCATAAAAAACAAACCAAGTGACCTAAATCTTTATACTTTATAGATTTGTGACCACAACGGCATGGGCAATGCACCACCAACAGGAAATTTGAATCAGAGAAGGGGCCATTTTGGAAACCGGCCCTTTAGGAAAGTTTGAAACGAAACAGCAGGCTTATTTTGAGAAATCTTATGACCAATGGCAAATTTCACTCTATGACTCAACCTATTGCTTGAAATTAATCGAGTAGAAAATGATGACTCAATAATGAAAGCAAATAGTGTACCGAGACACATGTCTACGCTCTCTTGTTTAAAATATTGATCTACTGCATCATCTGTCTGAGGACGTTATTACTTTACAGTCCTCAATCAATCAATATTTCTGTAGACCGAGAGAGAAAACTATGACATATTCAAATTATTAAAAATAGATTTATGGATTTCAATATATTACCACTGAATTTCTGATATCCATAAACCATATGTACATCTATATCTATATCATAATTCATCTACAAATATCTATAAAACGGCGTTTTCTGTGTAGTAGTAGTATCAATATATCTGTACTTATCCTCTCATGAGCTAATGGGGGAGGGGGGGGTGTGTTAAAAGGACCAAAATTCCAATTTAACGTGATTTATTACTTTTGATAATTTAACTAATTATTTATATAATTTTCCTTTTATATTTCACTATGCTCCACTAAATATCCGCAACATCTCAGTCATCGCCTTGCTGTTTGTCTTTCCATCCGTCCTTTCGTGTCCGTAGCATAATTTTGCCCACAGTGAAGCAAAGATCATGAAGCTTGGTGTGTTTCCATTGGTCATACTAAGGGGATGTGAAATTTGCCAAATTCAGTGCCCTCAACCCCTCTTCCTCCAAATAACAGAGTTATTGTTTTTTGTTTAAAATATCTCGTCCAGAGCATGATTTTGCTTGCATTTAATCTAGGATATCGAAACTCGGTGTATACATTGATCATACTCAATTACAGAGTTATTGCCATTTGTTAAAAATATACATTGTTAAGAGTACAACTGTGATTGCATTTAAGACAGAATAATGAAACGTGTCGTATACATTGATCATCCAAAGACAATGCGCATAGTACCAATGTTAGTCCGTAATTACAGAGTTATTGCCCTTTGTTAAAAATATACATTGTTCAGAGCACAACAAGTGTATTTAAGACAGAATAATGAAACTTGTCGTATACATTGATCATTTAAAGACAATGTGCATAGTACCAATGTTAGTCCTTAATTACAAAGTTATTGCCCTTTGTTAAAAACCTTTTCATGTCCGGAGTATAACTTTGCCCAAAGTTAAGCAAGAGACATGAAACTTAGTGTATACATTGATCATACTACCACAATGTGGTGTGTACCAAATTCAGTGTTCCCGGGGCTCTCAATTACAGAGTTATTGCCCTTTGTTGAAAATATCTTGTCCAGCGGGAAACTTTGCTTGCATTTAATGTAGAATAACGAAACTTGGTGTACACAATGATCATAAGAAGGCAATATGTAGTGTATCAATGTTAGAACCCACAACCCTTTAATCACAGAGTGATTGCAATTTGTAAAACAATTGCGTCTGGAGCTTTACCTTGCCTATACGTTTACACAGGGACATTGAAACGTGGTGATACATCAGTTACACAAATCAAGGTGCAGCGGAGCAAAGTCTGGGCCCATGATCCCTCAGTACAGAGTTATAGCCCTTTGTTAAATTTTTGTGTCCAATAAAGTCGTTTTTGGGGAAGCATTCATCAGTGTCATTGATACTCTTGTTTCTTTCATTTTCTTATGTTAAGATTGTAATTTGTTTTAACATTTAAATTGTGAGATTTTTTTCACTGTATCATAACATCTTTTTTATTCAAAATTACCAAGTGTGTTTTCAAATTTCAGATTGATGCTGATAGATTTTGTGATGGAATGCATTTTATGAAACTTCACCTTTAGATTTTTTTTATTTCTTTATTTCAAAATTTCAATTAATTAATTTTTTGCTATTTCCGTTGTTTATTGAGTTGTATTTTTACCCGTTTTTCAGTTTCGATATCTCATCAAAAGTATTATATTTTGTATTTATTTTCATAATTTACGCTTATTTTCTAAAGTTAAATAATTAACCTTACAAGTTAAAATCTAATCAAACACATCGTCTCTGAATTCAACACTAGAATCGTGTACCTATTAACCCGTGCTACATAGACTTCGAGATTCTTCCGTCGTTGTCCGCCGTGCGCCGTCCCTCGTGCGTAAACTTTTGACATTTTAAATTTCTTCCCAAGTTCCACCATTGGGACTGAGCTCAAACTTGCATGAAATGATCCCGAGATGATCTTGTTGTTATTTTTCGGGTATGTCTGAAATCCAAGATGCACGCCAAGACCACCATCTTGAAAAACATATTTTATTTTTTTCTCCAGTTCCATTGAATGC